CCCTGCAATCGCAACTAGGTGAGTACACACGCGTTAGAATATTATCGTCTAAACAGCACGTGACGCTCAACATAATGCGTTCACGCTAAGCTGACGTGTACATGTGCCTCTGTACGTAATGTACGTGCATGATCTGTGCCGTGTACGTAGTGTGTACGTAATGTACGTGCATGTATGATCCAATGTACGAAATGTACGTACATAGTGTGAATGTGCCTGTGTACGTAATATGTACGTAATGGGCTGCAGAAAACAATATGAAGTTCAACGATGAGAAATTTCAATTACTCAGATATGGTAAACACGAGGAAATTAAATCTTCATCAGAGTACAAAACAAATTCTGGCCACAAAATAGAGCGAAACACCAACGTCAAAGACCTGGGAGTGATCATGTCGGAGGATCTCACCTTCAAGGACCATAATATTGTATCAATCGCATCTGCTAGAAAAATGACAGGATGGATAATGAGAACCTTCAAAACTAGGGAGGCCAAGCCCATGATGACACTCTTCAGGTCACTTGTTCTATCTAGGCTGGGATATTGCTGCACACTAACAGCACCTTTCAAGGCAGGTGAAATTGCCGACCTAGAAAATGTACAGAGAACTTTCACGGCACGCATAACGGAGATAAAACACCTCAATTACTGGGAGCGCTTGAGGTTCCTAAACCTGTATTCCCTGGAACGCAGGAGGGAGAGATACATGATTATATACACCTGGAAAATCCTAGAGGGACTAGTACCGAACTTGCACACGAAAATCACTACGAAAGCAAAAGACTTGGCAGACGATGCACCATCCCCCCAATGAAAAGCAGGGGTGTCACTAGCACGTTAAGAGACCATACAATAAGTGTCAGGGGCCCGAGACTGTTCAACTGCCTCCCAGCACACATAAGGGGGATTACCAACAGACCCCTGGCAGTCTTCAAGCTGGCACTGGACAAGCACCTAAAGTCAGTTCCTGATCAGCCGGGCTGTGGCTCGTACGTTGGTTTGCGTGCAGCCAGCAGCAACAGCCTGGTTGATCAGGCTCTGATCCACCAGGAGGCCTGGTCACAGACAGGGCCGCGGGGGCGTTGACCCCCGGAACTCTCTCCAGGTAACTCCAGGTAATGGGCGTGCATGCTGTGTGTGCTCTGTACGTAATGTACGTGCAAATTTCTTTTAGTTTACCCTCTGTTCATAAAAAAATCAGTTTTACCAGAACTGTAAAAACTATAAAAGACGAAAAAGTGATACAAAGTTGTGGCAACACTGAGCGAGGTAAACATACCTACATCGGGCTTTCCACTGGTTAACGTGATCTATTAGTCTCCCATTTCACTCTCTTAATAACAATGAAATGATATGCTTACGAGGATAAGTTGATTTGGTTCAGTGACTGTGTATAATATCCAGTGTAGAACCTGCGTAGCATGGGCCAGTAGGCCTGCCGCGGTGCTCCTTTATGTTCTAGAGGCTCATCTGCAGGCTGGAAGAGGAATGAGAGCGAGGGTAGGCACACAAGGCCTCATTTTTTTTACACAAATCAATTTTACAGGCTAAGATATGCTATCTTAGCTCATTTCAAAACCCCGCCTTATCTGAGGTATACCCAGGGTGTCACCCACAACAGTCGACTAACAAACCATACCACGGGCGGGATTTGAACCCGCGGTCAGAGAGTCTCAAAACTCCAGACCGTCACGTTAGAGTTTTGAGACTGACCGCGGGTTCAAATCCCGCCCGTGGTATGGTTTGTTTGCAATCGTGTCATTACGATTTCGTGAGTCATATCGACTAACATCCAGATACCTACTTGCTGCTAGGTGAACAGGGGCAGCAGGTGTAAGGAAATGCGCCTAGTGTGTAGCTCCTAGTGCGCTACCAACCGAGCTACGGGACACCTTGTCCAATGAATACCAGCAGATGTTGGCAGCGCAGGTAAGGACTCGCAGGTAAGAACCCTAGATGGGTGAATGGGAAGTGGGAACAGAAGAATAATGGGGGAAGGAGGAGAGGAAGGGTTATAGTATAAAGAGCCGAAGGCTAGACCCAGTATTAAAGGTGTCGTCACATAAGCTGTGTCGACATGAGCTGTTTGTGACAGGTCAGGCTCGGGAGGACGGGGTCGGTCGCAGTGGGCAAGGCTTTGAGAGGACGGGGTCGGTCGCAGTGGGCAAGGCTTTGGGAGGACGGGGTCGGTCGCAGTGGGCAAGGCTTTGGGAGGACGGGGTCGGTCGCAGTGGGCAAGGCTTTGGGAGGACGGGGTCGGTCGCAGTGGGCAAGGCTTTGGGAGGACGGGGTCGGTCGCAGTGGGCAAGGCTTTGGGAGGACAGGGTCGGTCGCAGTGGGCAAGGCTTTGGGAGGACGGGGTCGGTCGCAGTGGGCAAGGCTTTGGGAGGACGAGGTCGGTCGCAGTGGGCAAGGCTTTGGGAGGACGGGGTCGGTCGCAGTGGGCAAGGCTTTGTCACAGTGCATAGACACGTCTATGGTTATGGTGATACCGTGACAGAGTGGCATAGGCACAAAAGCATTAAAGGTCCACTGACTAGTGTGACAAATGGGAGGACTCTCAAAATGGAAGTCACTCACTTCGACCTTGTAAGGTTATCCTAGGTAAGTTACACAATGTATGATCAATGTAACAATGATCATTACTCGTACAAGGTATACGGGCCAATCTAACATCAGTTAAATGGTATATATAAAAGCCCTTTGTTATGTAGAGCATTTCGGGCAGATTAGGATAGTTTTGGAGAGGCATCTTAAGTCAGTACCTGATCAGCCGGGCTGTGGTTCGTCCGTCGGTTTATGTGCGGCCAGCAGTAACAGCCTGGTTGATTAGACCCTGATGCACCACGAGGCCTGGTCTCAGACCGAGCCGCGGGGACGTTGACCCCCCCCGAAACCCTCTCCAGGTAAACTCCAGGATGCGACCCACACCAGTCCACTAACACCCAGGATGCGACCCACACCAGTCCACTAACACCCAGGATGCGACCCACACCAGTCCACTAACACCCAGGATGCGACCCACACCAGTCCACTAACACCCAGGTACCCATTTTACTGATGGGTGAACACTATTATTATTATTATTATTATTATTATTATTATTATTATTATTATTATTATTATAAAAAAGAAGCGCTAAACCACAAGGGTACGGGTGAATACAACCGGTGTCAAGAAACACTCCCCCCACCGGGTGAAGCGAGAGCTCTAGCTATGGGGCCACAGGGCACCATTTACCTGGAAAGGGTTTCAGGAGTCAACGCCCCCGCAGCTCGGTCTGAGACCAGGCCTCATGGTGGATCAGGGTCTGATCAACCAGGCTGTTACTGCTGGCCGCACGCAAGCTGACATACGAACCACAGTCTGGCTGGTCAGGTACTGACTTTAGGTGCCTGTCCAATGCATAAATCAAATAATAGTCCGCTATAAGTCTGGGAACGATGCGGCTGAAAATAACCAGGAAATGTTTAAATCCGTGTACGATTAACACTGCTGATGTGAGAAGGGGTTCGATATACGGTATTCTGGCGCAGGAGTGTAGCGGGATCTGAAGAAATTAAGTTTAATAAGCAGGGCCGTACACACGCGAGTCCCCGTATAGTACGTCTCTTAGATTTCTCTTTCTCTCTCTCTCTCTCTCTCTCTCTCTCTCTCTCTCTCTCTCTCTCTCTCTCTCTCTCTCTCTCTCTCTCTCATATATATATATATATATATATATATATATATATATATATATATATATATATATATATATATATATATATATAATCTGTATCTCTCTCTCTCTGTATCTCTCTCTCTCTGTATCTCTCTCTCTCTGTATCTCTCTCTCTCTGTATCTCTCTCTCTCTGTATCTCTCTCTCTCTCTCTCTCTCTCTCTGTATCTCTCTCTCTGTATCTCTCTCTCTGTATCTCTCTCTCTCTCTCTGTATCTCTCTCTCTCTCATATATTTTATATATATATATATATATATATATATATATATATATATATATATATATATATATATATAATATATTATATACACACAATGCTCTTCTTGCCGAATAAGGCAAGCGAAAATTTGTTTATGGAATATCGCAAAAAATAACTCGGATCCTAACGGACAAAAATATTTTTCATTGTTTATTAAATTATTATAAACTTATGTAAAATATATTTAGTTGGATTAGGCTGTATTAAATTGTGCTTGTTATAATAAGGTCAGGTAAGTTTTCTAAGGTTCTTTTGGTACAAAATTATTAAATTTTTCATTACTATAAACGAAAAATATATGTTTAAATGTATAAGATTTTTTTTTAGAAAGGACTTAATTTTAAACGAGTTCTTGCTAATTGACCAATTTTACCATTCTTACGGTAATTTTATCAGATGTAACTAATTCATTTCTAATTTCCGTAATGCATTTAAGTGATTTATTTGTTAATACTACGATCTGTTTTATGTTAATTTTGGTATAGAATTCTGGCAAAACAGAGATTGGTGCTTGAGTATTTGCTAGGATTAGCAATACTTGTACGAGTCTTGTGCATGATCCTGTGTGTGTGTGTGTGTGTGTGTGTGTGTGTGTGTGTGTGTGTGTGTGTGTGTGTGTGTAAAATAAGATAAGATTTCGTTCGGATTTTTAACCCCAGAGGGTTAGCCACCCAGGATAACCCAAGAAAGTCAGTGCGTCATCGAGGACTGTCTAACTTATTTCCATTGGGGTCCTCAATCTTGTGACCCAGGATGCGACCCACACCAGTAGACTAACACCCAGGTACCTATTTGCTGCTAGGTGAACAGGACAACAGGTGTAAGGAAACTTGTGAAGCGGGAGCTCTAGCCACCAGGCCACCGGCGGGTACGACTGATAATGAATCTGTCCTCTGCAAGAGTCCACAACTCTCATGACAGACTTTCGTTATCTAATTCAGACCCAGGTTAAAAATTATTTACTGGGGACGATAAATTACCAGCTAATATACAATAATTTTGGTTTTCGGCTCCTGCAGGGAGGTGCTGTGAATGGGGCGCCGGAGAGGAGGCGAGAAGGTTCGTAAGGGTGAAGGAGGATGCTCTCCCAGGACACACTCTTCTCACTCTCAATGTCTCTCATCCTCACCTGCTCCTTCTGCAGCCACTCACCCAGGTATGTCCTCGTTAATTAAGGCTGCAGTGAATTGATCGAAATCTCCTCTGAACTTTGAGTACTTAAATAGTTGGATGTTGACTCAGTCACTGTGTTCTTGATTTTATGAGAGATTATATTCACTATTATTATTATTATTATTAGTAGCAGTAATAGTAGTAATATTAGTAATAGTTGTAAAAGTAGCAGTAGTAGTAGTAGGAATAGTAGTGGTAGTACCAATAGTAATAGTAGCAAAAGAAATAGTATGTTGACTCAGTCACTGTGTTCTTGATTTTATGAGAGATTATATTCACTATTATTATTATTAGTAGTAGTAGTAGCAGTAATAGTGGTAATATTAGCAATAGTAATAGTTGTAAAAGTAGCAGTAGTAGTAGTAGGAATAGTAGTGGTAGTACCAATAGTAATAGTAGCAAAAGAAATAGTATTCACGGTATTACAATAGCGCAATTGTAAACAAATCGCAGAATGGGAGGGGAAGGGACCCGTGCGTCATCCAGTGATTTATTTATTTATTTATTTATTTATTTATTTCCAATTTGTGCACACATACAGAGGTACAAAAAAATACAGATAAGAGCAGTATGCCAAAGCCACTTATACTATGCATAGCATTACGGGCTGGCTTAAAATTAACTTAAGATTAACTAAGCAATGATTATTATTATTATTATAATCAAAAAGAAGCGCTAAGCCACAAGGACTATACAGCGCTGCTACTAAGCAATGATGAAATCAGTGATAAAACATTAATGTAAACAGATAACAATAAAGCACAAGTGAGTATTACAAAGACAGGTCATATGGTTGCATTCAGTTAGGTAGTGATTCTGTTAGGTAGTGTATTTAAAAAATAATAAAGTTAGATTGGGTTTTAGGTTTAGCACACTTGTCTGTATGGTTCAAGGTTCACCTGCCATTGTTCAAGTCCCAACCGTAATATGATTTATTATATTAATGAGGAAATGAGGAAGTGCTAAATCCTTAGGGGTGATAACAGTGCCTTGGGAATGAGAGGGACTCGTATTTAATCCAAAGAGTTCTTCATCAGATTCAGTGCCTCGACCTTGAAGAGTGACTCTGGTAGATCACACGACTGCTTTAATTATCGTTTTCAAGGTCTTTCAGTGAATTAAATTAGGTAAGATTAGTTGAGAAACAGGATAAGTATGTCTCCTGCCAGAGACCTTCCACCGGCTTACCCGTCCACGTCTTTAAGAATTAATGTTATAATTATAACCATTTATTTTTGTTTAGGTTAGGCAAGGTTTGTCAGGAAACCGGACAAGTGTTTCATGGCGCGTGTCTTAGTCATATGATGGCCCACAGCTGGAGCTTTTGGTCATCTGACCGAGGCCTTCCACTGGCTTACCAGTCCACCCCTTCAAAAATTGTGGTTTTTGATTATAAAAGAATTTTATGTTTTTTTCCCAACACATGTCAGCTATTATATCACAAGACGTGTAATTAAGCAGGTTATTTTAATGGTAAACAATAGTAACATTAATTTTAAAATTTATTTTTAATATTTAAAAGAAATATTTGTTTAAATTAAACATTTAATAAATGTCTAGTGTTTGTCAGTGTTTACTATGATAAAATCGCTAGTGGGCAAAACGTTTTCTGACTGAAGTGCAATAAACACACACTATCTCATTTCCATGCTTCTTGATACGAAACATCAGTGATATACTTCTAACATTCCTTCATAGTTCATTTGCTTCTCGTTACACTTGTTAACAGAGGCTGTGTGATGGTGACAAGTGTATCTTCCTTCTGCAGGAGACGGCTGGGATGTTCCGTGTGGCGCAGCAGCAGGAGGAAGATGGTGGGAGAGTTGGGAGGCTGGAGGTTGGGGCGCCGCTCCACTCGCTCATGCTTGGACCCTCACCTGTCGTAAAGCTCACCCTCACCTGTGGGACTAACGAGGTAGGTGACAACTCTGAATGCATCACATGGAAATGCCGACAATTTGTAGTTTCCCATCACAAAGGCAGTGATGGGAAACCTTATCACGGGTGGGGTTAGAACCCGCGATCAGAGTCACAAAACTCCAGACCGACGCGTTAGCCACTGGCTAACGCGTCGGTCTGGAGTTTTGAGAGACTCTGATCGCGGGTTCTAACCCCACCCATGGTATGGTTTGTTTGCAATCGTGTCATTACAATTTCGTGAGTCAGTGATGGGAAACTGTAGATGGTTTCGCCCACGCAGCAGGTTTCTTAAAGCTCTTATGCTACTCCCGAAGCTAGATCACCCATGTGGTAGGTTGTTGTGTATCCAGGGGGTAAAACCATATCTTTAGGCATATCCGTACCCAGAAAAAGTATACCGACATAATGTAAATAAAATACACATCGTTTCGCTAGCCACTGGTTGGCAAAACGTATCTACAAAAAACATTCACAAATGTTGCAAAAGCATCTCATTCTTCAACTTGTCACTTCTCTAAACCATTTAAGTCACTCAACACACAATGCTGGTTATGGCAGGTTTAACACTATATCCACTAAGGACTTAGTTAAGAAGGTGGCTGGTTTACCTGGTGGGCGAAACGTCATAATAAAATACCACTATCCGCATTGTGTCGCATTTACATACGCTAAAACACACGGCCCCAACCGAGAAATGAACCTGGGTTCTTTGGAATGAATTACAAATGGTGAGCTACGACACCTGCTCTCCTCTCCTTACTATAATTACCACTTAGCTCTCTGCGTACACAACAGTGCTTTCCGCTTGGTTAATCGTATATAATTGAGCTTGTTAACCAACAGCAAATAGGAAGTGAGTAGGAAGGTAGTGTCTCCGTTAAGAGTGGGTGCCATGTGTGTGTTTTATACAGAATATTTTTATTGGATTCGGAAGCCGCAGGGCGAGGATCCGCTGCTGGTCTAGTACCCAGCACTACTTACCTGGAGTTTACCTGGAGAGAGTTTCGGGGGTCAACGCCCCCGCGGCCCGGTCTGGGCAAGTTTGTTTACGTACAGGAATACAAAAGCACAATTATCTTATATAGCTTTGCATGTGTCAGTTGCCTAGGGTTTTAAAATGGTGTAGTGATACCGACAAGGTTTGGAACAAGTATTTGTGTACACTTTAGAACAGTTATCAGAGGAAACGTTTTGCCACGAGTAGCTTTTTTAGCCATAACTGAAGAATCACTCGTAGCGAAACATTTCCTTTAATAAATATCCTGAACTATACATAAGTGTCTTTTTCTAGACCTAAAGTCTTGGCAGATTTTATTTACCCGCGGGCTTAGTAACCCAGCATAACCCAATAAAGCCACTAAGTCTGATTTATTTCCACTGTGGTCCTTTGACCCTTTTCCCTTAAATACTAAGTATATTTAGATACAGACACACGTAAGTACAATTATCAGAAGGCCTGAGCTTGCTACCATCTGCAGCTCATAAGGCTGCCATCCCCACGAGCCCCTTCGAGGCGGGGTAGATGGCAGACCAGAGGCCTAGCTTCTCCCTACGAGCCCCGTGAGGGCGGGGAATGTGGCTAGGCCTGGGGACACTTGGTCCCAAAGATGAGGCGGTACTTGTCCTTCCTCCCATGGGAGACTTAAGTCTCGAGACACTCCCCAGATAGGGAGCCAAGGCCGGGTCACCACTACTTGGAAAAGACCTGGGCCGGGAGAATACCGGTGAATAAAAAAAAAAAGTGCAATTATCATAAATAGTAACATATGTGTAAATTACCTAGGAGAACCAAAAATAGTTATAGTGACTTAGTTTCCACTGGGATTCACTGCTACCCATAAGGTAGGTGTAATGTTCGTCAGGAAACAGGACAAGTGTTTCCTGACGCAGGTCTTACTCAGATGATGACCCACCACTGGAGCTTTTGATTATCTGACCGAGGCCTTCCACTATAAGAATTATGGTTATGATTATTTGGTATGCTGCATTACCTTTGTAAATTGTGAGTTCATTACCTTTGTAAATTGTGAGTTCATTACCTTTGTAAATTGTGAGTTCATTACCTCTGTAACTTGCTCAGCTATCAAAACTTTGGAGTCCAGTCCCTGGACCAATTATGTACCTCTGTAATCTTTTGACTACCGCCCACAGGATGTGTATGGGGTGCATAATAAACATATTAAACTAAAAACTATGCTGCTGGCCATAACACTCGGCTAACACTCAAGTACATGCTTACTGCCGCAGAGACAACATGGGTAAGGAAACACACCCAAGGCTTCCACTTGATCTGGGTTCGAACCCGTGTCCTGATGTGCACAGAAAGCCCTACGACTACTTGAGCCACGAGCACACATTACTTCATTTCATCATTTATTTATAATGTTTAGGAATTGCATACCACGGAACGTATGTAGCCGGCACATCCTCAGAAGAATTGTTAGGTTGAAAGCCTATTAGTTAGGCAGTCCTTCAGTCTGGAATGAACATACCATCACCAGGCTGAGGGACTGATTACCTCAAACACGCTCACATGTTCCACCATTTTACTCTGTACTGGACTGTGGAAGCGACTGGTTTATTTATACAGATACATGATACAACTTATACAGACCTAGCTGGCATTAATAATATACTATAGAAAGCTCCTTGTTATGCAGAACATTTCGGGCAAATTAGGTCAGTTTTGTCCCAGGATGCGACCCACACCAGTCGACTTACACCCAAGTACCCATTTTACTGATGGGTAAACAGGGACAGCATGTGTTTTATGGAAACACGTCCTAATGTAGACCTCAGTGTGCGAGCTGAGTGTACTAGTGATCGAGCTACAGAAGCTATAGCCTGGTAGCTAAAGCTCTCGCTTCACACGGTGAGTTTTCGGGTTCGATTCCCGGCGAGGGTAGAAACATTGGGCGTATTTCTTTACACCTGTTGTCCATGTTCATCCATCAGCATAAAATGGGTATCTGGGTGTTAGTGGACTGGTGTGGGTCGCATCCTGGGACAAAACTGACCTAATTTACCCGAAATGCTCAGCATAACAAGCGGCTTTATATACAGTAGTATGTCATTGATGTCAGCTATTACAACCCAGGATTCCAAATGGCCTGTTACCCCGGGTGTAATGGGAGCAAATAAACACAGTAGAAAAAGTTTAGACTTATATTATCCTTCACCAATTTAGAACAGCAATATGTACACTATGTACAGTGATAAGTATAGTGCACTCCACGGTAAGCAAAGCAGAAATAGAAGCCACAAGATAGCAGACCGTGCTTCAACCAGCTCTAGAATGGGAATGACAAGGGCAGACAGGAGAGCGGTACCCACACAACCTGGAGTTTACCTGGAGTTTACCTGGAGAGAGTTTCGGGGGTCAATGCCCCCGCGGCCCGGTCTGTGACCAGGCCTCCTGGTGGATCAGCGCCTGATCAACCAGGCTGTTGCTGCTGGCTGCACGCAAACCAACGTACGAGCCACAGCCCGGCTGATCAGGAACTGACTTTAGGTGCTTGTCCAGTGCCAACCTCTGCGATTGCTAAAACCATCTTCTTATTGGCTAGAACCTGGTCACTAGTTGAACGACGGGGCCCCATCATCAACTCTTAGCAACCTGGTTCGCTGGTTGGGGGAGATAGCCTGTAAATGAGAGTGTGTACATGCGCCGAATAAAGGTTACGTACTCTTTGCATGCCACATCAGCTATGGTATGTATACCTTGTACATGTACAAATATGGATATTATTATTGTTATTAAATTTCCACAATAAAATTACCCAAGTGTTGCATTAATGTTTCATTAATCTATGCACATACATTTGTTTAAAAGATGGGTTAGTGGTAGAAGTAGAATAATCACGAAGTCTCAGTATTTTTGCTTCTCGGAGGCAATGATCAGCATACCTGTCCCCACAGGACGACCCCAGATTTAATGAGGAATATCGTGTAAACCGACATTATATACGAAATTCGAAATACTTTATTTTCAGAAAGTATGCAAATATAAGTTTATTTCAACCACAACAACCACCACTACAACAACCACCACTACAACCACCACCACTACAACAACCACCACTACAACCACCACCACTACAACCACCACCACTACAACTACCACTACAACAACCACCACTACAACAACCACCACCACTACAACCACCACCACTACAACCACCACCACTACAACTACCACTACAACAACCACCACTACAACAACCACGACTACAACAACCACCTTTGTATCTATAATTACATGTACAAGGAAAACAGGCAAGTAAGTTTATTCAGGTATACACCGAGAGATACAGATGATCATACAGAGCAGCATATATGTAGAAAACCTACATAACCTTATCTGTGTATACTAAGTAAACTTACTTGCCTGTTTACCTTGTACATGTATGCAGGCATACAGTCAGGCATAGCATTTAGTAAGCTTATTTAGATACAGGAACACACAAATACAGTTAAATTATTATACATAGTAACATGTGTAAATTACGTAGGATAAAAAGTCAGTGACTAATGTCAATTTATACATAAATACATTCGAATACTTGCAAAATCCATGGAATGCACAACACCTTTATCATTATATCTTGTTAACCATCATTATACCCTGGGAACCGACATTATAAATTGTCTACATTCCTCCGCAGGTGCCGCTTCAGGTGACAGTGTACGTGGAAGACGTCAACGACCACGCACCAGTGTTCGTGGCTAAAAATATCACAGTTACCGTCGACGAACTCACTCCGCCAGGTACGTTTTCTATGAAGCTTGATAACACTCAGTTTTCTCTTTTAGTAAGTTTATTCCGGTATACTTAAATATATAACGATGCTCCCTCCTCTCCATTTCGTTAGTATGACTTTGTAAATGGTCCAAGTCGGACCGAAACGTCGTCGTAAGCTCCTCTCTTCTATGTGCGGGTTATTTGTGTATTGTGTATACACAAATACAGTTACATAGATTATCATACATAGCAGCATATGTGTAGAGAACCAAGGACAACCCCAAAAATAAGAAAAAGTACCTTTATTTCCATTAGGGTCCTTGTGATAAATATTATCACTTGTACGGGCAAACAGAAATACATTTACATATTTATCATATATAGCAGCATATGTATATATTACCTAGGATAACCCAAAAAAGGTCATTTCCACTTCTGAGCTTAAGTTTATTTAAGTAGGTAAAATCACATTTAGTTGAGATTTTTAACCTGCAGGGTTAGTAAATAAGCGAATTAGCCGCCAAGGGTAACCCAGTTAAGTCAGTGCGCCATCGAGGACTGTCTTATTTCCATTGTGGTCCTTTAATCTTGTCCCCCAGGATGCTACCCACACCAGTCGAATAACACCCAGGTACCTACTAACTGCTAGGTGAACAGTGACAGCAGGTGTAATACCTGGAGAGGGTTTCGGGAGTCAACGCAACCGCTGCCAGGTCCATGATCAGGCCTCGCGGTGTATCAGGCTGTTATTGGTGGCCACACGCAAACCGACTTACGAGCCACAACCCGGCTGGTCAGGTAAGGAAACATGCCCAATGCTTCCACCTATGCCGGTGATAGAACCACGGACACTATGGGAGGCGAGTGCGCTATCAACTGAGCCACAAGCCTGGTAATAAAAATCTTAAGTCCTAGAAGTACGTGTCTGAAGAAGCCTACTGAGTTTGCCTGGAGTTTACCTGGAGAGAGTTCCGGGGGTCAACGCCCCCACGGCACGGTCTGTGACCAGGCTTCATGGTGGATCAGGGCCTGATCAACCAGGCTGCTACTGCTGGCTGCACACAATCCAACCACAGCCCGGCTGGTCAGGTACCGACTTCAGGTGCTTGTCCAGTGCCTGCTTGAGGACAGCCAGGGGTCTATTGGTAATCCCCCTTATGTATGCTGGGAGGCAGTTGAACAGTCTCGGGCCCCTGACACTTATTGTATGGTCTCTTAACGTGCTAGTGACACCTCTGCTTTTCATTGGGGGGATGTTGCATCGTCTGCCGAGTCTTTTGCTTTCGTTGTGAGTGATTTTTGTGTGCAAGTTTGGTACTAGTCCCTCTAGGATTTTCCAGGTGCACATTATCGTGTATCTCTCCCGCCTGCGTTCCAGGGAGTTCAGGTTCAGGAACTTCAAGCGCTTCCAGTAATTGATGTGTTTTATCTCCGTTATGCGCGCCGTGAAGGTTCTCTGTACATTTTCTAGGTCAGCAGCAGTACATAGCCTATGTTAGGTCCTTAATTGATTATGTTGCTCCCATGTTGATATTAGCTAGAGAAAGTTCTCTCCGACCCTTGGAGTTAATGCAAAATGAAGCTCTCAGGATTATTCTTGGCTGTCCCAGATCTACAAAAGTTCTTAACATGAGGGAGCTTGAAATACCAAGCTCCCTCATGTTAAGAACTTTTGTAGATCTGGGACAGCCAAGAATAATCCTGAGAGCTTCATTTTGCATTAACTCCAAGGGTCGGAGAGAACTTTCTCTAGCTAATATCAACATGGGAGCAACATAATCAATTAAGGACCTAACATAGGCTATGTACATCATTCTCACGATTCTCGCATTAGCACCATAGTTGGGATTGTAGCCAGCAACAGCTTTGAGAGCATTTAGCCTAGCTTTGCATTTCTTGTTTAGTTGTGGTATAGTGGATTTGTTAAAGGGTACATCTACACCAAGATATCTGTAAGTTTTAACGTAGCTAATGATTTCACCCTGCAAATAGATGGGTGGGGGATGCCGTTTGCTTGTTAATATCTTTGTTTTAGAGGAAGATATTATGAGGCCTAGTCGATTACAAATTGCTTGAACTTCATTAAGAATGGTATTCATCTTCTTATGCCCTGTTGTATGGATCATGATATCATCAGCATAGCTTATAGCTATATGTTTAGGTGAGGCAGGTAGAGCATTTAGGAGAGCATTAATCAGAATATTAAATATCATGGGACTTCCTCAATAAGTGGACAATTAAGCACATGGTGCTCAAGACAGTGACTATATACCTAACCATATAATTTGCATTTAGTTTGATCATCTATGTGTCTCCCAAACTACCAGTGGTAATGAAGCACATACCACTATAGTAACTTATATGTTTGAATACCAGGGATGCTGCTTAGTGTACAATAAAAGTATTGTATAAAAACTGCGCCATAGTTAGGGGATTTGTACTGGAATTAGACGCGTATTGTTCCTGGTCAGAGGCCAGGAGAGTGACGTGTTTAGAGATTAGATTAGAGCAGTAGTTAAAACACAGCAGAATGATTAAGATGTTCTGGTGTGAGTGGTTGAATTACCTGGAGAAGGTTTCGGGGGTCATGGTGGATCAGGGTCTGATCAACCAGGCTGTTACTGTTGGCCGCACGCAAACTGACGTATGAACCACAGCCCGGTTGATCAGGTACTGACTTCAGGCAAGTTTTTTTTTTTTTAGTATATATAGGTAATTTTATTTGTGTATATCGTTCCACAATTAATGTGAAGGTACAAGCAGGCCCTAGAGTGGTTTTTTCAATGTTAAATAACGCATGCCCCTAGACTTGTCAGGTTATTTATTTACTACCAGTACATGTACAAGGTATACAGACCATACCTGACATTAATGACATACTACTATATAGAAAGTACCTTGTTATACAAAGTATTTCTTGCAAATTAGGTCAGTTTTACCCCAGGATGCAACCCACACCAGTCCATTAACACCCAGGTACTCATTTTACTGATGGGTGAACGGGGACATAAAATGTCTTTATGGAAACACGTCCCTAATAGTACTGGAGATTCTTGCCAGTGATGGTACTTGGGAGTCTTCCACTCATCTACAACTCTATTGCCAAACCAGTATTTCCCAATATTTTCCTTAAGTTTATAATATATAATGATAACGAGTTATTTATTTTTAAGTTTTATAGACGTGTCTAATTGCATTTATTTTAGCAGTTTGAACTGTAGGAACATAACTTTTCTCAAAGTTTGGTGATTAAAAAAACACTTAAATTTTTCACTGATACTAGTAGTATATGCATACCTTATTTATTATTAAAACCATCATCAAAAATTACTGATAAAAATCTCACCAGAGCAACATCAAAAAATGGACTTAATACTTTTTTTTCAGGCTTGACAATTCTTCCAGAGATCAGAGTGACAGATGATGACAAACCCAACACTGCTAACTCAGAAATTGAGCTGGAATTGCTCACAGGAGATGAGGATGAATATTTCACCATGGTGGACAGAAAGCGAGGCACCATCACCCTGGCTAAGCACCTCGACTATGATGCTGGTCCAAAGAAATTCTTCCTGGGCGTCGTGGCTAAGGTGTCACCATTAAATTTCAGACATTTTGTAAAAAAGGATTGATGAAAGTATTTAGGATTTAGCTGCTAAGGACTACTCAGTGTACCTATTTCACTTTTACGTATGTATATATACATAGAATTAAATTTAAAGTAAAATATGAAATTAGGTAATAAAATAATGCTATGCAATGAGCAAAAAATAAGATTTGACAGATAAAACTGGTTATGGTGGTGTTTTCTAGTCAAATTAACTTGTCTAGGCAATCCTTGAAATAACTCATTTGCTTAGAAATCTGTCTTCTCAAGGGACAGTTCTTAGATTCAGTTGGTCAGGTTCTGTGAAAAAAAGACAGGTTATGCAGTGTAGGTTGAATCATTCCCTCATTTCACCTGATAATCATTTCTTTATCATCATAATGACCATTTCCTGCCATGGCTGGGTGACACAAAATACATTTAATATATTTCAAGTAAAACTGCATTATCAAAGTGAATATTTCTCTGAGTGACTTCAGCACATTATTATTATTACCCTGGATGAAAACTGAATTAAAATATTATACCCAGTAACAGCTCTGAGAGACTCCCTGGCAATGTTAAATTGTATGAATAATCAATTCAGTGTTTGCATGACGATATTCTGGTATTATTTCTTTGATCAAGAGTCTGTGATGTTCTTTATAATACAAAAACAGTATAAATAATGAGTATCTTGACTGACATTAGTTTTCTATAGTGATTTCCCACCAAGGTAGGGTGAAGAAATGGATATTACTGCACATGCAATGATATATTGCAAGGTTCTCAATAACATGGTGATACAAACTGTGGAAAAGTAGACTGGTGTGCAGTTTGAATAATTTATTAAACGAAATGTTTCACTATGAGGGGCTGTAGCTTATTTGATAGCACACTCAACACTTGCATTGAGGTCCGTGGTTCTATCCCAGGTACGAGTAGAAACCATAAAGGGTGTTTCCTTCAGCCACCTGTTGTCCTTGTTCACCTAGCAGGAAGTAGGTACCTGTGTGTTAGCCTACTTGTGTGGATAGGATAATGGGGACAAAATTAACCTAATATCCCCAAAATGCTATGTATAACAAGGGGTTTTCTGTATTGTATGTCAGTTAGGTCTGTATACACTGTACATGTTGAAATAAATTATCATCATCATCAAAACTAATTGCTAAACTCAAACTGTAAAAATAAGGGTTATTATTATTCTTATTTTTACTGTTATTATTAGTGGTTTCATAAGGCCTTGTCCTGAACTGTACACCGAGTCTTCCACAACATATTACAGTGTCAGTCACAAGCTGGTTATAGGCATCTTTTACAGGACATGGGTAAGCCTACTCTGAGTTCAACAAGCACTATCACTGTGATGGTGATGGATGCTGATGACCTTCCTCCTGTATTCTCACACACCCTCTACACCGCCACAGTAACAGAGATCCCTGGTCCTAACACAGTAAGTCGAATGATTTTTTTGTAAACCGAATTACTGAATTCTCTCCGTTCAGGCTGACAGGACTACATTACTTCATTCAAAAACCCGTTTTGTGTGGAGTATGACAGGAAAAAACTGTGTGTGATGGCATACGACATGAAATCATTGTAAGACCTCTTATACTTCAGAATAGCCGTACAGTGTAATGCATAAATTTCCATATGAAAATTATTTTTGAAATACATCATATTATGGAAGAAAAAACCTAAAAAAAAACTCTTTTTATCTTTCTCTCAGGGGTGACCCCCAGAAAGAGAAATACTTTCACCTCATTCACACTATCACTGTCTTTGCAGAGACACCCAGATGCAACGGTTTAGATGTCACTCCAAACAGCCAATATCCTAAATCCTCTATAAAGTGCAGGCATTGTATACGTCCCACTCTTGGACTCAAATCCGGCTAACCGGTTTCCTTGAATCCCTTCATAAAATATTACCCTGCTTACACTCCAACAGCTCATAAAGTCCTAAAAACCATTCATCTCCACTCCTATCCAACATGCTCACACATGCCTGCTGTATGTTCAAGCCCCTGCACACAAAATCTCTCTTACCCCCTCCCCATCCTATCCTAGGATGACCCCAACCCCTCCATCCATCTACTACAGATGTATACAACTTCTCAGTCATCTTATTTTGCTTTATCCTCTCTAAGTGACCAAACTACCTGAACAATGCCTCATCTGCCCTCTGAATAATTTAGAAACTTCACACCATCTAATTTCCACACTACAAATTCTCTTCATAATATTTATGCCAAACAGTGCTCATAGACACGACATCTCCACTGCCTCAAGCCGCCTCCTCACTTCAACATTTACAACCCAAGCTTCACACCCATATAACAGTGTTGGTACCACTATACTCTCATACATTCCTTTCTTTGTCTCTATGGATAACGTTCTTCGTCTCCACAGATATCTCGGTGCACCACCTCATCCTTCATAAACCCATCTGCTGACAAGATTGCTCCCAAATATCTGAACACATTCACTTCTTCCATATTCCCTCCAATCTGATATCTAGTTTTTCTTTAATTAACTCATTTGATACCCTCATTACATTACTCTTATCGATGTTCACTTTCAGTGTTATGAGCATTAAATGTGGCATTGATGGCTAGTTTAGATTAACTAAAATATGGCAAGGGTAGATTTGCATCTATGAGGAATATACATTTATTCTCACTGACTGCGGGAATGCATGTGTATATTTTTCTTGCTGATGGCAGTAATGCAAGTACAGTGGTCCCCCGCTTTTCATAGTTCCTGGCAATCGTAAAATTCGCCAATCATAGGGGTATTTTCGTATAAACATGGACCCGCTTTTCATAGGTTGACTCGCGAGTCATAGTTCGTCCAGGACGCGTACGCACGGCATGAGCCAGGGCGGCAGCCAGTCTGGCATTGTTTACCAGTGAGCGAGGGTCCCCTCGTGTGCTCCAGCGAAATATTTCATAATCCATTTATTTTAGTGCTTGCAAGTACTAAATAAGCTACCATGGCTCCAAAGAAAGCTCCTAGTGCCAAACCTGTGGTAAAGAAGGTGAGAAATATGACTGAATTTAAGAAAACCATCATTGAACAATATGAAAGTGGTACAAGTGTGGCCGAACTGTCCAGGATGTACAAGAAACCCTACACAACCTTATGTTCCATAGTGGCCAAGAAAAATGAAATAAAGGATGCTGTTGTTGCAAAGGGAGTAACTATGCTGACAAAAATGAGATCACCAGTACTGGAAGAGGTTGAGAAGTTATTATTGGTGTGGATAAATGAGAAACAATTAGCAGGAGATACTCTTATGACTTCGTTTATTTGTGAAAAGGCTAGGCAGTTGCATGAAGATTTGGTAAAGAAATTGCCTGCAAATAGTGGTGAAGTGAGTGAATTTAAGGCCAGCAAAGGCTGGTTTGAGAGATTTAAGAACCGTACTGGCATACACAGTGTGGTAAGGCATGGTGAGGCTGCCAGTTCGGACCACAAGACGGCTGAAAATTTTTTATTATTATTATTATCACACTGGCCGATTCCCACCAAGGCAGGGTGGCCCGAAAAAGAAAAACTTTCACCATCATTCACTCCATCACTGTCTTGCCAGAAGGGTGATTTACACTACAGTTTTTAAACTGCAACATTAACACCCCTCCTTCATGAATGTGCATGAATTCCAGGAGTACATAAACAGTGAAGGACTGAAACCTGAACAAGTGTTCAATTGTGACGAAACAGGCCTCTTTTGGAAGAAAATGCCAAAGAGGACCTTCATTATACAAGAGGAAAAGGCAATGCCAGGACATAAGCCTATGAAAGACAGGCTGACGCTAATGTTCTACGCTAATGCTAGTGGGGATTTCAAATTGAAGCCATTACTAGTGTACCATTCTGAAAATCCCAGAGTGTTCAGGAAAAACAATGTTATGAAGAGTAAATTGTGTGTGTTTTGGGAAAAATCTAATAGTAAGGCATGGGTCATGAGGGAAATTTTCATCGAGTGGTTCAATGAAGTGTTTGGCCCTAGTGTAAAGGAGTATCTCCGGGAAAAGAAATTGGATCTCAAGTCGTGCTAGTAATGGACCCAAAGCACCTGCTCATCCTCCAAACTTGGATGACCTAATTTTCGAGGAGTTGCGTTCGTCCAGTAAAGTTCTTGCCCCGAATACCACTCCTCTCCTCCAACCCATGGACCAGCAGGTTATTGCAACTTTAAAAAACTCTACCAAAAGCAATGTTTCACAGGTGCTTGACTGTACCACAGACACTCACTTGACCCTAAGGGAATTTTGGAGAGAACACTTCAGCATCCTCCACTGCATAACCCTTATAGTATGGCTTGGAGGGATGACTACCAGGACTTTGAACTCTGCCTGGAGAAAATTGTGGCAGATTGTGTCGACAAGAGGGGTTTTGAAGGATTTGGGACTGACCCTAATGAGCCTATGTCTGTTGTAAAATCAATTGTGGCACCGAGGAGTTCCCTGGGTTGGATTGAGTTTGGAGGATGTGGAAGAATTGGTGGGAAAACCCCAACGAAGAGCTCACCACTGAGGAGCTGCAAGAGCTTCAGCAGGAAGAGCAACACTCGCAGCTCAGAATCTTGCTGCAGAGGGGGAGGAAGAGAGATGGAAGAAGGTGCCTTCTGAAATTAAAGAGATTTTTACTATGTGGGGTAAGATGGAAAGCTTTATGGAGAAACATCACCCTAACAAGGTTGTTTTCGAGCCCGTTTGGGAACATGTACAGTGACAAAGTCCTTGGGCCATTTTAGGGAAGTGTTAAAGAGATGCCAGAAACAGAGCTCTCTCCACAGTTATTTTGTGACAGGACTCCAGTGACTCTCAAGGTGGTCCTAGTGGCACTAAGAAACAGAGAAGAGAAGCAACCCAGAAAAGCAAATGGGAAACCCGAGGGTTGATGGAAGAGGATTCCCCTTCCAAACTATAAACAATCCACCTTCTCTCCTCCTCCAGTCTCCCATACACTAAGAAGAATCTCCAATAAAGGTAAGTGTTATGCTGTTAATGTTTCATTCATCATTTCCCATTGTATTGTTTATGTACTACATGTATATTTCATGTTAAAAAATTTTTTGTTTTAATACTTCTGGGTGTCAGGAACGAATTAATTGTATTTACATTATTTCTTATGGGGAAAATTGATTCGTAAATCGTAAATTTCGTTTATAGTAATGGCTCCAGGAACGGATTAATTACGAACAACGAGGGACCACTGTATTGTAAGTTTTTTCTACAAACAAATGTCTGTAACATAAATTTTATATTTAAGGGTTCGAATATCCGCCAAGAGGTGAAAGTGTCTCCAAGTGAACTGAGTGCCAGAGACGGTGACGTTGGACAAAACACTTCCCTCCAGTATACATTAGTGGAGTCTCCAGCAGCTGAATACTTCACCCTGAACCCGAACACAGCTCGCCTCTACCTCACCAAACACCTGGACCGAGAGAAGCTCATGGATAACACCTTGGTGTTACATGTCAGAGCTGCACAGGTTAGTTATTATACATCACTGGTAGAATACACTGACAAGTATGATAATGTGGTAAATGATGGTCATGCCATTTCATTGAGAAAACCTTTGCCTGAAATGCTTCGTATAACTATGGGCTTCTGCATGCATAACCATAATTTTTAAAGAGGTGGGCCGGTAAGCTAGCGGAAGGCCTCGATCAGATGACCAAAAGCTCTAGCAGCAGGTCATCATATGACTAAGACTCGCATCAGGAAGCACTTCTCCTATTTCCTGACAAATCTTACCTAATTTAATATGTACAAACATTGCATCATGCCGAAATAAAATATTATTATTTAAAATTCCAAATTCCTTTATTTCCTTGTAAGTTTACAATGTGGTTGACATATTATAGGAAGTATATTTACATAGGTAGTTTACAGTGAGGGTTTATAATTTGTTGTGCAAAGAGAGCCACTATCATGCCTAGGCGTTATGGGCAGTCTAAACTTAATACGTTACAGATTACTTAACACTAGACTTATAAAACATAGTTTGATAAGGACTTGATCATTTCGCATGTTTTCTCTTTTAAATGCCATAAACATCATATTGTGCCTTAACATTCGGTTTAGTTATGTGGGAGTTAGTAAGCTGAGATTTTATTTAGCTAGTTTCAAGTTAGTCTTTTTGCATATATTTTCATGTATGACTTGAAGTTAGTATGTACTTATTAACGACTGTGTGAAGATGCCTTGTTTCAAGGTTAAGTTAGTAAGTTTATTAAGGTATAGGTATACATAAATACAGTTATATAAATTATCATACATACCAGCATATGTGTAGAATACCCAGGATAACCTAAAAAAGTTAGGTAAGGTTTGTCAGGAAAACAGAAAAATTGTTTCTTGACACGGGTCATAGTCATATGACCCAGAGTTGGTTCTTTTGGTCATCTGATCGAGGCCTTCCACTGGCTTACCGGTCCACTCCTTTCAAAATTATAGTTATGATTATACCCAGTTTAGCTTAAATAATAATACAAATAATTACGTAAACATAAATCGAATCAGCATGAAGGAAATACTTTTAATAAAATTATCTGAATAATTTCTTGCTATTTGTTACTCTACTGAAGGAAGTAATTGCTGGAAGAAATCATGGTGGCCCGGTGGCCCGGTGGCCTGGTGGCCCGGTGGCCTGGTGGCTAAAGCTCCTGCTTCACACACGGAGGGCCCAGGTTCGATTCCCGGCGGGTGGAAATTCCGACACGTTTCCTTACACCTGTTGTCCTGTTCACCTAGCAGCAAATAGGTACCTGGGTGTTAGTCGACTGGTGTGGGTCGCATCCTGGGGGACAAGATTAAGGACCCCAATGGAAATAAGTTAGACAGTCCTCGATGACGCACTGACTTTCTTGGGTTATCCTGGGTGGCTAACCCTCCGGGGTTAAAAATCCGAACGAAATCATACATTAGGGAGACATTAGCCAAGAAGCACTCCAGGATTTAATGTGTCCCATAGCTCACTTGCTAGCACACTCAGCTCGCACACTGAGGTCCGGTGATTGAATACCTGGTATGGCTGGAAAACAGTAGGATGTGTTTCCATTAGACACCTACTGTCCATGTTCACCCATCAGTAAGATGGGTACCTGGGTGTTAGTTGACCGGTGTGGGTTGCATCCTGGGACAAAATTGACCTAATTTGCCCGAAATGCTCTGCATAAAAAGTGACTTTTTGTATAGTAGTATGTCATTGATGTCATATAGGCCTGTATACCTTGTGCTTGTTGAAATAAAGATGATATTATTATTATTATTATTATTATGAACATTGTGTAATTTCAGGTTGACAACCCACGACGTGTTGGGTCAACAGTATTGGAGGTGGTGGTGGAGGATGTTAATGACAATCTACCACAGTTCACACATGATGTCTATTCCATATCTATCGTGGAGAACCTGCCTTCTGGGTTCAGTGTTGTTCAGGTGTCTGCACTTGATCCTGATGAGGTAAATTCCAAGGAAGCTGAAGGTTGGTTGGTTAATGGGGTTGAAAGCTCATTATCTGTACAAGGGTCACTAAGGCTGGGTGTAACCTGTTTGTCACATATCAAGAATACTTTAATATCTAAAATGAGAATTAAACTCTAAGTATATATACATTGAGGACTATAAACCTCACAGGGTATATATACTGTGTAGGAAGCTAATATCTGCGGTCAACAACAGAACAATGGGTTAACAGAGGATGGAGACAGTATAACATACCGATATGATGGAAGAAGACTAATGCAATACAGTGGACCCCCGCATAACGATTACCTCCGAATGCGACCAATTATGTAAGTGTATTTATGTAAGTGCGTTTGTACGTGTATGTTTGGGGGTCTGAAATGGACTAATCTACTTCACAATATTTCTTATGGGAACAAATTCGGTCAGTACTGGCACCTGAACATACTTCTGGAGTGAAAAAATATCGTTAACCGGGGGTCCACTGTATATTGCTATCCTCTCTTGACTATGTTTTGCCCACTCAGTGGTCTTTATCACCAACAGATCTGTTTGTGACTTGATAAAGCCCAGTGTGAGGGCAAAACATTGTCAACAAAGTATCACATTATACTTCATACGTCTCTCTTCATGATAGATACAAGAATACCCTAGGATTAAATAATTAGGATTAAAGATACAAGAATATCCTAGGATAAAATAATTAAGATTAAAGATACAAGAATATCCTAGAATTAAATGATAGGGATTAAAGATACAAGAATATCCTAGGATTAAAGATACAAGAATATCCTAGGATTAAAGATACAAGAATATCCTAGGATTAAAGATAAAAGAATATCCTAGGATTAAAGATACAAGAATATCCTAGGATTAAAGATACAAGAATATCCTAGGATTAAAGATACAAGAATATCCTAGGATTAAAGATACAAGAATATCCTAGGATTACACCTGATCCCATAGTATGCTATCATTCTCACAGGACTTGGTAACCATCTTTATCTCTTATTGTGCCGGGAAAAACAGAGAATATATTTTACAGCATTTTATGATAAGAATGAGGTCACACTAGGAACTACAGAACTGTAGTTGACCTGTAACAAGTTGTATAGATGTAAATAATGTCTGGAAAGAGTTGCAAACCAGTGAGGATCATACAGCATTCTTGGAAGAGAAAGCTGTAATCTTAAATCTTGGGAAGGGGAGGTGTAGTTCCAAGTACAGTGGACCTCTGGTTTACGATCAGCTCCCAATGCAACCAATTATGTAAGTGTATTTATGTAAGTGCGTTGGTATGTGTATGTTTGGGGGTCTGAAATGGACTAATCTAATTCACAATACTATTCCTTATGGGAACAAATTCGGTCAGTACTGGCACCTGAACATACTTATGAAATAATATCGTAAACCGGGGGTCCACTGTACTTGGATCCAAAACCTTCAGCATAAAGGGGCTTTTGGGAAAGAGTTTCTCTTGCAGTAATCTGTTCTCATATTGAATGAAACACTTATGCAACATTTGGGAATATTTATTGAGAAAATGTTTCACCAGCCAGTGACTCTTTCAGTCCCATACCGAGAATAACAGAAGACGAGAGGTTTGAGGAAATCAGTCCCCCTCAGTCAATGTGTTCAGTCCATCAATCTTGAGAAATGTATGATGTTGCATAAGCATCACATTCAACTACTTGGCAGTTTTCAAAACCATTTTCATCATAAATTGTTCTCATACATACACTTGACTGTATGTTTATTATTATAATTGGTATATATCATTACAGGGTATAAATGGAGCATTCAACTACCATGTGGTTGGTGGAGGAGGAGCTCTGGCTGTCAACCCGCACTCTGGCTGGCTAACAGTAGCCAACCACAACTTGCTTGACCGTGAGGAATCTCCAGTCATCAAGCTAGAGGTGTGCACCAACCAGATAGCACCTCTCATCAAGCCTCTCACTAATGACAGCATTACTCACAAGCTACCAGACGGTAACAGTACTGAACAGGGTAAAGTCACGTTACAAGAAGGTCTAATGGTTAAGGATACTGATACAGCCATGGAAGAAATTGTAGTGGAAGGTAAACATGAAGTAGTCACCAGTGCATCAACAGAGACAATGGCTTCAGAGCGAAGGAAGCAAAATGTCAACACAAGAGACAATGTACCGCTTTCGAGGAGAGTGCAACCAGCAACAGGGAGGCAAGTACCTGAACCTGTGTCTTCTCTAGTGCCTAAGCATGCTAGGCATGGCAGACAGAGTGTGCTTATAGTCGCAGAAAAGAAAATGGAGGAATTTAATGAACGAGAAGTACCAAATGGTGCTGGCTCCAGAGACTTAAAGACAGAACCATCACAAAGACAAACTCTACAGCAGAGAGATAATGCGAGAGAAAAACCTATTTCCAACACTGAAGAAAAATATAAGAGAAAAAGAAGTGTTAGTTCACAGAGGAGCAGAATAACAGAACCATATGAGAGCTTGTTGACTTCTCCAGCTCCTGCATCAACATCTTTACCACTGACTTCACCAGTAGTGACTTCACAAGATATTACTGGCAGGGAAGATACACAGACAACTGCACAAAGCTTACAACAAGGAGCTACACATCACAGAAAAATTGCCAGCAACCGCTTTCCAAGAGATACAAATGACAAATATCAGCGAAACAGATCAACAAACCTCACAGGAGAAATTAACATGCCATCTCCCGAAACTGAATCCTTATCGTGTGCTAAAATTGAACTGAAGCTGCTAGATGCCAATGATAACAATCCAGTCTTCATTCCAACGAATTTGTATCAATTTTCCATCACAGAAGAAGCACAGGAAGGTGACATCATAGGATCAGTAAGTGCAGCATTTGTTGTATAGTCTTGACCAAACACAGTAGGTAAATAATGTTGACATAAACTGTTTATGTATGTATGCATGTTGCAGTAAGATCACAGATAACAGTTTATATCACAATATGCAAAATGACCACAGTGAAAAATAATGAAATTCCAAGTGCTTTCGTGATTTCTCACATTCCTTGATAATGTGAGAAATCACAAAAGTGCTTGGAATTTCACTGTCTTTTTTACTGTGGTTTTGTTTTCACACCTTTATTCTTAGATGAGATGTTAATGTTAATGGTAGAGGTGTTTTATTTGTCAGGTAGTAGGTTGGTAGACAGCAACCACCCAGGGAGGTACTACCGTCCTGCCAAGTGAGTGTAAAACGAAGCCTGTGATTGTTTTACATGATGGTAGGATTGCTGATGTCTTTTGTCTGTCTCATAAATATGCAAGATTACAGGCATGTCTTGCTACTTCTACTTACACTTAGGTCACACTACACATACATGTACACATTTATTTATACACACTCATCTGAGTTTTCTTTGATTTTATCTTAATAGTTCTTGGTCTTATTAATTTTCCTTTTATATCCATGGGGAAGTGGAATAAGAATCTTTCCTCCGTAAGCCATGCGTGTTGTAAAAGTCAACTAAAATGCCGGGAACAATGGGCTAGTAACCCCTTTTCCTGTAAAGATTACTAAAAAGAATAAGAAGAAGAAAATAGATTCTAAAGAAAAATTGCAAAGGTTAGTGGATGAGTTTGGGAATGTGTGTAAAGGTAGAAAGTTGAAAGTGAACATAGAAAAGAGTAAGGTGATGAGGGTGTCAAATGATTTAGATAAAGAAAAATTGGATATCAAATTGGGGAGGAGGAGTATGGAAGAAGTGAATGTTTTCAGATACTTGGGAGTTGATGTGTCGGCGGATGGATTTATGAAGGATGAGGTTAATCATAGAATTGATGAGGGAAAAAAGGTGAGTGGTGCGTTGAGGTATATGTGGAGTCAAAAAACGTTATCTATGGAGGCAAAGAAGGGAATGTATGAAAGTATAGTAGTACCAACACTCTTATATGGGTGTGAAGCTTGGGTGGTAAATGCAGCAGCGAGGAGACGGTTGGAGGCAGCGGAGATGTCCTGTTTAAGGGCAATGTGTGGTGTAAATATTATGCAGAAAATTCGGAGTGTGGAAATTAGGAGAAGGTGTGGAGTTAATAAAAGTATTAGTCAGAGGGCAGAAGAGGGGTTGTTGAGGTGGTTTGGTCATTTAGAGAGAATGGATCACAGTAGAATGACATGGAAAGCATATAAATCTATAGGGGAAGGAAGGCGGGGTAGGGGTCGTCCTCGAAAGGGTTGGAGAGAGGGGGTAAAGGAGGTTTTGTGGGTAAGGGGCTTGGACTTCCAGCAAGCGTGCGTGAGCGTGTTAGATAGGAGTGAATGGAGACGAATGGTACTTGGGACCTGACGATCTGTTGGAGTGTGAGCAGGGTAATATTTAGTGAAGGGATTCAGGGAAACCGGTTATTTTCATATAGTCGGACTTGAGTCCTGGAAATGGGAAGTACAATGCCTGCACTTTAAAGGAGGGGTTTGGGATATTGGCAGTTTGGAGGGATATGTTGTGTATCTTTATATGTTTATGCTTCTAGACTGTTGTATTCTGAGCACCTCTGCAAAAACAGTGATAATGTGCGAGTGTGGTGAAAGTGTTGAATGATGATGAAAGTATTTTCTTTTTGGGGATTTTCTTTCTTTTTTGGGTCACCCTGCCTCGGTGGGAGACGGCCGACTTGTTGAAAAAAAAAAAAAAAAAAACAGTACATGTGTTTCCTGAGGCTGGACTTGCTTATACCATGGCCTGCTAAATGAGGTTTTTGACTAGAACAAGGCTTTGGAAATTCACTGACAGTATTTTCTAATATTTAATTGTGTTTTGATTTTGATTTAGAAAGTTAACAGGTAGTGCTCACCCACTATGCCACCAAAACATACACCACTGAAGGCAGATAAGGACTTCCATCACTGCACTTTTATAAACTGGTGGTAAAAATTATATTTTAACAAAACAGCTCCTATCACGCCTTTACAAATCAAGATGAAAATGAATTGGGTTTATAAGATACAATACTTAACATGTTGTGTATGCTGCATAGCCACCAAACAGCTATCGCAAATTATAATCTGCATACATTAATTCTCATCAATAATTTAATGTTCTACCAAGCTGTATTTGCCTTATATTTTTAACATTTTACACTTGCAGGTTCTTGCAAAGGACATGGATGAAGGAGGTAATGGTCAGGTCAAGTATAAGATTCAGACTCGTGGAAATACAACAAGAGGCGCTCTAAGGAACTCAATTGCTGTGGATAAAATTAAGGGTGTCCTTACTCTAGTCTCTAAATTGTCCCCGGGTCAAGTGACAATCTTTGTTGAGGCCTCAGATACACCTGCCAACCCGTCAGAGACCAGAACCACACTGGCTGTTGTTACTATTGAGTGAGTGTCATCTGTTGTAGAAGTCTGATGAAAATGGTTTTGGAAACTGACAGGTTGAAGAATGAGACACTTGTGCAACATTTATGAATCTTTATTTAGGAAATGTTTCACCAGCCAGTGGCTTCTTCAGTTCAATAGAATATAACGGTGGAAGACGAGGAGGAGGTGTCTGAGGTAATCAGTCCCTTAGTCTAGAGTTGATGTGTTCATTCCATCAAGATTGATGGACTGAACACATCGACTCCAGACTGAGGGACTGATTATCGACTCCAGACTGAGGGACTGATTATTGACTCCAGACTGAGGGACTGATTATCGACTCCAGACTGAGGGACTGATTATCGACTCCAGACTGAGGGACTGATTATCGACTCCAGACTGAGGGACTGATTATCGGCTCCAGACTGAGGGGCTGATTATCGACTCCAGACTGAGGGACTGATTATCGACTCCATACTGAGGGACTGATTACCTCAAACTCCTCCTCACCTTCCAATGCTCTTCTCTCTACTGGACTAAAGAAGCCACTGGATGGCAGTACATTTCCTCATAGATTCCCAAATATTCAACAAGTGTCAAATTTTTCAGTCTGTTGTAAAAGCGTACCAAGAACATTATAATATTGGCTCATTATATTAGTCTGTTGAGTATACCTGGTAAAGTGTATGGCAGAGTTATTATTGAAAGAATTAAGAGTAAAACGGAGAATAGGATAGAAGATGAACAAGGAGGCTTCAGGAAAGGTAGGGGGTGTGTGAACCAGGTGTTTACAGTGAAACATATAAGTGAACAGTATTTAGATAAGGCTAAAGAGGTTTTTGTGGCATTTATGGATTTGGAAAAGGTGTATGACAGGGTGGATAGGGGGGCAATGTGGCAGATGTTGCAGGTGTATGGTGTAGGAGGTAGGCTACTGAAAGCAGTGAAGAGTTTTTTACGAGGATAGTGAGGCTCAAGTTAGAGTATGTAGGAAAGAGGGAGATTATTTCCCAGTAAAAGTAGGCCTTAGACAAGGATGTGTGATGTCACCGTGGTTGTTTAATATATTTATAGATGGGGTTGTAAGAGAAGTAAATGCGAGGGTCCTGGCAAGAGGCGTGGAGTTAAAAGATAAAGAATCACACATAAAGTGGGAGTTGTCACAGTTGCTCTTTGCTGATGACACTGTGCTCTTGGGAGATTCTGAAGAGAAGTTGCAGAGGTTGGTGGATGAATTTGGTAGGGTATGCAAAAGAAGAAAATTAAAAGTGAATACAGGAAAGAGTAAGGTTATGAGGATAACAAAAAGATTAGGTGATGAAAGATTGGATATCAGATTGGAGGGAGAGAGTATGGAGGAGGTGAACGTATTCAGATATTTGGGAGTGGACGTGTCAGCGGATGGGTCTATGAAAGATGAGGTGAATCATAGAATTGATGAGGGGAAAAGAGTGAGCGGTGCACTTAGGAGTCTGTGGAGACGAAGAACTTTGTCCTTGGAGGCAAAGAGGGGAATGTATGAGAGTATAGTTTTTACCAACACTCTTATATGGGTGTGAAGCATGGGTGATGAATGTTGCAGCGAGGAGAAGGCTGGAGGCAGTGGAGATGTCATGTCTGAGGGCAATTTGTGGTGTGAATATAATTTAGAGAATTCATAGCTTGGAAGTTAGAAGGTTTTGTGTGCGAGGGGCTTGGACTTCCAGCAGGCATGCGTGAGCGTGTTTGATAGGAGTGAATGGAGACAAATGGTTTTTAATACTCGATGTGCTGTTGGAGTGTGAGCAAAGTAACATTTATGAAGGGATTCAGGGAAACCGGCAGGCCGGACTTGAGTCCTGGAGATGGGAAGTACAGTGCCTGCACTCTGAAGGAGGGGTGTTAATGTTGCAGTTTAAAAACTGTAGTGTAAAGAACCCTTCTGACAAGACAGTGATGGAGTGAATGATGGTGAAAGTTTTTCTTTTTTGGGCCACCCTGCCTTGGTGGGAATCGGCCAGTGTGTTAATAAAAATAAATAATAATATATATTAGTAGGTGATCTGCAGATTGCAGGTTGGTGTTCATAGTATTGTACTAGACAGTCTATAGATGTATGGTACTAAGACCTCCCCTTGAAAGTATCAACCCCTAGTGAATGGTATTAACTGATCGAGCATAGGCTAAGTGGCATTCTTAATAACAAATAGTGTTTCAATAAGTGAGTGAATGAGGAATAAAAATGCACAATGCATGTACTGTGATTGGGTGACCCCTGTGGCCTTACTGGCAAAGCTCTCGCTTCACACACTGAGGGCCCGGGTTCGATTCCCAGCGGGGTAGAAATATTTTGACTCGTTTCCTTATACCTGTTGTCTTGTTTACCTAGCAGCAAATAGGTACCTGGGTGTTAGTCGACTGGTGTGGGCTGTATCCTGGGGGACAAGATTGAGGACCCAAATGGAAATAAGTCACAGTCCTTGATGACACACTGACTTTCATGGGTTATCCTGGGTGGCTAACCCTCTGGGGTTGAAAATCCCAACGAAATCTTCTTTCTGTTATTCGAATGATACACAAATCTGCAGGTAGACTGAAATTTGACAGTGTTTCAGTCCGCCTTGGATCATTAACTAGTCACAAGGTGTGACTAATTAATGATCCTAGTTGGACCGAAATGTCGTCATAGATTTCAGTCTCCTTCGAGTGGGTTACGTATTTGTGTACTGAGCGAATGGGACTTCATGAACACGAGTCAGTATGTCACGAGACAGTGTGCGGCCGTGTGGTAACAGTTACTAAGAATCAAATGCTTCACAGGAAGAATCGAAACTTTAGAGTAATGAGTACACAGTACCATTAACCTATTTAGATAGAGCTTTATTATCCTGTACCTTATACATCTCTAAGTCTATTCCTGGAAGAGCTGTTGATACAGGATAGATATGTAACGAAAACACGTTATGTTTTACTGGTCAGTAATGGGATTTCAAGAATAGAACAGTAAAAAAAAATAAAGGTGAATTAAAAGGAAAAGAAATGTTCATCTGCCTTATTATTTTGGATGGGTTTTCAGGAAGTGTTTTGTCACAGTGGTGAGTGTTGCTTAAGGCCTGAGTCCTGGGATCTTTCAAATTCCTTATTCTTCATTTTTATTAATAAATATTTAATGATTTTGTAGATGAATGGTTCAGAGAACCGACACATTGATAAATTAGACACATGTGCAACTCTTGGGTATCTTTGAGGAAACGTTTCGCCACACAGTGGCTTCATCAGTCCATACAAAGGAGAATCTTGTAGAACAGGAGGAGAATGAGGTAATCAGTCCCTTAACCTTGAGTCGATGTGGTCAGTCCATCAATCTTGAATAGAATACGGCATATGTGCGGAGAAGGAGCTTATAAACCGTAGGCAGGAGAGGTGCAGCAGTCGTAGGTGGTGTCACATTTGTCCAATGTGGAAGTAGGTTGTGCCCAAGGGTTAGGCTAGCGAAGAATTCCCAAGTATTAAGATCCCAAGAAATTGCAGTGTCTGACAGGATTGTAGATGAATGGTTCAGAGAACCGACACATCGAATCAAGGTTGAGGGACTGATTACCTCATTCTCCTCCTGTTCTACAAGATTCTCCTTTGTATGGACTGATGAAGCCACTGTGTGGCGAAATGTTTCATCAATAAAGATACCCAAGAGTTGCACATGTGTCTAATTTATCATTTAATGATTTTGAAGGTGTGGAGTTAATAAAAGTATTAGTCAGAGGGCTGAAGAGGGGTTGTTGAGGTGGTTTGATCATTTAGAGAGAATGGATCAAAGTAGAATGACATGGAGAGCATATAAATCTGTAGGGGAAGGAAGGCAGGGTAGGGGAAATACTCGAAAAGGTTGGAGGGAGGGGGTAAAGGAGGTTTTGTGGGTGAGGGGCTTGGACTTCCAGCAAGCATGCATGAGCATGTTAGATAGGAGTGAATGGTATTTGGGACCTGACGATCTGTTGGAGTGTGAGCAGGGTAATATTTAGTGAAGGGATTCAGGGAAACCCATTATTTTTATATAGCCGGACTTAAGTCCTGGAAATGGGAAGTACAATGCCTGCACTCTGAAGGAGGGGTTTGGGATATTAGCAGTTTGGAGGGATATGTTGTGTATCTTTATAGGTATATGCTTCTAAACTGTTGTATTCTGAGCACCTCTGCAAAAACAGTGATTATGTGTGAGTGAGGTGAAAGTGTTGAATGATTATGAAAGTATTTTCTTTTTGGGGATTTTCTTTCTTTTTTTTGGGTCACCCTGCCTCGGTGGGAGACGGCCGACTTGTTAAAAAAAAAAAAATTTAATGATTCCATAATTCTTTGTAAATGTACCAGATGCAGCCCATTACTTTTAATTTTTAATATTTTAGTGTTAGTCCAGTGAATACATGACTAAGTTAAATATAATTTCATGAGGAATATTCACAAATAACACTGCATTTCCAGTTTTGAATAGGCAGTCAAATAATATAATTTTTACCACTTGTAAAATTATGACTAATAATTTAAGGGAGAATTATAGAGATGTAAGCTGTTTTTATACTTGCAAATTCCACAGTGTTGTGTGTATTGTGTATTGTCTTAAGTGTTCATTCTTCCTCTAGTGTAATGGCCACTCACTCTTGGGAGCCAAGGTTCGAAGGAGCACCATTTGAACTGTGGGTTGGCGGAGATGCCCCAGTAGGCACCAGCATTGGTCAGATCCGCGTGGTAGATTTGGCAGGACCAGAAATGTTGTTTGATATGTTCCATTCCTACCATGAAGGAGGTGAGCTACAACAATGTCAATGCACCGTATTTTTTTGGCATATAAGGCACACAACAGAAGTATCACAACGGTAAATCAGTCATTATGTTCAAGGGCTAATTTCCCCCTTACTTTATGCTAAAGCATAACCCAAAGCCAACCCTTGACATTGAGCATATAAGATGATTTTCCAAGAATTTTTCTGGGGACAAAGACATGCCTTACGTGCTGAAAAAATGGTATATACTTGTCACTCCAACTGAATAATTACAATCTGATTTCTTTTACCCATAGATAGAATTTCCTAAACATGTAATTGTGGAATTTAAGAGCTATGAGTTGAAGGAGGATGAAAGAGGAGTTGAGGGTGGTTGGAAGGAAGTACAGGAGAATTCCAAGGAAGCATGGAAGGCGAGTGTGAAGGCTTTGGGAAGTAAGGGTTTGATCATCCAGGTGTATGTGAGTGTTCGATCATCCAGGTGTATGTGAGTGTGTTTGATTGGAGCGAGGGTTTTCTTGTGAGGGAATTTGATATCCTGTAACAGTATGAGCATGTAAATATGAAGGAAACTAGTGAAAATAATTAGTTAAACTTAAGTTCTGGAGGTGGGAAGTACAAGAGGTCCCCTCTTATACAGCAGGGTAGGTGCTGGTCTACTGCTGTAAAGCAAAAATTGCTGTAAAATGAAACATTACCTTTTTTCACTGTTAGATGCATCTAAAAGTCTGATAACATGCTTACTCTATCATTTATTGAGTGAGCAATAGAGTTAGTCCTAAAAAAATACAGTACCCACATTATTTACCTTAAAATATTTTCAGCCTTTACTTATAGTGATTGATGAATGTTTATTGTAGGAAGTTTGAATAAGTAAAGAATGCATATATTTGAAAATCTCTGCATTACCAAAGCACTGTGAAGTGGGATCCTCCTGTGCAGTATATGTACATTAAAAGATTGTTGAACTTGTTAATTTTCGTTCGCCATTGAATCATGATGTCCATGCACTTCTGATGGAGGAAAAACTAGTGTGTGAATGATGGTGAATATACATGTATCTTACTTTTGGATTTCTTTTTCATTTGTGGGAAATAGTGATATGTTAAAGAAAATTATACTTTATTTCTATGTAAATGTTAACCAAACAATTAATTTATTGTTCACAGTGTGGTCTGAAAAAGTGCAAGTTTGAAGCCACATTTACTGAAGGAAACTTAAACTAAATTCTTAGGCTTCGCTACAGATTAATGTATTTCATGTGATTTATAACTTTTTCAATGAATTGAAGAAGGATTCTACTTAGACAAAATCGTCTTTTGTCCTCAGTTCCTTTTGGCATTGAGGAGACGTCGGGCACTGTGTCGGTGTTGTCCCCACTGAAGAAGTACTCTCGACCCACCTATGAGTTTGAGGTGGTGGTCACAGATGGTAGGTCATCCCTGGCCACCAACCTCACCATCCATGTAGCACCAGCCCCAAGATCCACCACTAGGTGGGACACAGTCGTCCACTTCACTATACAGGTGGGGAAGGGCACTGTTTATACGTTATGAAAACCCTCATGTTATATATAATAGATGTACAAAAACATTAATGGAGGGATCACCCCTGGCTGTCTTCAAGAAGGCACTGGACAGGCACCTAAAGTCAGCACCTGACCAACCGGGCTGTGGTTAGTACGTCAGTTTGTGTGCGGCCAGCAGGAACAGCCTGGGTGATCAGACCCTGATCCACCATGAGGCCTTGTCTCAGACCAAGCCGCTGGGGCATTGACCCCCGAAACCCTCTCCAGGTAAACACAAAATCGATAGGTTGATAAGACACATTTGATTGTGGAGACTTAACATGGCCACTGGTTGGTGAATCTTCTCAACATTGAAGATACACAGGTATAGCATGTGTGTTTATCGATATGCAGTACTTATGTTTAGATCAACCACTTCATAACTAATCAATAATGTGTAGAGGTAAGTATTAGATGACGTTAAGTTTCGTCCATCTTCAGGTCGAAATGGCTGAGTTTAGTTATGTTACAATGATTCAGGACTGACCGAAACTGTCTAAAGTTTGTGGATTAGTTGTGAATTGCTGCAGCCAAGGTAGTGACTTCATATAAAACAATGAACATTGAAACAGCTTTGCATGTAGATTTAAAGCACATATCTGGCAAATTGGGAAAATACAGAATCAAGCAGTTTTTGCACAACAGATGTAACATATTGTGTAACACTTCATAATTAGGATTATTTATCGGTATAATAAAGGTAGACAATACCAACGCAGACAAAAACAAACATCAAAAATATCAAAACCACCTCAAATCTTAAAAACCACTTGTCTGTACTTGCTGCAGTTTAACACCTCACACACATCAGGAAAACCTTTCTGAGGGTTTGGTTGGAATTAATGTTAATGTTTATTTTCCTGGGAAACCTTTCTGGTGTTTGGTTGGAATTAATGTTAATGTTTATTTTCCAGGAAAACCTGTCTGGTAGTTTGGTTTGAATTAATGTTTATTTTTCCAGGAAAACCTGTCTGGTGGTTTGGTTGGAAATGTCGTAGCAGCTCTACGAAATGCTGGAGCAAGAGTAGCACCGGATCCACAGTTTGAACTGGTAAGTAAAGCTTTTCTCCCCTTCCCCCACACAAACGTACAAACAATACGCAAACGGGTGAAATTATTTACAAACATTGTCTCTGTTCACAGCAGGATTCGAAGCTTCACACTCTGCATCAGAGTACACAGTACGTATTTTATCCACACATCCAGACTTGGCATTCTGAGACTGAGAGGTAATCTTTGTACACATGTATATGAATGACTGTTAAATAAACAATGAATGGGGTTTTGAACCGTGGTCCATTTTATGAGTTGTTATTGTGAGAAATTACCTGCATGAGGTTTACAGAGTATTACCTGAATTATTACATACAGTGGAACCTCTACTTATGAGTGCATCCACGTGCGAGTTTTTCCAGATACGAGCAGCTGCTCGGTCAATTTTTTGCTTCCAGACGCGAGCAAAATTTCCAGATGCGAGCGGGCCTCAAGAGAAATTGACACTGGTGCGGGGGCTCTTGCTCTTCATCTAGGGAATTGGATCTCAGATGTTTGTTGGATTATCTTATTGAAACTTGGGCAATGGCAGTAGCAGACAACATGAAGCAGCAGTGGCAGACAACATGAAGCAGCAGTGGCAGACAACATGAAGCAGCAGTGGCAGACAACATGAAGCAGCAGTGGCAGACAACATGAAGCAGCAGTGGCAGACAACATGAAGCAGCAGTGACAGACAACATGAAGCAGCAGTGACAGACAACATGAAGCAGTAGTGACAGACAACATGAAGCAGCAGTGACAGACAACATGAAGCAGCAGTGACAGACAACATGAAGCAGCAGAGGCAGACAACATGAAGCAGCAGTGGCAGACAACATGAAGCAGCAGTGGCAGACAACATGAGGAAGCAGTGGCAGACATCATTAAGCAGCAGTGACAGACAACATGAAGCAGCAGTGGCAGACAACATGAAGCAGCAGTGGCAAAGTGTAGCATTAAGAGTGTAGCAATTAACTGAAGCATTAAGAGTGTAGCACTTATAAGTCACTCTGTCCGAATTTTTGGGGTTATCCTAGGTTCTCTACACATGTAGTCAGGAGCAGGAATGGCCGCTGTGGTGGCCCTATAAACCCCAACAACAGTGGCTGCTGTCACCACCACTAGCCACATACCTAATGACATGTATTTTATTTATTCTAGTGTATATATCATGTTTCTATGTTATTAATATTGTTTATTATGTCATATTACATGAATTGTGATAGATAAATAAGCTGTAGAGTTGATATTAGGGAAATTAAAGTATTTTCTCGTGCCTGGAATTCCACTGGAACGAATTGATTCCATTTCAGTTAATTTAAATGAGGAAAACTGACTCTGCAAACAAGCAAATCCAGTTGTGAGCAAGGCCATGGAATAGATTAAACTCTTAAGTAGAGGTTCCACTGTATTAGTAATTTGGGTGAGGTAAGTGGGACTTAGTCACAGTAGGTTGCAGAACTGTCATTCCTCAGTGCCCACTCCATTACCACTCTGACAAGAAACTAGACCTGATATTAAATTAATAATTACAATATTAAAACCAGCTACTCTGGTAAATTAAAATTTTGTGGACTGTATATTTTGGTTTACTTGCTGGTTACACAAAATACAACCATTAGTACAATACATATAATGCAACAGTGTTATTAGAAAAGAAATTCGTATTACCACTTACCATTTAATTACTGGATCATAATTATTATTTTTGGAAACTTACCCTAATGCTACCACAACAGCTAGAGTTTATGAAGGCCAATGTGAAATTACAGTACATTATGGGTAAGCATCACTAAGCCAAAGTGTGCTCTTGGGAAGAATCGGAGTCCTCTATTTTTCCGTCCTTGTTGCCGAATTGTAAGGGTTTCCGCACTATTTATCCCAATTCTTCAGCGAGACCGTGTCAGCAATTTCTAAATTATGAATTGAGGCTGATATACACCAATTGAACATCAATGATGCCTGATTGCATTACACAACTAACAGACCAGTGTTCACACGTATTTTCAGTATGGCATCCTCTCGTCTGAGTCACTCCTTGTGGCTGTTCTACAACCCCCCTCCCTTGAAATTTCTCGAAGGGTCAGATCAGCATCACATTTTAATACACAATTATTATATTCAAATTTACACATGCTGAATTTTGGAAAATTCAAAATTTTCCACAGTCCAATCATAGCATGTTCCAACATTATAACCACATCACCCTCAAACCTTACAATAGGATGATTCTTATAACCAGCACAACTGTGACCCTACTGTTGTATCGCACAGCTCCAGAAGTTTTCATGGTGTATCTAATCTCATATTCCCCAAGCCAATAATGGATGACTGTTAACCCTTTGATTGTTTCGGTTGTATATATACGTCTTACGAGCCACCGTGTTTGACGTATATATACTCATAAATTCTAGCAGCTTCAAATCAAGCAGGAGAAAGCTGGTAGGCCCACATGTGAGAGAATGGGTCTGTGTGGTCAGTGTGCACCTTATAAAAAAATCCTGCAGTACAGTGCATGATGAGAAAAAAAAAACTCCTACCTTTTTTTTTTTTTTTTTTTTTTTTAATTAAAATGCTGAATTTGTGGTCTATTTTCATATAATATTTATGTTTGTATTCTCGTTTTCTTGGTCTCATTTACCTGGAGTTTACCTGGAGAGAGTTTTACTATGGTTTTACTATGAAAAGAACCTTGAAATGGAGCTCAAAGTAGGGAAAATGTTTGATTTTTGCCAATGTTCAAAAGTAAATAAATGATGTCATTGTCCAATAAATGTCCAACTAGCCATTTTAATATGCAGTCATGAATGGGTTGACATTATTTGTACAATTATTACAGTATTGCAGTAGTCTGCATAACAGTAAATCTTCTATTTTTTGTTTGAATAAAAATTCAAAATAGAAAGCAAGAGTAATATCAGAGTGGCCTGGAGATGTGACTGATGAACAAAGAAAATGTTATTTTAGAGCCAGGAATGTCTGCATTGTTCATTCTGGACCTTATTTTGAAGTTGTCATATTTTTTAATTTTCTTGAAATTGGCCAAATTGCAAATATCTGACCATGTTATTGGGTAGTTGAAATCGGTAAATGGGCAGTTTCTTGTGCTCAATTGATAGAAAAAACAGAGTTCTAAAGAAATAGCTGAGTTTGGTCAACTGAAACAATGGAATTAGCCAAAACTAGGGCTGAAAGTGGGCGAAATCGCTGATTTGTAAATATCGCCGAGGTCGCTAATTTTGCGAGAGCGTAATTCCATCAGTTTTCCATCAAATTTTTTTTTTTTTTTTTGGTGTCATTACAATCGGGAAAAGATTCTCTATTATTTCAAAAGATTTTTTTTTTCTTCTTCTTCTTCCCCCCGACACCAGGAGACACCTCAGGATTGGGGGTTGCGACAGCCAAGGGTTAAAAAATCTTCAGTAATCTCCTAAATATTGCTCAATTAATATTATTGGAAAAAGAACACTTGTATGTGTTTATAAGATAAATTAATACACTACCTTACCTTTGATGATTTCGAGAGTTCTTCTGCTTTTACAGCCTGGCCCTAGACAAGGCTTTTCTGGGGCTTGCCTGATAAAAACCAGGCTGTCATTGGCCCACATATCCATCACAGCCTAGTTAACCCTTCAACTACTCTTTGTCTCACATTTTGCTAACTGTAGTGAATTGCAGGTGATGAGTTGTTAATCGTAGGATCAAACATAATTCGCTCTTCATTCCCAAGATGCTTTATGATCCATGCAATTTTAGCTCTTCCCTATAAATACAGTAACAATAATTTAGTAGTTTTTAATTGTTCTGTAGCTAGTCTTATTACTTTTCTGGTAAAGTATTATGCACTTCATAAATCTCGTCAGTGCATGGCACATTGCTTTGCTTGACTTCATAATATACAGTGGACCCTCGCCTAACGATGGCATCACATAACATTAAATCCGCCTAGCGATACATTTTAACGCAAAAAATTTACCTCGCCTAGTGCTAAAAAAAACTCGCTCAACGCGATTCGTCCGAGACGCGTCCATGTGCGGCCTGAGCCAGCCTCACTTGTTCTGCCAGTGGCATTGTTTACAAGCCAGCCTCCGCGGTAACGTCCAACCATACAATCGGAACATTTCGTATTATTACAGCGTTTTTAGTGATTTCACCTGCAAAACAAGTGACCATGGGCCCCAAGAAAGCTTCTAGTGCCAACCCTACAGGAATAAGGGTGAGAATTACTATGGATATGAAGAAAGGAGTTAGGAGGAGGTGCGGGATTACCAAAACTGTTGTCCAGAGGGCTGAGGAAGGGTTGTTGAGGTGGTTCGGACATGTAGAGAGAATGGAGCGAAACAGAATGACTTCAAGAGTGTATCAGTCTGTAGTGGAAGGAAGGCGGGGTAGGGGTCGGCCAAGGAAGGGTTGGAGGGAGGGGGTAAAGGAGGTTTTGTGTGCGAGGGGCTTGGACTTCCAGCAGGCATGCGTGAGCGTGTTTGATAGGAGTGAATGGAGACAAATGGTTTTTAATACTTGACGTGCTGTTGGAGTGTGAGCAAAGTAACATTTATGAAGGGATTCAGGGAAACCGGCAGGCCGGACTTGAGTCCTGGAGATGGGAAGTACAGTGCCTGCACTCTGAAGGAGGGGTGTTAATGTTGCAGTTTAAAAACTGTAGTGTAAAGCACCCTTCTGGCAAGACAGTGATGGAGTGAATGATGGTGAAAGTTTTTCTTTTTCGGGCCACCCTGCCTTGGTGGGAATCGGCCGGTGTGATAATAAAATATAATAAATGAAGAATGAGATCATTGCTAAGTATGAAAGTGGAGTGCGTGTCTCCGAGCTGGCCAGGTTGTATAGTAAACCCCAATCAACCATCGCTACTATTGTGACCAAGAAAACGGCAATCAAGGAAGCTGTTCTTGCCAAAGGTGCAACTTTGTTTTCGAAGCAGAGATCGCAAGTGATAGAAGATGTTGAGAGACTGTTATTGGTGTGGATAAACGAAAAACAGATAGCAGGAGATAGCATCTCTCAAGCGATCATAAGTGAAAAGGCTAGGAAGTTGCATGAGGATTTAATTAGAAAAATGCCTGCAACTAGTGATGTGAGTGAATTTAAGGCCAAGGTTGGTTTGAGAGATTTAAGAAGTGTAGTGGCATACATAGTATGATAAGGCATGGTGAGGCTGCCAGTTCGGACCACAAAGCAGCTGAAAAATATGTGCATGAATTCAAGGAGTACATAGACGGTGAAGGACTGAAACCTGAACAAGTGTTTAATTGTGACAAAACACGCCTGTTTTGGAAGAAAATGCCAAGCAGGACCTACATTACTCAGGAGGAAAAGGCACTCCCAGGACATAACTCTATGAAAGACAGGCTTACTCTGATGTGTGCCAATGCTAGTGGTGATTGCAAATTGAAGCCTTTATTGGTGTATCACTCTGAAACTCTCAGAGTGTTCAGGCAAAAGAATATCCTCAAGGCTAATTTGTGTGTGCTGTGGAGGGCAAGCAGTAAGGCATGGGTCACTAGGGACTTTTTCTATGACTGGTTACACCATGCATTTGCCCCCACTGTGAAAAATTACCTAATTGAAAAGAAATTAGACCTTAAGGGCCTCCTGGTGTTAGACAATGCCTGGTCTCAGACCGGGCCGCGGGGGCGTTGACCCCCGGAACTCTCTCCAGGTAAACTCCAGGTAAACAGACTTGGCAGAGTGACTTTATGGGGACATGAGCTTCATTAAGGTCAAGTTTTTGCCTCTTAATACCACTCCTCTCCTGCAGCCCATGGACCAGCAGGTCATTGCAAACTTCAAAAAACTGTACACAAAAGCTCTGTTTGAAAGGTGCTTTGTAGTGACCTCAGAAACTCAATTGACTCTAAGGGAGTTTTGGAGAGATCACTTTAATATCCTCAATTGTGTAAACTTTATAGGTAAGGCTTGGGAGGGAGTGACTAAGAGGACCTTGAACTCTGCTTGGAAGAAACTGTGGCCAGAATGTGTAGACCAAAGGGATTTTGAAGGATTTGAGGCTAACCCTGAGAAGCGTATGCCAGTTGAGGAATCAATTGTGGCGTTGGGGAAGTCCTTGGGGTTGGAGGTTAGTGGGGAGGATGTGGAAGAGTTGGTGGAGGAGGACAATGAAGAACTAACCACTGATGAGCTGCTAGATCATCTTCAACAGCAAGAGGCCAGACCTGAGGAAACTGCTTCGGAGGAGGGGATAGAGAAATTGAAGAAGTTGCCTACTTCAAAGATTAAGGAAATATGTGCAAAGTGGCTTGAAGTGCAAACCTTTATGGATGAAAATCACCCTCAGACAGCTATTGCAAGCTGTGCTGGTGACTATTACACTGACAATGTTGTGAAACACTTTAGGAAAGTCATAAAGGAACGAGAGGTACAGACCTGTGTGGACAGATATGTTGTGCGACAGAAGTCCAGTGACTCTGAAGCTGGTCCTAGTGGCATTGAAAGAAGAAGGGAAGTAACCCCAGAAAAGGACTTGACACCTCAAGTCCTAATGGAAGGGGATTCCCCTTCTAAACACTAAGAAGATCAACACTCTCCCCTCCTCCCATCCCATCAATCATAACCAGATCTTCAATAAAGGTAGGTGTCATGTAACTGTGCATGTCTTCTTCAGTTTGTGTGTATTAAAATTAATATTCCATGTGGTAAAAAAAAACTATTTTTCATAATTTTGGGTGTCTTGCACGGATTAATTTGATTTCCATTATTTCTTATGGGGAAAATTAATTCGCCTAACGATAATTTCGCCTAACGTTGAGCTCTCAGGAACGGATTAATAGCGTTATGCGAGGGTCCACTGTACATACAATGCACATGAATTCACGTGATTTCATTAGACGTTCTTCATTGTAATGTATAGGTTAGATAAGATTCACCAGGAAAAAGGACAAGTTTCCTGACGTGGGTCTTAGTCATATGATGACCCACAGCTGGAGCTTTTGGTCATCTGACTGAGGCCTTCCACTGGCTTACCACTCCACCTTTTTAAAAACTGGAATTAATACTACATTGTAAAATATTTCTATGGTATATATCAAAGAGCCTACTGAATTGATGGAATGTTAGTGGTTCATAGAAGGTTACTGCTTCATAATGATGAAAATGGTAGAGTTGTTACTATTTTCTCTAAGTTTGTAATTCTCCTCTTTATTCCAGTGGCCCCAAATATATTTTTTCTCATTGTGGTGATGTTTATCTGGAGTTTATCTGGAGAGAGTTCCGGGGGTCAACGCCCCCGCGGCCCGGTCTGTGACCAGGCCTCCTTAGGTCAGTGTCCCAGGATGCGACCCACACCAGTCGACTAACACCCAGGTACCCATTTTACTGATGGGGAACATAGACAACAGATGGAAAGAAACACGTCCAATGTTTCTACTCTGGCTGGGAATCGAACCCAGGCCCTCACCGTGTGAAGCGAGAGCGTTAACCACCAGGCCACCAGACCCCAGAGCTAAGGTTCAGGTAGACTTTTTGACTGAAAGAAGATGGGGGCGATATTGATATTCCTATCTGCATCTAAAAGTAAATGATGGCTACGAATATACATGTATATTATAAATTGGCTAAAATACTGATAGTTGAACTAAATCCCTGGACAATATCACAATATCCCTGTTGATGACTGCACTGTGTAAAAAAAAAAATACATAAACAATAAATAAATAAATAAATGCTTCTAAGGGAACAATTATATGGTCACAGGTTAGTCCAGAAGCACGGCATTTCTTCACTCTATCCCAGGATGCCACACTCTATACTGTGGCACCGCTGGACTACGAGGCTCACCCCAACCACACACTGGTGGTCGTCAGCTCCAGGACTTCAGACATATTCTATGTTCATGTGAAGGTTGGTTCATATTTTACCCATAGCTTTTCTTAACGTTAGAATTATTTAGCGTAAAGGAATGTTGGAGGCTCGAATCTCCACCCACTAATAGTGACACTGAAATATTCTTATATCCAAATTATATATTCTAGATATCCAGATTGTTTATCATTGTAATGGGGATAGCATGTGCTGGCATAGTTCTTTTTGGATGATGTAGATTACCCAAATTACAGTGGTAGAATATTCAGTTTTAGTTAAGAAAATAGATTTTGTTATCTTTGGTTCATTTTCTTTTAGTTTATAATATATAATAGTATTTTAGCAACATAATTGTTTTTATCATAATGTTTAATTGAACTTTCATACTCTGATGTATTAATATATAATTGCTATATTGGCATCAGAATCTTCGCTTGTATGATGCTATATTATCACCCATTCATTCATATAGATCCCTGCAACCACATAATAGGTGAGTGTACACACATTCACCCACCCACCTGTTGCCTATATCTCTCTCACTTCACCTTGGTATCCAAGCTCATACTTCCTCTTATGTTTTCATGTTTCCTTCGGTAAGGTTTGTCAGGAAATGGGACAAGCTTTTCATGATGTGGATCTTAGATGACAATCTACCATTGGAGCTTTTGGTTATCTGAGCAAGGCTTTCCAATGGCTTACCAGGCCACTCCTTGAAAAATTATGGCCATAGTTACAACCATTTTCTTCTTATTTTTCCTTCACCTACATGATCTATTTCGATCAGGATAGAAGAAGCCACAAGTGACAAAAAGTGTCCTTTAATAAAGGTCCTGTTCTGTACATAAGTGTCTTTTTCCACACCAAACTGACAGTTGTCAATACATTCTCCAGGTAGAAGATGTGAATGACAATGCACCGCAGTTCAACGCTGTGAGCTACGAGGGTGTCATTAAGGAAAATTCAGCGTCAGGCACCAGCGTCAGAATCCACCCCATGATTCATGTAAGAGAACCATAGATCAAAGATAGTATCGAACAGCAACTAATATGCTAATCCATTCGATTTGTCGAAGCAATTGATAGTGAATCCAGTCGTTTATCAAACTTCCAGATCTATACAGATTATCATAATTTTTAACCAGCCTTTCTCACTAAATTGCACATTAAAGGGAAACAACCAGAATTTCAACACAACAGAATCTGAAGTGAAAAATATTGGTATTTTGCATTATTTTTAAGTTTTCATAAATTTTTTGGTATTTGGACATTCATTCAATATAGTTGAACCCCTCAGGATTTTTATTTGTTTGTTAATATAATAAAAATTTATAGAGTACAAAAATTTTATGGTTGTGTATTTGAAATATTTTATATATGTTTATAATTTTACAATTAAAATTTTGTATTTTTAAATTACTAAATAATTATATTTAATTTAGCAAACTTATTCATATTATGAATTAAATATATGAATCAAATTCTTCTGCATAATATTATTCAAGAAGCCATAATTAAATATTGTACAGTAAGTTCTCTTACAAAGCTCATTTATATGTTTTTTTTTTTTTTTTTTTTTTTTTTTTTTTTTTTTTTTTGGCAAGTGCAATTGAAAAAGTGTGTTCCAAATAATATAATGCCTTCCATGAACACTTTTTCATCTGGTGTTCAATGTTGGATGTAGTTTTTTGATTGCATTTCCAAAAAATAGTTGTTCTGTAAAGAATTTTGTAAGAGCTTAATGTGTGTCTGTATCAGTTCAGACAATGGTAAGTGTTGGAAATTTTCATTTCAGGTGATTGACAGAGACACTTATACTGGAGCTACATACTACCTTCAACTGTTGGGTGATTCTTCTCCACTTTTTACTATTGATTCATCTTCTGGTGACATTATCTTTGTTGGCCAGACGTTGGACAGGGAAGTGAAGGAAGCCTACAATCTTGTTTTAGTGGCTCGTGATGATGGGAACCTCACTTCAAATGCCAGTCTTACCATTACAGTGGAAGATATTAATGACAATCCTCCAAGATTTACCGAGAGAGAGCCACTGTTCTCTGCCAGAGGAGATATTGATGAGAGCAGCTCCAGGAAACTTCCTGATACTTCAAAATTGGCTCATCTGGCAGATTTGGAGAGATCACTAATTCGTATTCCTGAGTCTCTGCCAATAGGGAGTCGAGTTACACAGCTCTCAGCAACAGATGAAGATGAGAAGGTTTATGCAGATATTCGTTATTCAATTGTGTCAGAAAAGTCATTTGGCTTCTCTGAAGGAGGAAAGTCTCCTCCTGTTCTTCTGGAAACAAATTATTTTGCCATTGATACCAAAACTGGTGTTGTAACAGTGGCTGGAATTATTGAAGCTGACCATTTTTATCTAGTAAATGTATCTGCTACGGATGGTGGTGGCTTGTCATCTTACACGACAGTATCTATCGCTGTATACGATGTCAATGATCATTCACCTCGTTTTGAGCGCCCTGTTTACAACTTTGAAGTGGTAGAAGGAGAATACTTGGTTGGCGAAGTAGGCAAGGTTGTTGCTTATGACCAGGACAAGGGAAACAATGCTGAAGTGAGTTATAAGATAATTTTCTATAAAAACTCGAGTGAAGAGCATACCTTTCCATTTAGGGTTGTGGAGACTTCGGGTACCTTATTAGCAACTGGATCAGTGGACCGAGAAGAACGTGAAGTGTATGAATTCTCTGTTGTCGCCACTGACATGGGAGAACCTCAGCTTTCCTCCTCTGTGTTAGTTCACATTGATATCATTGACATAAATGACCATAGTCCCATTTTCTATGGGTATAAGGAAGTTATGTACCCAGAAGCACTTTCAAATACTTCATTAGAACCTTCTAATAGAAATTTCACTCCGGTTTATATAGCTGTAGTATCTGAAAGCACTCCCAGAAATACAATAATTACCAATGTTTTTGCCAATGACTCTGACTCCAGCTCTTCAGGAAATGGCATAATACTGTACAAGCTAGAAGGTGGCGAGGATAAATTTGCTATAGATTCAAAAAATGGTAGTGTATATACTGTGGGTAACCTGGACTACGAACGTTGGCCGGAACACAACCTGACGGTATTGGCTCAGGACCATGGCTTGCCGCCTCTTACTGCTTCTGCGTTGATTATGGTCCAGGTGACTGACGTCAAGGAAGAGCTCACTACGAGACTTTTTGATCGGGAAGAATATCGGGTAAGCTTTGCTTTACTTCTAAGCTTTCTTTCGTGTTTCTATTCTGTATTATTATACCTCTGCCAATGGTGCTAGTGCTATTCTATTGCTAATGTTAACCAAGTGTTAATCTGACACTTGGTTCTGTATCTAATCAAAATTTTTTAGATCAATCCTCTTAGTGGGATGTTTTGATGCTGGTAAAAAACTCTTATGTGTGAGGAATTATAGTTACCCCTTCCTTAGTGTTGTGTTGCTGCAACAATATACATTTGTGAAAAAGAAATAGACACATGCAACATCTGGGTATCTTTGTAGACATTTCATCATTCATTGGCTTTATCAATACAAATTCAAGGACATAATGTGAAGACAGTAGAAATATATACAGAAGACGAGGTAATAAGTCCCTCAGCCTAGGAATAGGTGATGAGCACTGTAGTCATGGGAAATCTGAAACATGATGTGGAGGTACTGCTGTACCTCCACATGAGGGAGGTACAGCAGACGAAGACATTGTCACTAGTAGGCTGGATTTCCCAGTAGAAGTAGATCATGCCCAATTGAGGGCCAGGAGTAGGCAAGTAGCAACATGACTAAATATTGGTATAGAGGACATCTTCACAACCTTCATGCTTACTCCTAGCCCATCCCTTGGGTAACACCTACTTCCACTGGGGAATCCCGCCTACTTGTGACAATTCCTTCATCTGCTGCACCTCCCTCAGTATGTCCTTGTATTGATAAAGCCACTGGATGGCGAAACGTCTACGGAGTAAAGATACCCATTTGTTGCACGTGTCTAAGTCATCATTTTGTCGGTATTGTATACCATTCATTCACAACATATACTCGTGTTCCAACAAACACATGCTTGTGTTCCTACAGAAACACATGCTTGTGTTCCAACAGAAACACATGCTTGTGTTCCAACAGAAACACATGCTTGTGTTCCAACAGAAACACATGCTTGTGTTCCAACAGAAACACATGCTTGTGTTCCAACAGAAACACATGCTTGTGTTCCAACAGAAACACATGCTTGTGTTCCAACAGAAACACATGCTTGTGTTCCAACAGAAACACATGCTTGTGTTCCAATAAAAACATGCTTGTGTTCCAATAAAAACACATGCTTGTGTTTCAGCAACAACATATTCATGTGTTTCAGCAACTACCAATACATACTTCATTACCTCACATGACTCGGTTGTTGCATTACCATTACCAGTTACATTACACTAAAATAATACAATTTTTTTTTTTTTCTCAACAAGTTGGCCGTCTCCCACCGTGGCAGGGTGACCCAAAGAGAAGGAAAAATCCCCAAAAAGGAAATTCTTTCATCATCATTCAACACTTTCACCTCACTCACACATAATCACTGTTTTTGCAGAGGTGCTCAGAACACAACAGTTTAGAAGCATATACGTATAAAGATACACAACATATCCCTCCATATCCATTGCCTGTGAAGGATGTAAAAAGGGTTATTTTAGGATAAAAATAGAGAATTAAATGAGAATAGCTTAAAATCTAATCTTATCAAATTTACAAAGAAATACTATTGTGTTTTTATTTAATTTGAAAAAAAAAATGCAGTGCACTGTGTGTATATAATGTGTAAGCGATGACTAAATACGTCAACACGTGTTTAGATTTCACAGAATGTAGAAAGCAGAATCTTCACAAATTATTAATTGTACTGGGAAATTACAGTGGACCCCCGGTTAACGATATTTTTTCATTCCAGAAGTATGTTCAGGTGCCAGTACTGACCGAATTTGTTCCCATGAGGAATATTGTGAAGTAGATTAGTCCATTTCAGACCCACAAACATACACATACAAACGCACTTACATAAATACACTTACATAATTGGTCGCATTGGGAGGTGATCGTTAAGCGGGGGTCCACTGTATTATTATAATGGTGATTGAATTTTCATGAACTTGTTTATGATTATGTATTGTAATAAATATGTTATGAATTATTTTTATCTTTCTTGCTTTCTATGAAATAAAGTGAGAGAGTCAAGGTTCATATGACCTAGGAGAGACTGTGGGCACTTTTGATCATTATAAATAAAATGTAACCATATGTACACTCCTCAACAGGTACATGTAACAGAAAACAACAAAACACCGCTGCTTTTGGTTGACCTTAATGTGAGTGACTGGTATGCTGGGCATCGCCTACACTTCCAGTTGGCAGATCCTGGAATGACGGGCACAATAGCAGTGGACTCTCACTCTGGTGAGGTCTACCTTATAGCCAGCCTTGACAGGGAGACCAAGGACATGTATCGCTTCAAGGTACTAAGTAGCAGAAAGATAACTGAACTAATCTCATAGCAGTAATGTAAACATTTGGAAGAAACAAAGAAATATCATATATTCTGGCATATAAGGCACAACGGAAGTGTCATAATGGTAAATCGGTAATCACATTCAAAGGTTAATTACCCTCTTAATTTACACTAAAGCATAACCCAGAGCTTATCATTGACCTTGACCTTGAGCATATAAGGCAGAGGGTGATTTTCCAAGACTTTTGTGAGAAAAAAGGCGCGCCCTATATGCTGGAAAATACGGTCCATATGAACATACGCTATTTTCTTTGTAGCACTGATTCTCCTTCATTAAAAGGAATCTCTTTCTGATGATGTCATGCCATTTTTTAATCTCTTTTTCATCATTGCCATGTAGCTCTGAATGCCTCTTGTGGGTTTAGCATATGTTAGGAATATAATATTGATCCTTCTGTCCAAAACTAAGAAAACTTCATACATGCCTAGTATAAATGTGCCTTCTAGCCTACATGATTGTCAATTTTCTTTTAGATAATTAGACCCTTTAGCAATATTAAGGCGTAATCACTGTCGGGTTTTATATTTTGCACTATGCCACTAGACTGATGCTGTCATCTGGAGTCAGTGTGCTCTAAAACCAATCTTGGAAGGCTTAATCAAGTCTCCTGTAAGAAAATAACTCGTAATAAGTCTTATTTTACTGTATGTATTTTCAGTAGGTTAGGTAAGGTTTGTCAGGAAACATGACCCCTCAGCTGGAGCTTTTGGTCATCTGACCGAGGCCTTCCACTGGCTTACGGTCCACCACTTTAAAATTTATAGTTATAATTTATGTACCTGTCTTCTAAGTCATCAAATGTCCCAAAAGAGTAGATTGAGGTAATACCTGGACATTAGGCTTAAGAAAAAAGGAACCTTGGTGTTGAAGGGCTCAAGATTTAAGGATAGAGGGTGTTGTAAAACTGTTGAAAGTTCTACATGGAATCAATCTTGATTACCCAAAGTGCTCTGAATAACAAAAGTCTTTCTGCATGCACACCTAATTCTGACCCATCTCTGTACAAACATTGTATCATGCTGAATTAAAAAATATGATTATGGTCATAGATTCTGAGGGCACTGTATGACCCTTACGAGTTAATGACATCAGTTTCCCAACTGCAACACACTGGAGTAGACCTTTGGGTAAAGAGAGAGACATGCAGTGTAATGCAATCTTTAATCCCACACAGTGGGACTTATTGAATGATATGTCAATATGATTATTGCATGATATATGCATGTACAATACCTGGAAATATGTCACTCTGTCTGACTTTTTTGGGTTATCTAAGGTTCTCTACACACATGTTGCTATGTATGATAATCTATGTAACTGTATTTGTGTATACCTGAATAAATAACAAAAAGGCACAATACCGTGACTGGAACGATACACAAATAACCCGCACATAAAAGAGAGAAGCTTACGACGACGTTTCGGTCCAACTTGGACCATTGACAAAGTCACACTGTGACTTTGTCAATGGTCCAAGTCGGACCGAAACGTCGTCGTAAGCTTCTCTCTTTTATGTGCGGGTTATTTGTGTATATACCTGAATAAACTTGCTTACTTTTTTTAAATGTTTTCAAAGTAGACAGTCAGGTGTTGCATAAATCCAGTGTATCAAGTGATTTGGTAAAAACCTCGCTGTGTGAGAGAAACATTGTCAATAAATAATCGCTTTAACCTTTGACTGTCGCAAACCCCTTTCTATAGCTGTCATTGTATGTCGCAAAATTTTTGGAAAAAAAAAAAGAATTATTTCTTCTTATGAAATGATAGAGAATCTTTTCCCGATGGTAATGACGCCAAAAGTATGAAATTTGGTCGAAAACTCACGGATTTGCTCTCCCGCGAAGTTAGTGGTCTCGACGACAGATACGCATCAGCGATTTCGCTGAATTTGAGCCCTGTTTTTGGCTAGTTCTGTTGTTCCAGTTGACCAAACTCATAGCTATTTCTTTAGAACTCCATTTTTTCTATCAGTTGAGTACAAGAAACGGCCCATTTACTGATTTGAACTACCCAATAAAGTAGTCAGAAATTGGCAATTTGGCCAATTTCACGCAAGTTAAAAAAGATACCAATTTCAAAATAGGGTCCAGAATAAACAATATAGACACTCTTGGCACTAAAATAACATATCCTCTGTTCATTAGTCACTTCTCTAGGCCCCTCTTATATTATTATTGCTTTCTATTCCGATTTTTTATTCATACAAAGAATACAAAATTTACTGTTATGCAGACTACTGCATTATTGTAAAAATGGTATAAATAATATCAGTGCAGTAGTGAAAGAATATTAGACTCCCCAGTTGACATGTATTGGACATGTGGTGTGATTTGCATACTCCTGAACATTGGTAAAAATCAAACATTTCCGCTAATTTGAGCTAAATTTCAAGGTCGTTTTCATTGTGAAACTAATCAAAATCATCTCTATTTCTGTAATATGTTTTCCATTTTATCACAAGAGACCATGAAAACAAGAGTACAGTGATAAATACTACACAAAAATACACCTCAAAGTCGGCATTTTAATCCAAAAAAACGATCGTTTTTTTTTTCTCATTATGCACTGCATGCTGCAGGATTTTTTTTATGTGGTGCACACTGACCACACAGACCCATTCTCTCACATGTGGGCCTACCAGCTTTCTCCTGCTTGATTTGAAGCCGCTAGAATTTACAGATATAAATACGTCCGAAACAGTGGCGCGTAAGACATGTATATAAGACCAAAACAATCAAAGGGTTAAACTGCGTTTGTATCATTTTTTCCATATTGTCGGTATTTTATACCATTTCTCTTCATGGAGTATATTTTGATCCATTGAACTGTACCGTACTTCACAACTGTGAACTGATTAAGTCCCTGGTGAGCAAACGTCTTCTCAATAAAATGGTAAAACCTTATTTTGTACCTCATTAGCATTACATCTTAGAAGCATTTGGTTATTACCTATGCTTTTGTCTTTATAACAAATATATTTTTGTTAAGTAGTTTACAGATAAATATGCAATAGATTTTTAAGGCAATTCTAAATTTTTATTTACATAATTAATAAAATTATTTGGGTAAAACTATTACGTAAAACTGCACTCAAATGAGTTATTATCCTTAATTGATTTTTTTTAATTAGAGACTTTAGTCCTATAAGCAAAAATGACGATTACAAATTAAAATACAGTAAATATTGTTGATTCGGCTTCTTATAGATGTCCTGTTACCCCAGGTGCGAGCTATTAAGCCAGAGCGAGGACGAGCGTTGCAACATTTCTACCAGCAGGCAAGTGGTGTGGACTTCCTGGAATACACAGTTACCTCCTCGACTACCAATGTCTCACGAGCTGGTGATTCTCTATCATTTGCGGCTGCTGACGGAGATTCAGACCGCCTTACTAACACTTCACGGAAGTCTCGAGTAGACTCGATGCCTCTACTAAGTGTTCCAGCAGAAGTTGAACCACTGCCAGGTTTTTCTAGATCGAGGCAGAGGTTGAAGAACCATCGAAGAATGACTAGCACAACTTTCGACAGCTCTCGACATACTTCAAGTAGGTTGATAAATTTACACAGTGTAGAATGTCAGGTGGCTGGCAGCTCCATGGTAGCATGTTTTCAGTTCACAACTGGAGGACCAGTAAAGAACAAAAAGGCACAGTACTGTGACTGGAACAATAAACAAATAACTCGAGAATAGTCGAACCGAAACAACGTCATAAGCTTCTCTCTTCTATGTGCTGGTTATTTATGTATTGAAGGTCCCGTGTTCAACCCTGGGCCTGGTGAAGATGTTGGACATGCTTCCTTATACTTGTACCTGTTTACCCAATCTTAATATACTTTTCTGAGTGGCATCCCAAAGGGTGGCAGCATATCTTTAATTGGGTCCATCAGTGAAATGAGCTGAGCTAGGATACCAACTCACCTGTACACTTCCCTATTCAAAGTTATTCTCTATAAGGATTACAACGCTGAGTTTACAGAATTTGATTATTGTGTGGTTTACATGTAGTAAAATAATAATTACAGAGTGTGCCACTAGAACACCTAGCATGGCTAGGCATTTCGGGCAGACTTAGATTAATTCTTAAATTTAAAATATTACAAATTATGAGGTAAGTTGGTATTATGGCTAAGTGACTAAATACTAGTTTGTGAGTTTAGCAATGTGAATGTTTTTGTTTTGGCACAGTACATAGTTTCAGTATTGGAGTATCACAGGCCAACTTATATCTCCAGTCTTTCTAATCTCAACAACTCTCTCTGTTCCTTAGACATCAAACTTACATTTTGCCAGACTAACACTCTTCACACTGATCTAGTTCATACCTCTCCTCCCTCTATAGATTCTCCTGGTGTCTACTCTATTTCTTGTTCCTCTTGTCCTCTTGAATACTTTGGAGATACTAGCCATTCTCTTTCTGACACTGAGTGAGCACAAAAGTAGTGTTAGGCTTGCCAACACCAACAGTGCTCTTTTCTGTCATGTCAGAGATCAGTCATCGTATTGACTGGTCTTCTTCTAAAACTGTCTACCCTATGTCTAACTTTCACAGTCGCCATCTGGTTGAATCATCCTTATACACAACTTTCCTTGTATGAATCTTAGTTGTGGCTTTGTCTCTGTAGATGCCTTCCTTTCCCATTACATTGTAAAATGCTACAAACTTCAAAACACCCATGACTTAACTTGATTCTTTTTTCCCCATTCTCCCTCTTCCCCTTTCCTCTTTCTCCTTTGGGCTTTTTTTTTTTTTTCTTTTTTCTACTTAGGATATCTGGTCCATTACTATTATTTTTTCCCCTCTGTGTTGTTGTTCCTACCCTTTGTGTGCCCCTAGCTTCCTTGCAGTGCTCCTCTTTCTTAGTCTTTGACTGACTCCACCACCACTACTACTACCTCTACCACTACTTTTCTTCCTTTCCTACTACCTCTCTTGTCCCATCCCTGTCTAGTACCCTATATATATTCCTTCCTTCTTTTTTGTTAATGTGGCTTTGTAAGTGGTCCAAGTCGGACCAAAATGTCTTCGTAAGCTCCTGTCTCGTATGTGCGGGCTATATATGTATTGTTCCATTCACGGTATTGTGCCTTTTTGTTATTTCTAGAGATAAGATTTTGTTCAGGTTTTTATCCCTGAAGGGTTAGTCACCCAGGATAACCCAAGAAAGGCAGTATGTCATCGAGGAACTGTCTTATTTCCATTCAGGTCCTCAGTCATGGCCCCCAGGATGCGACCCAAACCAGTCAACTAACACCTAGGTACCTACTTGCTAGGTGAACAGGGACAGCAGGTGCAAGGAAACACGCCCAATGTTTACCTCCTTTACGGAAATCTAACCATGGACACTGTGTGAGGCGAGAGCATTGCCTAACAGGCCATGGAACACTGCTACCCGGTACCTACCTATGTTAATAGTTGCATGAGCCTAGTTAAACTACACTAGTGTAACTAGAGAAAGCAAAAGATGGAACATTTCAGTTACAACGAATAATACACTTTGTGATAATACAGTGGTATGGTAGGGAATATTGACAGTATGTATTGAAGACATACAGTACGGGTTGTAGAATTTTGGTAAGTCACATGTTCAACAATGCCTTATTTATCAGAGTGTCAGTATTTTATTCCATTATACAGTGGAACCTCAAATTTCGAACGTATCTGTTATCGAACTCTTCGAAAACCAACTGCTTTTTTCAAATCAACATTGTCCCTATTATCGAACTTGCCCCTATTTTTGAACTGCCGGGTAGTGGACCTGTCTGCCTTCTTCAAAGATTAAGGAGATTTGTGCCAAGTGGAATGATGTCCAAATGTTTGTGGAGAAGTACCACCCTGAGCAAGCTGAAACAAGCTATCTTTGCAACAAGTTCAGTGACAAAACCATGTCCCATTTTAGGGAAATCTTAGAGGCTTGTAGATAAATGGTTCACAGAACCAACACGTTGATAAATTAGACACATGTGCAACTTTGGTTATTTTTATTAAGGAAACGTTTTGCCACACAGTGGCTTCATCAGTCCATACCCAGAGTTGCACATGTGTCTAATTTATCAACGTGTCGGTTCTGTGAACCATTTATCTACAATCCTGTCAGACACTGCAACTTCTTGGGATCTTAATACTCGGGAATTCTTCGCTTGCCTAACCCTTGGGCATGACCTACATCCACATTGGACAAATGTGACACCACCTACGACTGCTGCACCTCTCCTGCCTATGGTTTATAAACTGCTTCTCCGCTCATATGCCGTATTATATTCAAGATTGATGGACTGACCACATCGACTCAAGGTTGAGGGACTGATTACCTCATTCTCCTCCTGTTCTTCAAGTTTCTCCTGTGTATGGACTGATGTAGCCACTGTGTGGCGAAACGTTTCCTTAATAAAGATACCCAGAGTTGCACATCAAATCTTAGAGGTGCCAGAAACAGAGGACTGTGGACAGTTATTTTGTGAGACAAGGGTCCAGTGACTCTCAAGCTGGTCCTAGTGGCATTAAAAGACAGAGAAGGAAAGTAACCCCAGAGAGGGCTTTACCTGAAGTCCTTATGGAGGGGGATTCTCCTTCCAAACACTAACCCTAAATCCCTCTCTCCTCCTCCCTATCTTCCAGACGCCGTCACCAATCTGCAATAAAGGTGAGTAAAAATGTTATTTTATATGTTATTTAAATTTATTATTACATAATTAACTAAAAATAATCTCTTTTTTTTTTGGGGGGGGGGGGGTTCTGGAACGGATTAATTGTATTTCCATTATTTCTTATGGGAAATATTACTTCACTTTTCAAACTTTTTATGAATTTAGAACTAGGTCCTGGAACGGTTTAAGTTCAGAATTTGAGGTTCCACTATATTCACGTTATAGAATTTTATTGTGAAAATGTTTCATCCCCCAGGGACTTTATTAATTCGTGTGGTGGGCAAAACATTATTACAAATGCATTGGATGTCTTATTCTCACTTTTTCTGTATTTATTGTGCTTCAGTTAATTTTTATTTAGCTGCCTGCCACTATAGGCCTGGTCACAGACCGGGCCGCGGGGGCGTTGACCCCCGAAACTCTCTCCAGGTAAACTCCAGGTACAGTATATGAGTAATGTTTGTGTGACGTTTGATCAGAGCTTAACATATAGTTTTTGTCAGCAGAGAGAAGCAGTATCAACTCCCCTGGTGTGCTGATGGATGGTGGTGGTGAGCTGGGACGGGAGGAAGTGTGGATAATTGTGGTGGTGGAGGACCAGAATGATAACTCTCCCAGGTTTCTCCCTCATGGTCGTCCCATTGTGGCAGCAGTCCCAGCAGCAGCAGCCTATGGACACTTTGTTACCCGTATTACTGTTAGTAGCTGACCAAAAGGACTTTGTTTATCTCGCTTTATTACTTGTTACCAAATGTACTGGACTTTCCTTCTCTCTCTCTAGTCTTTCCTGGGGTCGAGAAAACTGGGAATGATCTAGTCACCAGTAATCAGGGAGCACTTTGGTTAAATTTAAAACAAAAATAAACATGCACACGCATGCGAGTGACAGTAATTCACTGTGAGGACAGGCCCAGCATGGGCCTGTAGGCCAACTGCAATGTTCTTATGTTGTTAGGTAAAGCAAAGATTTTCAGTAGTAATTGAAAAAGATTAGGAGTTTAAGCATACCTACTCACAAATCTCTTCACCATTTCCTGAAAATGGATGAAGTTAGCTATGTATGATAGCAGATGTTCATTGTAGATAACATTGAGTGCTGCAGTGTTTTCATTCATATCGTAAAGGAAAAAACATTATATTTTTAGAAGGTTATATTTATAAACTTAAATTTTAAAGGACTGGACCGGTCAGCTAATGGAAGGCCTTGGCCACATAACCAAGAGCTCCATTGGCGAGTCATCATGTGACTGAGACTAGCGTCAGGAAACAATTGCGTTGTTTCCTGAAGAATCTTACCTAACCTAACCGTTATATTTGGGTAGATTACACCCACTGCTTTAACAGACGAATAACAACATCCCCCACTCACAATCAAGTTTTTTTTTTTCACCAAGCTAAAATATGCAGCATATTGTATATAGCTTAAAATAATCAGAGAAGTGACTGCACATAAGGTGTTTAAAAATCAGGCATTTTTAACCTGTTTTCTTTAAATTGTGAATAAATGATGATTGTAACCATTGATCATTTATTCGTATATAATCTTGTAAACAACATTGAATGTGAATCTTGTTCCCCAGGCACATGATCCAGACCTTGGTGTGAACGGTGAGGTGCGTTATGAGATTTTACCAGGGGAGGGAGCCAAAGATGCTACTACCAAGTTTACTGTGGATCCTTCATCTGGTCAGGTACACCGCAAGTGAATCTAGTCCCCTCCAGTTTACCGATTCCCAGTAGTTCAGATGGTTCATTGGTAACTTGTAAATTGTTTGATATTAATTAATGAATTACCATTAATAATTATATTATTAAAGTGAAATAGCAAACCTGTGTGGGTCATTTATTGCAAAGACGGGTGGAAGCACCATTTTCCTTATGCCAAGCTTAGTATATTACTGGTTAAGCTCTTGACAATGATTCATCGTAGAGAGAAAATACTTTCTCTTTTTTTAATTGTTTCAAATGTCGTTAATATAGTCTACAGGATACAGTATTTAACAAAAATAAGAAGGAAGAAATTGCAAGCAATAACAAATATGACATATTTTAACCAAATACATAAAGTTTTAAGCCAAATCAAATAATTAACATACTAAACTCTAATATTTTTGTGCTTGTACAGGTAGTGGTGGTAGGCTCCCTGGAGAATGAAGCTGGAAAAATGTTTGGTTTTGATGTAAGAGCCACTGATCAACATGGTGCTCCTACCGGTCGCACAGCCATAGCAAATGTCTTTGTAAGTAACAAAAGTATTAGATTGCTAAATATTTTCATTGCATTTTGAAGTCTTGTCTTTGAAAATTTTCTGATTACATAGTTAAATTTTTATTTTTTTCAGATCGGTTTAGTTTTGAAAGATGAAGTTAAATCATGGTACCAGCTCTAATTACTTTATATAAATGTTATTCTTCTATGATGCAGTTAATTTACGGTATCATCTACATGTATATGTAATAGTACGGTACGAATAATACACAAATGACGACGTTTTGGTTCGACTTGGACTATTAATTAACTAGTCCAAGTAGGTCTAGTGCTTGTTATTTGTGTAATGTTCCTATCACAGTATTATGCCATGTTATTCAGTATGGATATTGCACACAGGTATATGTAATTGGTGCTGGTGGTCACTTGGTGGTGGAGGTGGGAGCAACACCCAGAGATGTGGAACCTCACCTGCACCACATTCAGGGGTGAGGACTCATTGGCACTTACTAAAGAAAACATCCCTAACATTTTTTAATGCAGTTGGGTTATTCCCTGTTTACCAAGGGGAGCCAAGTGTTAGGGCTCATCCTCATTTAGGTTTTGTATATGAATGGTATACAATACCGACAAGATGAAAGTTAGACACACATGCTACATCTGGGTATCTTTATTGTTGACATTTCGCCATCCAGTAGCTTTATCAATACAAATTCTAGGACATAACTTTAAGACAGTAGAACTATATACAAAAGATGAGGTAATCAGTCCCTCAGCCTTGGAGTTGGTGTGAAGAGCACTGTAATCAATCCCTCAAGGCTGAGGGATTGATTACCTCATCTTTTGTATATAGTTCTACTGTCTTAAAGTTATGTCCTAGAATCTGTATTGATAAAGCCACTGGATGGCAAAACATCTACAATAAAGATACCCACATGTAGCACATGTCTAAGTTTCATTTAGGTTTTGTCCCAGGATGCAACCCACAACTATATACCTATTTACTGTTAGATATACATGGATAAGTAGATATAAAAAGACTAGTCAATACATTTTATTTTGGCCAGGACTGAAAACTGTTGTCGAAAGCCTTCATTTATTCATCAGTTCCTTCCTTACACATAGTATTAAATGATGAAAGAATATGTACACTGTGAGGTGTATGTATGTATATATACTGAGTTTAATACCTTTTTGTTGATATTAAAGTTTTGTTGACTAGCAGTGAATAGGATATATGCAACTTTAATGGCTGTAGTGCAGTATAGAGGCTTTACATAACCCCATTTACCAACCGTTCAGGACATCATACAGTGAATAGGCTTTAAACCCCCATTAATTAAGACACATAACGACTACTTTGACGCAAGATAACGAAAAAACGCTTATTTCCCAGGATGCTGACTAATGTTTCTGGCCTTGACGTCCGCGTTCAGAGGATCGCTCCCCATGTAGACGGTGATGCTGCCCACACCACAGCGTGAGTAGCCTCTGTTTATTCGTTGTAAGAGTACACATACACCATAGTGTAAGTCCTGTTGCTATAATGAAAGCATTTTTATGGTAGTGAAATCATTTTAAGATATATGAGGTTCTTAGTCTTGATCTGTGTAAAGCTAAGGGACTGAATGTCAAAATTATCACTCCATTTGCCTATAGTATATTATTAATATTATTATATTTAGTACAGTGCCTGCACTCTGAAGGAGGGGTGTTAATGTTGCAGTTTAAAAACTGTAGTGTAAAGCACCCTTCTGGCAAGACAGTGATGGAGTGAATGATGGTGAAAGTTTTTCTTTTTCGGGCCACCCTGCCTTGGTGGGAATCGGCCAGTGTGATAAAAAAAAAAAATAATAATATTATATTTAAGAGGGTAGTGCTAAATCTGTAGGGGCTATACAGCACTTGGGGAATGGGAAACATTCGGGTCTTATCCAAAGAAGAGGAGAGCAGGTCTTATTCATTGGATCAAGAAACCCTCACTGGCTTTGAGGAATCTCCTTTGAAGGGTGTCTAAAGTAAAAAACAAACAAAAAATCACCATGTTATTAGATTGAAAAAGCCTTGTTTGTGCACATGTGAAATGTCTCATCATTAAAGCTTCCCAAGTGTTGGATGCGTCTTATTCATCAACTTTTTGGTATTGTAAACTATTAACGTGATTCACTTAGTTGTCTTGAGAGTCTAGGCTTTCCCTTTATGATGACGGGTAATTCTCCTCTGTTGATAATTTTAGTATTTTAAGGTTATTGTGGTATTTGTTTATTATTAATTTACAGGACAGATGTGTATGTGTATGCTGTTGACCCTGTAACACAGGCTATAGTCGAGGCTGCCCAGTTACGGCAGGCGCTGAGAGGCAGGAAGGGCCAGTTGAGATCACTACTACCATCTGGCCTCCAGTTTAAAGGAATGAGGTTACCTCAGCCAATGAAACAAGGACATATATTGCAGGTTAGCCAATAAAACTTTTCACACACACACCGCACAACCCCTCACACACACAACCCCACACACACACAACCCCCCACACACACACAACCCCACACACACACACAACCCCACACACACACACAACCCACACACACACACACAACCCCACACACACCACAACCCCACACACACACACAACCCCACACACACAACCCCATACACACACAACCCCACACACACACAACCCCACACACACACAACCCACACACACACACAACCCCACACACACACAACCCCACACACACAACACCCCACACACACACAACCCCACACACACACACCCCACACACACACAACCCCACACACAACCCCACACACACACAACCCCACACACACACAACCCCACACACACACAACCCCACACACACACAACCCCACACACACACAACCCCACACACACACAACCCCACACACACACAACCCCACACACACACAACCCCACACACACACAACCCCACACACACACACGCACACACACACACACACACACACACACACACACACACACACACACACACACACACACAACACCGCACACACACACACTGCACACACACACACACACCACACACACACCACACACACACACACACACACCACACACACACCGCACACACACACACCGCACACACACACACCGCACACACACACACACACCACACCGCACACACACACACACACACCGCACACACACACACACTGCACACACAACACACACACCGCACACACACACACACTGCACACACACACACCGCACACACCGCACACACACCGCGCACACACACACACACACACACACACCACACACACACACACACCCACACACACAAACCACACACAGGAAGTGGAACAATCTGGAGAGTGATGTGGAGGCAGAATCCATATATAACTCTAACATTTTGACTTTTTATTATATATTTTATTACTAATTTTCCCTTAAAAAGTCCAACATAATGGGACAAGTTCATATTTCAGTAGACAGTTAAAACTGAACAGCTTTATTTGAAAATGAACGAAAGGATCCATCTTTAAAATCCAAAAATAGAAGCTCAATAAACAACACTATCCTGGTCTATATGGCCACTCAGATCACCTCGGTGACCATTTTCTAATAGATGTGACCATGCCATCAGATACCAGATAGTGACATATGACAGAGCTTAAATGAAGAATATAATAAGACAAATCTATTCCTCTGGAAAGGTTATTATGCCTTAATATACTTATAGGAATTCCTTAGACAAAATAAATTCACATTGTAGGTGAAGCCGAGACCTGTTCTGGTTCATTGACAGGTTGTGAATGAAGATGAGTATATAACAGATACACGTACTTATATACATACATATACAGCCACTCCTCACTTAATGATGGAGTTCTGTTCCTAAGATCACGTGGGTAAACGAATTCGTCCCTAAGTGAGGAGCATACTATAATGGTAGAGGGTTTGTGTTGACCATCTTTGATACTGTTTTAATGCACCTTTGCACCATTCATAACATTGGAATATTTTTAAATGTTTATGCAGTAGTGTACTGTATATTGTAATAAACAGAATAGAGGAAATCAGGTCTAATATACATTATTTAGGTATACATACTGGTCAGGGAGCCCATAGTAAATCCGAGTAGTAAGTAAACAATTACATCGGTAAGTGAGGAGAGGCTGTATATATATTTTGTTTGTTGATTATTATATTACCATGTCTTGTGCTGAAGAACAAACATAATGTAGTAATGCTCAATATTTCTAATCCCTTTCTTTGTGGTGTACTAGACTGCAGAGTTAGCTATCCTGGTGGGAGCTGTGGTGGTCTTCCTGTCTACTGTGACAGCTATTGCTTGTCTCTGTTACAAACAACGGAAAAGGTAACTTAACAAACTTCACCTGACAATTGTTTCATAAACTACTGGTAGCAGATTTGTTCACTCTAACAGTGTAAAAGGTAACTGGAAAACTCTCAGATTTGAGTTAAAACGTGAAGTAAATATTTGTAGATGAATGGTTCAGAGAACCGACATGTTGATAAATTAGATGGACTGAACACATCAGTCGATGGACTGAACACATCGACTCAAGGTTGAGGGACTGATTACCTCATTCTCCTCCTGTTATTCAAGTTTCTCCTACGTATGGACTGATGAAGCCACTGTGTGGCGAAACGTTTCCTCAAAGATACCCAAGAGTTGCACATGTGTCTAATTTATCAACATGAAGTAAATAAATGGAGCTACCAGCAAGGTGGGGGGCATAATTATAGTAATCACGGGGAAGCACTAAACCCATAAGGGTATGGTCAAAAGACATGAACAGTTCAGAACATTAAGGGGAACGTTTCGCCACTAGTGGCTTTTCCGTCCTCTAGAAGTACTCGTGGCGAGAAAACGTTTCCATTAAAGAATTGTCTTAAAATGGGCATAAGTTTCTCTTGCCAAACCTTTGCTGATAGGCTTTAAACTCTACTAACCATAATTTATAATTTAACACAAAATACTAGGCTAACTTACAAATTGAAATCAACAATATACTGAGCTGCAATAAGAAGTTTCCTATAAATATTTCTGCAGTGCTGAATGACATGGGTTTAATGCTTTGTTTTGATTATAATCTCTAGTTTATTTTGTCATCTACTGTAGGGCCTGGGCTGCTGCTGTCAAGGGAATTGTAGCCTTTATTTTTCACTTTCAAATGCATATAGAAACCTGATAACATGTTTACACTAGCACAACTAGCGAAGTGAAATTCTCATGTTTACTGACATTCATCTGTTGACAGTAGCATCATATCTGTACCACCATCATATCACCTGTACCAGTGCTAACCAGAGGGAAACACAGGAGACATCGTCAAATCAACAGTACAAAACTCCAAGATTATAGGACGGTTATCCCTCAGTGCAGTCGTGGGAAAGAAGTGAATAGTTAAACAGTCAAGGTTAATATTTTAGTAGCTGACCTATATTCAGCTGACCAGTGTACAGTGAGAGAATCATAGCAGAAAACGCCAAATATATCTATAATCTCAAGGAAAGTCAGGTTGTAGGTGACGTTTACTTCCCTCAGTGTTTTAAAAATGGCTGAGTCAGCAGACCAGGTCAGGAGACAACAACACGACACAACCCCCGATAAATGGAATTGAGGGGGATTTGGAAGGATAAAACCAGTGATTAAACCTTTCTGGTCTTCCAGAATGGAAAGGAGTTAGAGGTTAATTGGTGAAGTCAGACGGGAAGGGGAGTGTGTAATAAGGGGTTAACTGTAAGGGGTGTGTGAAGTTAAGGGAAAAGTGAGCAGTGAAGAGGGTTTTGTAGAAGAAAATTTACTAGTAATTCAGTGGTGATTGCTAAAGCAGATACTAAGTGTACTAGGTGACTGGAAAAGAGAAATAAATATTATTGTATATGAGTAAAAGAGCGAAGAGTGAAAATGGCATGCATTAGGGGGGTACAGGCTGCCATAATTATATTTATCTTTCTTCTTCAATTCCATGAAGAAAGAAATCAGTCATGGGGGCTGGAAAAGGTGAATGGAGTAACAGCGCCCTGGACAGTAAAAGCCCAACAGTTACCATCCTACCAGAAAAGTAATTGTCACTATCGCCGCAAGGTATGGCAACACCGCATACCCAAACAAAAACAGTGGCACACAGCCCTTATTGTAGTGCTCTTAAGTGGTGATATCCAAATTAATCCAGAACCTCAAACTATTGTGCAAAGGCAAAACAGACAGATAAATGACGGTGATAATGACTGTATAGTAGCTAGAAATGATAACCTTAACTCCATATGTAATGCATACATAGGTCAATGTGAGACAATACAACCATTATTATCTCAAACACTACCAAACAGGTGCATACACTGTACTAAAGTACGCATGAAAAACAGAAAAGGCACCTTATGCAAAATGTGTAAGGGGTGGGTGCTTGATGGATGTATGTTCAATTATAGCAATGGTGCCAGAATTCATTTTGTGTGTAACAAATGCACTTTGGCACAGTTACCCTTTAGCAATGATGACATTGATTTACCTAATTTTAATACAAATGACCCATTGCCATATATTGATGATTATAATTGTTTTATGAAAACAGGCCTTCACTTTATTCATGTCAACGCAAGATCACTTCTTCCTAAATTGGCAGAGATTAGGATTCTAGCTAACAAAATTAGGGCGGCAGTTATAACCATCTCTGAATCCTGGTTGAATGATACGGTGACTGACGATGAGGTCAAAATAGAAGGTTACAATATAAAATGCTTAGATAGGAACAGAAAGGGTGGTGGAGTATGTGCCTACATTAGAAATGACTTAGCTTACAACCCAAGACCTGATTTAAATAACAATAAACTGGAGATCCTATGGTTTGAAGTGCTGCTTCCCAAGACCAAACCCATCTTAGTAGGAACTAGTTACCGCCCTCCTACCCAGGACCAGTTCTTAGAAGACTTTTCCAGAGTATTGTCCGGACTTGAAAACAGTTGCGAGACAATAATACTGGGCGACTTCAGTATCTGTTTTCAGCAGCAAAATAACAGGCTATGCAAAAGGTATAAGCAAATTCTAGGTTTAAATAGTTACACTCGACTAATTAATACACCAACCCGGATCACACAGTTCTCAGCCACACTAATTAACCAGATACTTTGTAACCGCGCTAAGAACATTAGTCAGTCAGGCGTCATTACCACAGGTCTTAGTGATCATTTCATCATTTACTGCACCAGGAAAATCACTAGGGATAGGATAGGCCTACACAGGACAATAAAAATGAGGCCAACTAGAAACTTCAGTAAAGAAACACTGGTAAATAGGCTACACAATTGTGACGACAGAGATAACAAGTTGCACAGACGTAAATGATGCCTGGGAAAAATTCAAAACAATGTTCACTACTATCCTTGATAATATTGCACTAGTTAAAGAGGTTAGGATTAAATGAAGAACTGAACCCTGGATGACTACTGACATATTAGATAATATGAAATTCAGAGACCAGCTGCTTAAAAGATTTAAAGCAAACAGACAGGATATTGCAGCACTAAATGAATTCCAAAGGGTGAGGAACAGAGTACAGAGACTTATAAAAGGAGCAAAGGCAAAGCACTATTGCTCAAAAATTGAAGAGTATAAGCATAACCCCAGAAAGCTCTGGCAACAACTAAAACAGTAGATAGGTCTAACATAGTACTCACTATCGATACTGAGGTATGCCACGAAACATCTAAGGTGGCAAATTGCTTTAATTCCTACTACGCATTTGTTGCATCAACACTAGTAAGTAAACTACCAGCTGCATCAAATACCTTTAACACAGACTCTGATAAGTTTCAAACATACTATACCAATAAAGGGGTAACCCCAAACAGTTGTCAACTAGTAAGTGTATCTCATGACTTTATTCAAAAAGAACTAAGCAGGTTAAACCCAACTAAGAGCACAGGCCCTGATAGCATCCCATCTAAGTTCCTAAAAGATGGTGCTTCTGAACTGTCAATCCCTATTGCTCACATAATAAATCTATCAATCACCACTAATACTATACCAGAGGGGTTCAAGGAGGCCAGAGTTACTCCTATCTTCAAGAAAAATAGTAGGTCTGATGTCAGCAACTATAGGCCTGTTAGTATACTCGGTATAATATCTAAAATTCTAGAGAGGGCGGTGTACTCTCAAGTAGTTAAGTACCTTAATGACAACAACATTCTCCATAGCTATCAATCGGGCTTTAGAAGATCCTACTCAACCGACACCTCCCTAATTAATCTGATGGATTACCTGAGAACTGAAATGTCAAAGGGGAACCTCATAGGTATGGTAACCTTAGACCTGCAAAAGGCCTTCGATACTGTCAACCACAGTATATTATGTAAAAAACTTCAAGCTATTGGTATAGGTTCTGTAGACTGGTTTAAGTCCTACCTTAGCAACAGGAGACAAATAGTCAAAATCAACAAAACGGAATCAGAACCCCTGCCGATAACATGTGGAGTTCCCCAAGGTAGTATTCTGGGCCCCTTATTATTCTTATGTCAATGACATGCCTATCAGTGTCAAGTGCAAACTCCTACTGTATGCAGATGACAGTGCCCTGTTAGTGTCAGGTAAAGATCCACAAGATATAGCTAATGTTTTAACACTGGAACTGGAGTCCTGCAGCAAATGGTTAGTAGACAACAAACTATCATTACACCTCGGGAAAACTGAAGCCATTCTCTTTGGCACGAAACATAAACTGAGAAGGGTAAATAATTTTAATGTTCAGTGTAATGGGGAGCCCATCACTTTGGTTTCTTCAGTAAAATATCTGGGAATCCCCTTTGACCCATGCATGTCAGGAGAATTGATAGGGAACAGTGTAGTAAAGAAAGCGAATGCCAGACTGAAGTTTCTGTATAGACAAGCACAGTGTCTACCTACTGAGGCTCGCAGGACCCTATGTCTAGCCCTTATACAATGCCATATGGATTACGCTTGCTCTTCATGGAACTGCCTTGACAAAAAAACTGAAAGATAGACTGCAAATCACCCAGAACAAAATAATAAGATTCATCCTGGACCTGGGTCCAAGAGAGCATGTAGGCCGGGATGAATTACAGCAGTTGGATATGCTGAATGTTGAAGACAGAGTAAAACAACTAAAGCTAAATCATGTTTATAAAATTGCTCACAAATAGTGTCCAGAATATCTTGATGTCAGTTTTGTCAAGGTTGGTAACCAAAGCAATCATAGTACTAGGGGGAGAGAGCACAACTTTGTAGTACCCACAGTCATTGGCCAGGCTTCAAACACCTTTTATTGTACAGCAGTAAAGGAATGGAACAGACTACCCACACATGTCAAAGAGAAGAGTGCCAAAAGGTGTCTGATGAATGTAGCTACAGAAAGGGAGGGGAATGATTTTCTATTTTTTTAGCTAACATTCGTGTAAATTTTACCTTATTCCTAGTAATGACCCTCGTGTAGTAGATAGTCTTTTTAGCATAATAATAAGATGTTATCTTCATTATAGAATAATAAGAAAATATTATAACCTTTATATTATAATAATAAGGTAAAAGGACCCCAATGGAAATAAGTCACTCCGTCTGACTTTTTTGGGTTATCCCAGGTTCTCTACACACATGCTGCTATGTATGATAATCTATGTAACTGTATTTGTGTATACCTGAATAAACTTACTTACATTAAGTGAGCAATAGAGCTAGGCCTAAATGCATATACAGTACACATTACCTGGAGAGGGTTTCAGGGATCAACGCCCCGCGGCCCAGTCTGTGACCAGGCCTCATGGTGGATCAGGGCCTGATCAACCAGGCTGTTACTGTTGGCTGCATGCAACCCAACATATGAACCACAGCCTGGCTGGTCAGGTACTGACTTTAGGTGCATGTCGAGTGCCTTCTTGAAGACAGCCAGGGGTCTATTGGTAATCTCCCATATGTATGCTGGGAGGCAATTGAACAGTCTTGGGCCCCTGACAATTATTGTGTTGTCTCTTATCCTGCTAGTGGCTCTCCTGCTTTTTGGTTGGTAAGACACATAGGCAACTTTATTCCGAAACATTTCACCTACACAGTAGGCTTCTTCAGTAGAGTACAGAATTAGGCAGGAGCAGTAGAGATGTGAAGACGATGTAATCAGTCCATCACCCTTGAAGTCGTAGATTTGAGGTTGTCAGTCCCTCAGCCTGATGAAGGGTTCTGTTCCATAGCCTGAAACAATCTGAAGATCAAGCGACAGTGTGGAGACTTATATACTGTAGGAAGGAGAGATGCACAGTAGTAGTAGAGAGAATGTAGCCACCGAGAGGTCAGGTCCCTCTCGGATCAAACAATTCTCACTTGAAAAGGTTGTCCAAGGTGTTTTATCTTCTCTACCAAGATGGTATTGTGTTGCAATGTGTGACATAGTGAATATCAAAGGGTGGTGGACTGATTACATCGTCTTCACATCTCTACTGCTCCTGCCTGCGTTCTGTACTTGACTGAAGAAGCTTACTGTGTAGGCAAAACTTTTCAGAATAAAGTTGCGTAACTGTAACCTATGTGTCTTGCCTACCAACCTGTTGGTATTGTATACCATTTTGATATTCACTTCTGCTTTTCATTGGGGGAATGTTGCATCATCTGCCAAGTCTTTTGCTTTCATATGGAGTGATTTTTGTGTGCAAGTTTAGTACTAATCCCTCTAGGATGAATATTCATTATTCAGACTTATTATTAACACATCGGCCGTCTCCCACCAAGGCAGGGTGGCCCAAAGAAAAACTTTCATCATCCTTCACTCCATCACTGTCTTACGAAAGGGGTGCTTACACTACAGTTATAAAACTGCAACATTAACACCCCTCCTTGAGAGTGCCGACACTGTACTTCACATCTCCAGGACTTGAGTCCTGCCTGCCAGTTTCCCTGAATCCCTTCATAAATGTTACTTTCCTCACACTCCAACAGCACGTCAAGTAGTATTAAAAACCTTTTCTCCATTACCCTATCAAATACCCCCGTCCTTTGCGGGAAGTCCAACCCCCTCGCACACAAAACCCCTTACCCTCTCCCCCAAACCCCTTTTGGGCACCCCCTACTCCCCTTCCCCTCCACTACAGTTTTTAACATTTTTGGGAATATTATGTTTTTTTCCCTTTTTTGTCAGCCCCCCTCAAAACCCCCACCCCTTGGAAATACTTTTGGTAATCCCACACTTCTCCTAATTTCCAAACTATGAATTCTTGATTTATTCCCCATATGTTGCTTCAACATGTTTCCCCACTGCCTCCACCCCTTCTCCTCATTGCAACATTATCCCCCTGTTACCCCATACAAGAGTGTTGGTACAATTTTAAATTTTAACATTCCCCCCTTTGTTCCACAGACAAAAATTCTTTGCTCCACAGACTCCTAAGTGCACCACTCACCCTTTTCCCCTCATCATTCTATGATTTACCTTCCCCCTTATGATCCCTCTGTGCAGTCGCTTAAATATTGAAAACATTCACCCCCCCCTTTTTTCCCCCAATCTTTCCACCTAAACTTTTTGTTTTCCTCATCCTTGCTTGCCCTATTTAAAATTTTAATTTTCTTCTCTTTTCTACCCTACCAAATTCATCCCCCCAACCCCCGCAAAATTCTATTCAGAACTCCAAAAAAAGTGTCATCAGAAAGAGCAAACTGTGACAAATCCCCTTTTTTGTTTGATTTTTATTTTTAATCACACCCCTTTCCCAAACCCTTGTTCATTCTTTTTCAACCCATCTATAAATTTTTTTAAAAAATCACGTGAATCAACATCCTTGTCAAGGCCCATTTTACTAGGAAATATCTTCCTCTCTCTAATACCAACTGAGTCACTATCCTTGTAAAAACTCTTTTACTGCTTTCAGTAACCCACCTCCTTTAACCCCTCACCCGACATTGCCCCCTATCCACCCCCGTTATGCCTTTTCCAAAATTTATAAATGAACAAAAACCTCTTCACACTTATTAAATATGTTCACTTTTGTTTCCTGTAAAACCCGGTCCCCACACCCCCCACCTTTCTAAAGCCGCCTTTTCATCTGCTACCCATCTCCGTCTTACTCTTAATTTTTAAAATATAGTCCCCACTCTTTATAAGCAAAGGATAAAAATATTTTAAGAAAAATAATGTGTGTACTGTATATGTTTTTTTGGCCCTAGTTTCTGTTGCTCCTTAAAAAAGATAGTGAAAAATTTTTATCGGTTCTTTTTGCTTTTGAAAGCAAAAAATAAGGCTGAAATGGCCCCCACTTTCAGTTTTTGCTTCCCGTATATTGTGGTGTATATTTAAAAATCTATAATAAGATAAAAAAAGCATTTATAGCATTTTATTGAGAAAACTATCACCCCCCAGGAATTTAAAAAGTCCCCGGTGGTGATAGTTTTTTTTTTTTTTAAAAAAAAAAAAAAACCCATAAACAGCTTATTGTTTCTGATGTATTTTTATTCAAAAAATGACAGAATCTGTCATATTCTCCTGCAAAAAGTGGAAATTTTGGTTTTTTTTCTCTTGTAAAAAAAGTGAAAAACCCCGTATCTATTTCTTTTTGTTTTGCAAAAACAAACAAAACTTAAATCTACCTCTTTTTTGCTTTAAAGAAAAGTGGAAACCTCCCTTTATTATATTATAATATTTTTTTTAAAATTTTTGTCAACATTCTCTTTCTTCTGCAAAAGACGACGAAAACCTATGCCGTTAGCCCCTTTGATGACTGCCAATGGTGTTCCTGTGTTGCCTCTGGCTTACCCGGGACACTTCGCTGCTCCCTACACTCACATGAGTGACCACAGCAGTGCGGACTCTTCAGATGCTCAGGAAGTGTCCCCTGACCACCTGCACTACTGCCATGACCCAGGTCACTACCCTCAGGAAGTGGCTCACTACCCCCATCCTTCAAGACCACGCTGGGGAGCTCACAACCACCACTCTGATCATGAGGTAAGCTCCCCATTACTATAATATTTACACAACTTGCACATAACAGAGAGATGTCTGTGATGACATTTCGGTCCATTTACAAGTCTGACTGAAACGTCGTCGTAGTTCTCTGTTATGTGCGAGTTATTAGTTTATACCTGGAGTGGGTTTTGGGGGATCTATGGCCCCATGGCCTGGTCTGTGAGCAGGCCTCATGGTGGATCAAAGCCTGATCAGCCAGGCTGTTACTGCTAGCTGCACGTAACCTACATACGAAACACAGCCCTGCTGGTCAGGTACTGACTCTAGGTGCCTGTTTGAAGACAGCCAGGGGATCTATTTGTAATCCCCCTTACATATGCTGGGAGGCAGTTGAACAGTCTTGGGGCCCCTGACACTTAGTGTACTCGTATTGTTCAGGTCATAGTATTATGACTTTTTGTTCTTCAGTACAGAGATAAATGGAATAAATACCAACATGATGGAAAAATAAATACAAACGCAATATAATGAGATCCTTTATTGACTACATTTTGCCCACACAGTGGACTTTATCAAGTCACAAACAAATCTGTGACATGATAAACGCCACCGTGTGGGCGAAACAGTCAATAAAGGATGTCATTATATTGCATTTGCTTATTTTTCCATTGCTCTTCACTATACGTAATCTCTAATTATGAACCTCGTGGCTTTAGTGATTCTCTTTTTTTAACATACAATGCAAGACATATTTTAATGTTCTTTGAAACAGATGGATAAATATTTTTACGTTCATCCTGGAATCGCTAAAGTTGTGAGAGTCAACCAGCACCCTGAGAATTAGAGGCAAACAGGTTCGAACCAAGGATGGACAGGTCAGCTCCTGTACCTTAGATTAAGAGTGCTTCATAAGCCTTAGGGTGCTGGAGTGGAGATGGGCTGTTAATTCAGTGTCATGAACATGTTTAAAACGTCTGTGCACTACCTGGGTATCTTCATTGTGGAAACGTTTTGCCAACCAGTGGGTTGATCAGTCAAATGCAGAGTATTATTATTAATTATAATGAAGTGTTAAACCTGTAAGCGTCATACAGTGCTCCAGTGTAGAGACAAACGATGGAAGACTTCGAGAGCAATTGACACAGCCACTGTTGGGCGAAACATCTCCACAATAAATTTACCCAAGTGTTACACACATTTTATTTTGTCTACTTGTCGGTACTGTAAACCTTTAATAAACCTGCACAGTAAGCTACAGTATAAACCCAGGTGGTTTATGTAAACACTTGAACATGACACTAGGATTTGTGCACTGTTTGCCCACGTTTTTTTTTTTTTTTTAACCAAGATACACTGCTTTATAATTTCTTAAAGGAAGGCATCTTGCAGTAGTAACCAAAGTGTGTGTGTGGTGCCAGTGTGTTTGATGCTGCAGTAGGATTGACCATAGTATTCATAGAACTTGAGATAATCTCCTATTCTTGTGATCTAATCTGGTTGCAACCCATTTTCCAAGGTGTTCCACTATGAAATAAACCATTTCATAGAATTTTTGGGTTGCAGCATTATGGTAGTGAACACGTGCCCTCCCACACTGATGAAGATGACACCGTGCCAGTGTGTCTACGCCACGTCCCTTCACGGAAGCGACGCCGTGGCTCACAGGCCAGCAGTGGGCTCCATGGACAAGTTAAACGCTGCTCCTCTAGGATAGGTGCTCCATTCCTAGAGGAGCCCTCGAGCTCAGACCTGGATGAGAGGGACCATGTACCTGCACAGGTCATCATTCCTAAACCACCTCGTTGCTGTCCTGATGACAGGTAATTGTGTGGCATTCCTGAAGGAATAACTTGTTTTGAGTTTGCCCCCCTCAAAAAAATTCTTCCTAAAGAGTTTAATTTATAATTTGAGAACAAGTCATCTGATTGGTTTCAATTTTCAACACTAATCAGGGAAAAGTTCATGAAAGTACCAGCACGTACAGGTGCCCCCTGGTAAACTTTAAATAGCCTACACGTTATTTCAGTTTCTATGCGATAAAAAACACAAGTGCATTATAATGCGATCCTTTATTGCCTACATTTCACGCAAACAGTGGTCTCTATCAGGTCACAAACAGATCTACCTGGGTAAAGAGTACACGAGTGTATATAGTGTGGAGAATGTTGGATTGGAGACGGACCTGCAAGGGACGGGCGAGTGTCTGTTATTATGTAGATGTATGTATGTTATGTAGGCAACTGGGGCCAAGTTGCCAAATATATTTTCAAAATATTAGTATTTTTTTTGCTAAATAACTTTAAAGCATTCAATAGCCTTTTGATCTTTAACGACTGAGATGCAGATAAATTGAGAATGCCTTTTATAAACGTTAATGATTAAGACACATGTGCAACAGTTAGGTATCTTCGTCGAAACGTTTTTGCCTACACGGTAGACTTCTTCAGTCAAATACAGTGGCAGTAGGTGAAATGAAGATGTTGTAATCAGTTTGTCAACCTTGGACATATGAGGTTGTCAGTCCCTCCCTGGAGGAGAGTACAGCTTTAAGCTGATGAATTGATTACATCATCTTCACTACTACACATCCTGCCTCTGCATTTGACCATAGAAGACTTTATTCAAAAAGAAGCGCTAAGCCACAAGGGCTATACAGCGCTGCAAAGAAGACTTTAGTCCTCACACACACACAATACCTCTGTACACCATTTAGTATACTTTGCAATCATGTTATTATGATTGCATGAGTTATGTAGTTATTAGTATTTTTTTTATAATGAACTTTGGTATTAATTTTAGTGCTGTTTTCTTTCTTTTTTAAAGAATTAGATACAGGTATAGAACCTGAGAATCTATTTTGAAAACCAGTGGTTTTATCAATACATCAAAATGTTTTCAAAACAGAATCCTAGGTCTACCTGGGTGTTCTGCAAGTCAGTGCCCCCCATGGCCTCCCAGTGGATCAGGGCCTGATCAACCAGGCTATTACTGCTGGCTGCACATAGTCCAACTTATGAACCACAGCCTGGCTGATCAGGTACTGACTTTAGATATCTATCCAGCTCTCATGAAGGCAGCCATAGGTTTATTGGTAATTACCGTTATGCCTGGTGGGAGGCTGTTGAACAGTCTTGGGCCCCAGACACTTTGCACATGTCTAATTCATTAATTAACTGGTAATTTATATCATGGTACTGTTGTTGCAGGCAACACGGAAGAAAGAATAATTCCCGTGCACTTCCAGCTGTGGATTGCACCCTGGACACCACTCGGCCTCAGTCTCCTGATAGCCTGGAGAGACCTCTGCAGACTCATGGCCACATTCGCTCTCAGAGTCAGGTCCACATCCACAGTATTCCCCGCACTCATCTCAAGAGAGAAAGAACAGATCATTACGATAGAAAAAGTGTTAGCAATGCTCATTCACCAAGTGATGTGACAGAGTTATAGGACTGTAAGTGTATATATGAATATGCTTATCAGTAATTATTTTTGACCACCTGGTTGCTTTATGATAAGAAAAGGAAATGAGTTTGGAGTTCTAGGTGATTAAAATTGCAGTAATTTTAACATATATTACTACGGAATAATATATATTGTTTAAGTATACAAAGTATTTTTGTATGAACTTTTAGAAATTGATACTGAGAAGTTGTTTAAAGAGACGTGAGCAAACTTAGACATATAGTTAAGTGTTTTGGTATCTTGACTACTTCCAACAATAAAGGTCATACACCTCACTTTCAAGCCTATATATTGTTATTTTTAACATTTTTTATGTTAAAAGCTATTAAAGTTCCAGAACTGAAACGTTTTCTGTGTCTGTTTGCTTCTCTAAGTATTTTCCAAAGAAAGCAAGATATACTATATTTTTTAGGGAGAGTGAGTTTACACGAGACAAAGAAGTTAGCCAAAGCCTCTTCTACTAGTGTTAGGAAAGTAGTATTTGCGACATTATCTAGAATTAGTGGCAATAACTTGATAATTTATTGCATTTTGCTATGACTTTCCTCGAATTCTTTAACCTTGCTATGCTTTATTTACCATGTGTGCTTTGCTAGGTTTCTGCAACTTTTGGTGTTCTGATGGACTTACGTTCTTATACATTTACAAGCAGAAGACAGCTCCGAAAGTCATTTACAAATGGTTAAAGGACGATTTTTTTTTTAACACATTGACTGTGTCTACCAAAGTAGGTAATGTTTTTAATTTAATGACTGGTGCAATAGAAAACTGAATGGCAGCTGGTGTAAAATAAGCTAGACTATGAATTATCCAAAGTTATACTGATCACAAGGAAAAACACATAATGTATCTTTACTAATCCCTTTCACATCCCTGTTTAGATTGCTGCACATTGATAACTTCACAGTATGTAACATTTCCCAACTGCTTTATTCAGGCAGAGATCATAATTCAAACTGATTTTGAGGAAAGAACTGAACTTCGGTACATAACCATTCAGGCTGCCTCTTTTAATCTAAGAGAATCCTAGAGACCATAGGCTTAGTAAAGATGCAAGTCAGTGACAAAAGTATATAAATCATGCGAGAATTAAGTGTGTTACATTTAGCATACATTATTTAATGAAATGTTAAAACAGTGCTATATGTCAGAATAAACAAAAAAATAGTAATGAAACTAAGACCCTTCAGGAATGTCTTAATGCTGGGGAAGGGGTTTTGATTCAAGGATTTATAGCTAGTCTTTCTTAGGTTCACATTTGATTACCTCCCATGCATTGTAACTTGTGTGAACTTAGCGGTTCCCTTTTAAAATAATTGATTAAATTTGCAAACGATTTACATTAAATCAGAATAACTCGTAAAATATCTTCACCCAGTGAGGAATAAATATATGTATACTTAAGAACTGACCACAAACGAAATTATTTACAGGGAAGGACGAACCTCTGGACATGACCAGGGTGTCCAAGTACACAGTCCTATGTTCACTTAGCCAGAGAGGCCATAACTTTGCATGGCTAGTAGAGATTAATCATTAATTTCCTTACTGGGAGCACCAGGCTGGTGACATGAAGAGTCAGTATGTGGAGGTTCAAACCCCCTCCCCTTCCACCACGAAAAAAGGTTAAGTGGCATTACCACTTCAAGTGGGTTTTTTTGGGGAGATCTTTGTCACAGGCAGGAGTACATGCTACTAATTGCAGTGTTTCATCCCCTTGTATATGTATTTATAAGAAAACTATACATATCATTAAATTAGAAACAAAAAAGTAACATTTAACCCTTAAACTGAAAAAAACATAGATCTACTTTTGGAGCACTACGCATGTGAATGTAAATCTGTTTGGATAGTTTAAGGGTTAAGTATAGTAAGAATTTTTAAACTTATTAATGTTAAATATTTGATTAAATTATTCGAAATATAATAAATATTTATACTGTAATGTCATTAAATGTATTTCTTGACATAGGTTTTGTATAGACATTTACATTAGTATGATAAGACATGAAAATACTGCAATTGGTGTAGGGAAGACTGCACAAAGAGAGAGGTATTGAACTTCACTCATTTTTCCATATAAAATTATGTTTGTACAACAGATTCACACTTCGCTACCTTTGAGAATGTATCTCATTGCTTGTATGTAGACTGAGTGCAGAATTTATATGCATAAAAGTATAGCAAAAGTCTTGCTTTGGTGAATTAAATCACTGAATGTGCCAAATGAAAATATGGAAATGGACACTTCGTATACAACTCAGGACATTATTGGAGTGTATGTTTCACCACGAGTGGCTTAATTAATCCTTTAATGTTTTGGACTCTTCATAAGTGTCCTTTTTTAAAGAAATAACCCACACATAGGAGATGGGAGCTTATGACAATGTTTTGGTCCGACCATTTACAAAGTCACACTGACTTTGTAAATGATCCAAATCGCACCAAAATGTCGTTATGAGCTTCTCTCTCCTGTGTGTGGGTTGTGTATTGTTCAATAAGTATCCTTTTTTCACAGTTAGTCTGTATCACCGTACCATTTACAACGATACGAGCCTAATTTAGTGTAGGATGGGAGAGCAGGAACTTTAAAGACAAAATTTAATTGTTTGAAATATAGTATCAATATTAATTGCATTTATTAGAGAAGATTTATACACTAGGAAAATTAGATTCATGAGGGAGCTGTAAACTCGTAAGGATTATACAGTGCCTTGCAGAGATTAGTAAATTTAAAACTTTAAAGGCAAATTTAACAAGAGTTCAGGTTTGAGATTTTTTTATTTTTACATTAAGTAACTTCGTACTATATGCATAAGGAAGCGTTGAACTTGTATGGTTATAATGGGATAGATGCTGGATAATCAGTGTAGACTCTACGAGGATAGTACTAATTTCAGTAGCCACAAGGCACCCTCTTCTCCGAAGGGTTTAAAGCTTGTCGACTATGTGAGGGTCATTAAGGATGTATTTAACATTTTACAGTCAATACTATAAACTTTAAAAAAGGGATTGAAGTAAATTCATGATATATACCCTTCCAAATAGTATACATTTACTGTTGCATTCTGTGTACACGCATGAGCGATATACTTTCCAATGTTTTTTTATAGATTCTGACAAGTTGGTTCACTGGTCTTAATGGCTGTCGAATACTCAGTCATTAAGGCTGCATGTCACTTGTTGATCAGTTCCAGTCAAGAAAACTAATACCTGACAGTGATTAAAGCAAGCTTTCAAATACTCATTCATACACAACTCTGTACATTCTTGGAGGATAAGATTACGTAATGTTGAGATAGTAGAGGATAACTGAAGATTTAATGCAAGACATTAATATTATATAGCATATGAGACAAGTATCCTGTATTGATATATGGTAATAATATTTTATAATAACTTTATTGTCAATGTTTTTATGTACATTCTCTAGTACTGTATTAGTAAATTGTGTGGTGGCTTTAGTTTTGTGCAAATGTAACCACTATTTCTTACTAAACAGATTAACATAGTTAACCCAAGCTAAATTTTCACTCATGTTGATAAGGTTAAGTTTGGTATGAGTATTAGAGAATTTGCATTAAAACTTTTGTGTAACGTATGAAATCATATAGTTATTGCATAAAACTTTAGTAAACCAATTAATCCATACATTAATCAATTTTTATAGTGTTACCTTGAGTTTCGAACAGCTGCCAACTGAACAATTATGTAAGTGTATTTTTTTTTTTTTGGGGGGGAGGGGGGTCTGAAACAGACTAATCTAATTTACATTATTCCTTATGGGAACAAGTTTGTTCAGTATCGGCACTCGAACAGCCTTCTGGGACGAATTACGTTCATAACTCGAGGTACCACTGTATTAAAATTCTTTGATACTCTTAGTTGTGGTTAGGTTGGGCTATATTCACCAGGAAACAGGAAAAGTATTTCTTGATGGGGGGGAGGGTCTTAGTCACATGATGACCCACCACTGGAGCTTCTGATCATCTGACAAAGACCTTCCACGGGCTTACCGGTCCACCACTTTAAAAATTAAATTTAAGTTGTTGTGTATATATTTTTTTAGGGCTGTAATATATCTAAGGTCTCTTAAGTTACAGAAATAAGCAATTATGGTGACTATGTTATAGATGTTGAAAGTTCTAGGTAAAATTGTGGCAGTATTGATAGGGCAAAGTGAACAGTGGTTAAAAATGCCTAAATACATTTTGTATACAAAAGTTATACTACAGTGTCCCTCCTCATACCTTTCTTGCGGTTCACACTTTAGGAGTCGAGTTACCTGTTACTACGGACACAACTTAGTTATTGCACTACATATATATATCATTTATGCAGGGTTTGGGGAATATTTCAGCAGAATGGTTAGTTAATGGAGTTTAAAGCTCTATGTATCTTTTTTCACCATCAGTCAAGAATATTTTAATACCTAAAACAGGAATTTACGTATACTCTCAGTATATATACACAGAGAACTATACCTCTCTGTATATATATATATCCTGTCACTAGAGTATTTGATTATTTAACAAGTGTTTACAATTACTTTGCTCAACTCTTGTAAGAATTGACTGATACCAAGTTATGTGCCGAGAATGTAAGTTTCAAATTATTTTTTTTCAAATATTAATAGTAAGCTTCAATTGTGTCTATAATCATTTGATAAGCAATTGTCAATAATTCTTCAGTAAAAATTTGCAGCAACTTATTGAACATTCTACTAGTGTGCTATATTACTAGGGTAATATTTACAATATATGTACCTGGGTATTAATGTTTTTTTTTTTTTTTTATAGAAGTTGTCCATTATTAAGTGGGTTGTGCAATGGAGTAATTTTTGAGTAAATAGTAATAAACTTAAGCCAACGTAACGTAATGCAAAATTAAAATCCTGGTGTAGGTTACCATTCCCCCCAGAATATAACTCCATTCCACAACACTTAATATTGGAGAATTTACGTAAAATATCAGCTGGCTCAAAAACCCCAGGCATAATTGCCCTATTAATATAATTATATGGAACTGCCTAACCCTTAGGGGTCAGTGCTTGAAACCTTGATGGGAATCAGGTTTAATGTAAGGAGAGTATAGATTTAATTTTTTTTTCTAGTTTAGCAATCCTTCACAGACATAAAGGCACATGAATCAGTGATAAATATACACAAGATATTAAAGGTTCTAAACCCGTGTACCACCTACTAAGGGTTGTCGAAAGATTAAGACCAGTGTCAGAACACTCGTCGAATATTAAGTGTCAAGTAACCCGCACATAGAAGAGAGGAGCTTATGACGACGTTTCGGTCCGAATTGGACCATTTACAAAGTCACACTAACCAGAAGTGTAGCAGGATGGCTATATATAGGCAGGGAGAGGAGGTAGTAGTAGTAGTAGTGGGGAATTAAGGAGGAGGAGGAGCCAGTGAAATACAAAGAAAGGGAGCTAGGTGCCCACAGAGGTGGGGGGAAGGGGAAGTGATGAAATAAATAATGAAGGTACAGAAATACGTGACAAGAAGAAAAAATGAGGAATCAGGTCAAGTGGCCTCATGACTCTTCCACCCTTTTCTTGAAGCTCTTAATAATCTTGCCCCTTCCATTAAGTTTAAAGCTGGATGGGAATCTAATTCCTTGCTTCCTTTTCTTGATGTCCATGTCCACTGCTCAGATACAGGTTTTTCAATTTACCAAAAACCTATGCACAGTGGCATGTACATTCACTGCCATGCTTCCCCTGTCAAGAAAAGTGTTCTTCCTCTTTCTCCGTGCCCTCAGTTCCTTCCAGCAGAAATTTCCACTCTTCATAATTCGTTCTCCCGTTTTGGCTACTCTTCCCATTTCATAGACTCTGCCTTCTCACGTGCTAAACGTAATTTCTTCTCTCCCAAACTCTACTCCTGGGAACTCTTCTGTCCTCTGCCTTCCCGGTCTTTCTAATCTCGACAGTTCTCTCCGTCCCTTAGACATCAAGCTTACTTTCCGCCAGACCAACACTCTTCGCACTGTGGAAATAAATGGTATAAAATACCGACACAATGGAAATATAAACACAAATGCAGTATAATGTGATCCTTTATTGACAACGTTTCACCCACACAGTGGGCTTTTTCAAGTCACACACGGATCTACCTGGGGTTGGAAGGTACGAGAGTATTTATAGGCATGTTCAGAATGTTGAGGTCAGGTGGAGAATGCTGCATCCGATGATCTACCGGGTGGGGTTATAGAGTCTTGGGTAGCTTGGCAGGGGTATTGGACAAGTTGTGAGTAGACCTTCTGCACATAAGAACATAGAACACTGCAGAAGGTCTACTCACAACTTGTCCAATACCCCTGCCAAGCTACCCAAGACTCTATAACCCCACCCGGTAGATCATCGGATGCAGCATTCTCCACCTGACCTCAACATTCTGAACATGCCTATAAATACTCTCGTACCTTCCAACCCCAGGTAGATCTGTGTGTGACTTGAAAAAGCCCACTGTGTGGGTGAAATGTTGTCAATAAAGGATCACATTATACTGCATTTGTGTTTATATTTCCACTCTTCGCACTAATCTCGTTCATACCTCTCCTCCCTCTACAGATGTTCTTGGTGTCTACTCTTTCTTGCTCCTCCTGTCCTCATCAATGCTGTATAGTCCTTGTGGCTTAGCGCTTCTTTTTGATTATAATAATAATGTCCTCATCAATACTTTGGAGAAACTGGTCGATCTCTTTCTGACAGATTTTAGGGAGCACAAAAATAATGTTAGGCTTGCCGACACTAACAATGCTCTGTTCTGTCACATCAGAGATCACAGCCATCCTATTGACTGGTCTTCCCTGCTTCCAACTCTAACAGTCGCTGTCAAGTTGAATCCTCTCTAATACACAACTTTCCTTGTATGAATCTTAGTCCTGGCTTTGTCTCTGTAGATGCCTTCCTCTCCCACTAAATTGTAAAATGTTCCAAACTTCAGAACACCCATGACAATCTGATTTCTCATTTTTTTTCCTTCTCCCTCTTTTCTTTTTTTAGTCTTCCTTTCTTCTGTCATGTGTTTCTATTCCCTCATTATTTATTTCATCACTTCCCCTTCCCCCCACCTCTGTGGGCACCTAGGTCCCTTGCAGTGCTCCCCTTTGTATTTGACTGGCTCCTCCTTCTCAATTCCCCACTACTACTACCTCTCCCTGCCTGTATATAGCTGTCCTGCTACACTTCTGGTTAATCTGACTTTGTAAATGGTCCAAGTCGGACTGAAACGTCGTCGTAAATTCCTCTCTTCTATGTGCATCTTCAAGTCATGGTATTGTGCCTTTTTTTATTGAAAGTGTCATTCAGTGAAAGCAATAGAGTCGGTGCTCCAAATCTCTATTCAATAGTTTATGTACAGATACTTACATAAACTATTGAAGAAAGAAAGTGGTTTTCAAACTTAGAGGACCAGGGCAAGTGTTCTACCATAAGGTCACTCCAGTTGTTGCAGCCAAGTTGTGTAGCATAAGTATCAATCATTTTATACAACGATGTATGTGCCTGTACATAGCTATTAATAAATAAATACCTTAATATTATATATTTTTAATTTGTTCCTGTACATGGCTATAATGCATATTTATCATAGGCTGAGCCAAAATAGAAGTACTGACACTAGTTCAAAATTGAAAATATCATAACGTTCATAGTGAAATAGGATAAGCATTGTGCTGCTACCCTATTATTATAATGAAAAAGAAGAGCTAAGCCACTAGGGCTATACAGCTGCTACCCTATTATAAGTGATAATTAAACAGTGAGAATAAAAATTGTATACCATCCCTCATGATGGCTCTCATATAGTGTTGAAATATACTATGAGCTGGGAGAGTTTACTAGTGCAATGAGGATGTAAAGTATTCCACTCGGGTTCATCAGCTACAAGTTTCCTTCCAGCAGTGCTCGGAATTGGTCTCAAAGGACAGTCTATCCCATAAACAGGAGAATATAACTTGTGAAATTGTCAGCTAGTGTTTAGGAGGGAGTATTATCAAAAAGAAGTGATAAGCCACAAGGGTCATATAGTGCAGAGAAGGATGCAGGGGTGTTTGACAACAAGAACTAGAGGGATGATTATTAGGTTATGGAATGCATCGTGGCAGTGGATAGTGCTAGGGTAGAAAGGGCTGTGAAGAGTTATCAGAGCTTAAAGTAAATCATTGAGTGTCTGGGTTAAAGGAGGGTCCATCAGGAAGAAGGGAAGGTAAAATCAGGGCAGTGGAGTGGTGCCGACGTTGGAGGTAAATTCTGAGTGCTCGTTGATAGTGGGCAGTCCAATAGAAACTGGAACCTGACAATTCTCAGAGTGGAACAGGGCGCCTCTCCATGAGTAAGAAGTGTGTGGCTGATGCAGTCAGGAAAGAGTAGGTCTCCCAACCTCAACATTCATGACAAGATGGCCAGAAACCTGTACTCGGTTTAATAGACTAGTTTATTATGGAGCAGATCAGACCAAAGGGTGTGAAGGTGGGTAGCAATTGCAGCAAAATAGTCTGTGAAAGAAACACCTCTATATGAAACGGGGAGGTCATATACTGCTGACCCCGCAGCAGTGTCTGCCTATACGTCAACATGACCAGGGACCCAACAAAAAATAATATCTTTGTGCTTGGTAGAGTGAGAAGCCACAGTAGGCAGTTAGGGCTTTCGCTCATGGCAGAGGGAAAGAACAGATATGAACTTCCCAAGGGGGTAGGGAAAGGCAGTAACTAAGAAGACAAGATGGAGTAAACAGGAGCGATTAACAAATAAAGAATGTCTACTAACATCTGTGACTATCCTTTATATAGAAGGATTGTGGAGGTCATAATAGCGAAGGCAATGAGCATCACGGCGATCGGACAAGGATGGAATATTTGCCTCTGCATAGAGGCTCTCAACTGGTGGAGAGAAAAGCACTGAGGCATAAATGTAATCCCTGGTGAGGGATGTGATTAGGACTAGAGAGTAGCAGGAGAAACCGCTGAATATATCTGGTTGCCATAATCAAGTCTTAATACAATCAAAAGAGAATTCTATGATCAGCCCCCATGAAAGATGAGGGAGGGTTTTTAAGAAGGTTCAGCCAGTTATGACAAGTTGCCTTCAGAGTTAATATGAGGCTTCCAGGATAACCTACGGTCAAACAGAAGGCTGAGAAACCTGACCCTATCACCTTCAGGGATACACGAGCCATAGAGGTACAACAGATGATCAGAGACGACAGAACGTCTAGTGTAAATAATTTGACGAGTTTTAGAACTATAAAAATTAAGCCCACGAGTGGTGGCCCAACTGGAAACAGTTAACCACAATGAGATGACAGCGCTGCACAATCTATAGCGAAGACATCAGCATAAAGAGATGACCAAATACTGGAGGGAAGAACCGAGGCCAGATCATTTATAACAAGGAGACAGTGTTGTGCTCGGAACACATCTCTGGGGGTGCACCTTCAGCTTGGACAAAGTCCGAGGGAAAGCTATGAACCCGGACACAGAAATCTTTCAATAAAGGTCCTAAGGAAAAATGGGGGAGTTGGCCAGGGCCAAGATATTATACCTCCAAATATGCCTTCTCAAGATGAAAAAAATGGAAATAACTGAAGTTATTGGTAAAGGCATTATGGACATGCATAGTAAGGGATCAATGGTAGAATGGTCCTTACGAAAGCCATATTGACTAAGAGAGAGAGACTGTTCTATCTCTAGATACCACATCAAACGTTGATTTACCAGACGTTCCATTACCTTGCAAACTGCACTTGTAAGAGCAATGGGACGATAGTGGGAGGGCCCCAGAGGAGGGGGGACGTTCAGTAACTCGAGAATAAGAAATATGGGGAAATTTCCCTTGGAGGAGTAGATGAGAGACTACCATAACATGTGGGAGGCCTTCTGCCTCAGAGACAATGGATTTCACTCTCATTTAAATAAACTTGGCAACGGCGAGAGTAAGATGGGTGAGCCTCATGACAATTGAGGGAAGAGGAAGGTAGACTACAAGACATTGGTATGGTCGTCGGCACCACATTTTGGGCATTCGGCGACGGACCTGCAATACTTTGCTGGATGACCAAAATGCGAGCAATTTCTACACTGTTGTGGTGTACGGATCACCATTCGAACTTGTAAACAGTGTCCCACTATGTATACAGAGGACGGAAGTTCATGGCAGTCAAAATTTAAGTGAGCTACACTGCAAGGGTATCATCTCCTGCAGGCAGGGAGGACACAAGTGTCTTAATTTGAAAATTGGGAGATCTTTGAGTTCTAGCTGTTCGAGAATGTCATCGCCACATGTCTAGAAATTCTGTTGGACAATGGTATCGGGCAGAATGACAGTACCACTACAAGAACTGAGGGAATGATGTTTTTCAATAGTTCCAGGAATAGTATCAATAGCTGTAAGGAGAGAAAGATCGTGAGCTTAGTTAGCATTCTGGACTGTGATGATGCAAGTACTTCTTTTGAGAGCATGAAAGGATATATCTCAACCAACATAGCGCAGGAGCGCCTTGCCAATACTGTGGTCGGAAAGATACAGGAAGTCGGTCATAGAGTAAAAAACTTAGTCCATTGTGTATTTCAACACAGCGTGTAAAGGGAGTGTGTGACGTGCTGGTCATTTCTGAGCAGAATGAGTAGGAAGTATCATCAGGTAATGGTCCTGGGCATTTAGGTGTGGGACATCTGAAAACTGCCGCACCACACAGGGAGAAGCCGGAAGCATAGTCAAAGAACGGAGGTCAGACGTATCGAAGGAGTCAGTTGAAACCCTGGTACCTGAAGCAGGTGTCGAAATGGCACCTGCAGGAGGTACAGGGGCATTAGAAATGTCCGAAGACTGGTCAAATAACAAGGCAGGGTCAGAACAGGGTGCAGTATCAGAAAGGGGCCCAGGTTCATGGATTGGGAACTCCGTGGTTAGGTCACTCCTTTTCTTTTTTAGAAAAAAAAGAAGGAAAGAATAAAAAAAAGGGGAGAACGTGGAGGAATAGCTCCTAGGAGGAATGAAAGTGCCGTAAATCTCCCTATGCATCCAAGAGGACCTCAGCACCGCAAGTAGTGCAGATGCGGTATGGAACCCGTACCATACCGCATCTGCACCATGCCAGTAAACCAGCAATCCAGGATAACATCCTCACATCCACTGATCCACCTCGGTGGACAAAATAGAGGGCGGCCGGACACCCACCACAAAGCATACATCCTTTGGCCACCCCTCCCCCGGAATCCGAAAGGTAGCTTCTAGATATACCCGTCACCCAAAAGACACCCCCCGGGAGAGCAGAGAGGGATGTGGACATCTCCTGACGATCCAGATTCCACGACAAGCTACACCACCGCCGTGGGGGCGTTGACCCCCGGAATTCTCTCCACGAAATCTACAGTGCCAGTGGGAAGAATCCCAAAGGCTGAAAATAGGGGAGGAGTTAAGGGAAAAGAGGGGTAATTAGGTTTCGTCTGAGGAAGGAGACCAAGAGGTCTAATTCCTCAGACCAAGAGCCTCTTGACCGTGCCAAGGAGGCCCCTTGAGGTGTTTGATATAGATTAACTACTTTCTCCATTCAATTTTAAATTAATGAATGGTTTTCATACTGATATTATAACATGACAATACTGTCACTTAAAATACCACTTAGTTTTATTTCCCTTCTATTAGTGGGAAAATGACACACAATTTTCTGGTATAATTTATTAAGATTGTAATTATTTTAACAGTTCTATTGCAAACATTTCCTGAACATCTGTAGTCAATTCCTCTAAAGAAAGAGAGATACGTATAACCAGTTAAAGTTTGGATTTACCAACGATGGAAGATTCATTTCCACGGGACTGAAGTGTGGCTCCTAGTCAGGAAGATGTGGCTCATGGTCATGAAGGTGTGACTCCTGGTCATGAGTTAGTCTTCAAGTTTGTTTATCGACTTGACTCCATTCGCTGCGTCCAGGATTCCTCGACCTAAAAGAGGCGGAAAAAATAATTTGAATCTGAAGTCAGGGGAAAAATATCTGAATCTCATGCCAAGGAAGTAAATATCTGAATCTGATTTTGCTGAAAATAAGAAAAAAGTTTTGGAGTGAGATTAATAAGTTGAGGAAGCTTAGGGAACACATGGATTTGTCAGTTAAAAATAGAAGAGGAGAGTTAGAGGTATCGGGAAGATGGAGGGAATATTTTGAGGAGCTGTTAAATGTTGATGAAGATAGGGAAGCTGTGATTTCGTGTATAGGGCAAGGAGGAATAACATCTTGTAGGAGTGAGGAAGAGCCAGTTGTGAGTGTGGGGTTAGTTCGTGAGGCAGTAGGTAAAATGAAAGGGGGTAAGGCAGCCGGGATTGATGGGATAAAGATAGAAATGTTAAAAGCAGGTGGGGATATAGTTTTGGAGTGGTTGGTGTTATTATTTAATAAATGTATGGAAGAGGGTAAGGCACCTAGGGATTGGCAGAGAGCATGCATAGTTCCTTTGTATCAAGGCAAAGGGGATAAAAAAAAAAGTGCAAAAACTATATGAGAATAAGTCTGTTGAGTATACCTGGTAAAGTGCATGGTAGAGTTATTATTGAAAGAATTACGAGTAAGACGGAGAGTAGGATAACAGATGAACAAGGAGGCTTTAGGAAAGGTAGGGGGTGTGTAGACCAAGTATTTACAGTGAAACACATAGGTGAACAGTATTTAGATAAGTGTAAAGAGCGTTTTGTGGCATTTATGGATTTGGAAAAGGCATATATGACAGGGTGGATAGGGACGCAATGTTGTAGGTGTATGGTATAGGAGGTAGGTTACTGAAAGCAGTGAAGAATTTTTACAAGGATAGTGAGGCTCAGGTTAGAGTATGTAGGAGAGAGAGGAAGATTATTTCCCAGTAAAAGTAGGCCTTAGACAAGGATGTGTGATGTCACCATGGTTGTTCAATATATTTATAGATGGGGTTGTAAGAGAACTGAATGTGAGGGTCTTGGCAAGAGGTGTGGAGTTAAAAGATAAAGAATCAAACACAAAGTCGGAGTTGTCACAGTTGCTCTTTGCTGATGACACTGTGCTTTTGGGAGATTCTGAAGAGAAGTTGCAGAGGTTGGTGGATGAATTTGGTAGGGTATGTAAGAGAAGAAAATTAAAAGTGAAGAGTAAGGTTATAAAAGGATAACAAAAAGATTACATGGTGAAAGATTGGATATTAAATTGGAGGAGGTGAATGTATTCGGATATTTAGGAGTGGACATGTCAGTAGATTGGTCTATGAAGGAGGAGGTGAATCATAGAATTGATGAGGGGAAAAGGGTGAGTGGTGCACTTAGGAGTCTGTGGAGACAAAGAACTTCGTCCGTGGAAGCAAATGTATGAGAGTATAATTGTACCAATACTTGTAGGGTGTGAAGCATGGGTGATGAATGTTGCAACGAGGAGAAGGCTGGAGGCAGTAAAGGAGGTTTTGTGTGAGAGGGGCTTGGAATTCAAGCAAGCATGCGTGAGTCTATTTGATAAGAGTGAATGGAGACAAATGGGTTTTAATACTTGACGTGCTGTTGGAGTGTGATCAAAGTAACATTTATGAAGGGGTTCAGGGAAACCGGCAGGCCGGACTCGAGTCCTGGAGATGGGAAGTACAGTGTCTGCACTCTGAAGGAGGGGTGTTAATGTTGCAGTTTTATAACTGTAGTGTAAAGCACCCTTCTGGCAAGACAGTGATGGAGTGAATGATGGTGAAATTTTTCTTTTTCGGGCCACCCTGCCTTGGTGGGAGACGGCCGATGTCTTCATAAAAAAAAATCTGAATCTGATGCCAGGGAAATAAATATCTGAATCTGAAACCAGGGAAATAAATATCTGAATCTTATGCCAGGGAAATAAATATCTGAATCTGATGCCAGGGAAATAAATATCTGAATCTGATGCCAGGGAAATAAATATCTGATTCTGATGCCAGGGAAATAAATATCTGAATCTGATGCCAGGGAAATAAATTTAAGAATCTGATGCCAGTCATTCTATATAAAAAACAGACCCATGGATAACGGATAATTGTTTTGATGGCATTTTTATTTGTGAAAAAGATTTTATTTTTAAAAACATGAAAAGAATTGGATAAATGATTTTTAAAGACTTTTCTATAGGTTCAGTTTGCTGATTAATGAATAAAAGATTGCATTATCCATGTAGATACTTCGAACTAACCAATACTGTGACCTCATCCCTTTCACCAGTGTCGAGTTTTTCTAAGCGTCTTAACAGAGTGGGTTTTTTACATTTGCAAATTATCTTTTAAACTTTTTATATACCCTGGTTGATCCACTATGAGGTCTGGTCTCAGACCGAGCCACGGGGGCTTTGACCCCCGAAACCTTCTCCAGGTGAACCCTTTTTATTACGTGTTACACGTATGTTTCTACTCTGGAGCTGTGTACATCAATACTGGCGTCGCTTAAGCGAGTTCGCCCTTCCCTCTCAGGGTACAAATTTCGCTGTAATTTCCAACGATTTCAGCAATGTATACATCTTACGTATCTTGGTTACAAAGGAACAATTCACAAGATACAGTGAAGCATGACATTAACTGGTTCAGAAACAAGTGAACGAACACTAATAAAAAATGTCCTTGTGTTCGCTCACGTGTCTATAAAGAATTTGTATCTATTACTAAGGTTTATACCATGATATTACTATATCACAAATACGAATTTACTCTAATCCTCATTTTAGGGATTAAAACATTCGTGACAAGATAAGATAAGATGTTAGCCACCCAGGATAACCCAAGAAAGTCAGTGCGTCATCGAGGACTGTCTAACTTATTTCCATTGGGGTCCTTAATCTTGTCCCCCAGGATGCGACCCACACCAGTCGACTAACACCCAGGTACCTATTTGCTGCTAGGTGAACAGGACAATAGGTGTAAGGAAACGTGTCGAAATTTCCACCCGCCGGGAATCGAACCCGGGCCCTCCGTGTGTGAAGCGGGAGCTTTAGTCACCAGACCACCAGACCACCTAGTGACAGTCCCTATATATGCTGTCATTCTTGTTGCTCGTATGTTAGAAGTGATAAAGGTCTAGGAACCGAAATTTTTTCCAATATATACTAGTATTTAAACTATATCAGGTGACAGGCATCTTTAATGACCCTCATGTTTTAAACTTAACCAACCCATCAGGACGCTGGAAGATGAGGAAGATGATGACACTCTTCAGGTCACTTGTTCTATCTAGGCTGGAATATTGCTGCACTCTAACAGCACCTTTCAAGGCAGGTGAAATTGCCGACCTAGAAAATGTACAGAGAACTTTCACGGCGCGCATAACGGAGATAAAACACCTCAATTACTGGGAGCGCTTGAGGTTTCTAAACCTGTATTCCCTGGAACTCAGGAGGGAGAGATACATGATTATATACACCTGGAAAATCCTAGAGGGACTAGTACCGAACTTGCACACGAAAATCACTCACTACGAAAGCAAAAGACTTGGCAGACGATGCACCATCCCCCCAATGAAAAGCAGGGGTGTCACTAGCACGTTAAGAGACCATACAATAAGTGTCAGGGGCCCGAGACTGTTCAACTGCCTCCCAGCACACATAAGGGGGATTACCAACAGACCCCTGGCAGTCTTCAAGCTGGCACTGGACAAGCACCTAAAGTCAGTTCCTGATCAGCCGGGCTGTGGCTCGTACGTTGGTTTGCGTGCAGCCAGCAGCAACAGCCTGGTTGATCAGGCGCTGATCCACCAGGAGGCCTGGTCACAGACCGGGCCGCGGGGTCGTTGACCCCCGAAACTCTCTCCAGGTAAACTCCAGGTATGACTGCTCATCACTACCATAACTCACTTGGTAAATGGAAGATTAGTTTCTCCATGCCTATAACTGCTCATCACTACCATTAACTCGCCTAACCATAATTTTTAAGGGGTGAACCGGTAAGCCAGTGGAAGGCCTCGGTCAGATGACTAAAAGCTCCAACAGTGGGTCATCATCTAAGACCCGCATCAGGAAACGCTTGTTTCCTGATAAACCTTACCTAACCATAACTCACCTGGACGCTGGAAGAGGAGTTTCTCCATGCCTATGACTGGTCCCTCCGTCATGAGTGACAGTAACACTGCCAATATTCCACCGATAAACAGGAAGCCACAGGTATTAACAATCTGTGGAAGTATGTATTATTAACATTATAATTAATACGGTAATCTTTTGGGGAACCCCAAGTTTCCTAAGCGAGGGTTATTTGTGATTTGTTCCAGCAACAATACTGTAGACTAGTTTCAACTAACATTTGTTCCAGCAACAGTACTGTAGACTAGTTTCAACTAACATTTGTTCCAGCAACAGTACTGTAGACTAGTTTCAACTAACATTTGTTCCAGCAGCAGTACTGTAGACTAGTTTCAACTAACATTTGTTCCAGCAACAGTACTGTAGACTAGTTTCAACTAACATTTGTTCCAGCAGCAGTACTGTAGACTAGTTTCAACTAACATTTGTTCCAGCAGCAGTACTGTAGACTAGTTTCAACTAACATTTGTTCCAGCAACAGTACTGTAGACTAGTTTCAACTAACATTTGTTCCAGCAACAGTACTGTAGACTAGTTTCAACTAACATTTGTTCCAGCAACAGTACTGTAGACTAGTTTCAACTAACATTTGGTTTTATTCTTATGTTTAATGAGGTAAGAAATCTTTTTCACGTTTATAATTTCATGGTTTTGTCATAACTCAAATAAATGCTATGTGTGGAATTTATTTTATACTTTTCCTAAATTCACAATGTGTAAATATAATTGTGTACTAAAATGTGATGCTATTTGGACTTTTCGAGATATTTCGAGTGAATAAGGGTGTGCAGCAGCCGCGGAGCGATACAGGGGGGGGGGGGGGGAGACGTCACAGTTAATCTAATCCGTGTTCACTGGTTGTTACAATCATATAATCCAACCACTGAAGAATAGGGACAGAAAATTTATGAAACCTCCATATTAAGGTGGAGATAAGGGAAATAACGAGGCATCGCCATGCAGCACATCCAGTACATACACCATTAGTCCTTTCATTTAGATTTCTTGCTGGCCAGTGTAGGGTCTGTGTCAGGTAGGTGTGTAGACAGCCTGTACTGTCTGCCAGGTGAGTTCACATTTTGCAGTACTCAAGTGCTGCCCTCTCTAGGCCTGCCCAGGTCAGTGGGACGCTGCTCTCACTCTGGCAACAAATTTCACTCAGTCAAGAAGTGTCCACTCCTCTATCCCTCCCGGGCCATGGGCATAAACACACAAGCCTGTGTACCCACCACGACTCTGCAAATAAAGTAAGAAGCCTCCGAAGACGTATCATTTACTCCCCACTACCAGAAACACCAAATAATCTCGTAAACAGGTGTTAGGGTGTGTGCCACCAGCAATAAGTGTTTTCCTGTGACAAATGTTAAGTTAATGTGCATAAAATTTGTTCTAATGATATGGTTAGGAGAAAACCTTTCCTAGTCTCTAGAAATATTCCCAATGACCATTTCTAACAGTCAAGTCCTAAAATCATATACAGTCCACACTATTTTATAATTTAATATTGTAATTATTAATTTAATAATAGGTCAAGCTTGTGTGAGGGTGGTGAAGGAGTGGGCATTGAAAGAGTGACCGTCCTCTGACCTACTGTGACTAAGTCCCACTTATCTCACCCAAATTACATGTAATAATTCAGGTAATACCCTGTGAACCTCATGCAGGCAATTTCTCACACTATAGTTCCAGATTTGTGGGACAAAATTAATTTCAAGTCTAAATTAATTCTAAATGCGCCTCACGGCACCATTCTTGGTCCTGATCTATTCTTTTTACATAACTTACGTAAAAGTCACATCTAACACCAACTCATGAGGCTATCAGTCTTAGGTCACTACTGGGTAGTGATTTTGCACCAAACTCGGGTAAGCCAGCGCTTGGTTATCCTGTTCCAGGCCAGTATTTTGAAGGGGTGGGCCGATAAGCCAGTGGAAGGCCTCTGTCAGACCCAAAGTTCCAGCTGCAGGTCATACGACTATGACCCGCCTCAGGAAACACTTGTCCTCTTTCCTAACAAATTTTACCTAACCTAACCATTACTCACAGAGCTTAGATAGTCGATGTAGACTGGTGTGTAAACGAGACCCGTATATAACATCTGGAGTGGCATTATAACAAGGTAAATCGTGTATGTCAGACGACTTAATGGTTGCCATGACGGGTGAGCGAGAAAGGTATTGATCAAACCTGCAAAGGGACATTAATATGTGAGTAACAGAGGACTATTAAAATTTCTCTTAAATACATTAATACAAAAAATATAAATACGTAAATCATAAATTAATATACACTCCATAACTGACCTTGCAATCTATATTGGAATGGGCAGGGGCACCATATTGCTAATGCTTATGTGTAGCTAGGCTTCTACAGGTTCCAGTCTCACGTTCATGGGTGTCACAGCACCCTAAAAAAATCCCCCGAGATTGATGTCATGAAGCGTATCACAAGGTGAACTTATTCCCACATGACCCCCACCAGAAATCAGTGAAAAGTATTTCCGTATCCCGTACACCCAGTTCCCTCTACCTTATCCCATAAGCTCAGATCCACCTCCCTATACCTCAGTGATAAGAGAAAGTCATCCAAGTGTCCTATAAGCCCAACTCCCTTTAAAATCAATGAATGCAAAAGGAATAGTACAAAGTGAGGCATAAATTTTAATGCAGTGAAAAATAATCACTGAGGATTTGAAGCCAACAAGAAGACACTCACGTTACAGCATTGTGTCACCCTGATGGGTTTTGTGCTTCGTTTTTATCATAATCACGTTACCATATGTAAACTAATATCAGTCTCATCGAGGTTGTTCCCTACTTCTGGAATCTTGAGAACAGGAGGATAAGCCGTAGGTGGAAGAGGAAACGCAGAAGGAAAACGAAGCCTAAGAGAAATACATGAAAATTAATTTCGCTCGAAAATACACGAGCATTTAATATGTAAGGATGGCATATTAAAGATGCCATCTAACAAGTGTATTGTAGGGTAAATAAGGCATTGTGTACTCAGGGACGGCCCCAGTTTTATACAGGAACAGCTTAAGAGACACGTAAGTTCCCCGGTCTTCTAATAACTTGTTCATTTTCCCACTATAATCTACCTCGTCTATAATTACTATCGTATTTGCTTTGTTTCGTAAGGTGAAGTCCAGGATCTTTCCTTAATTCATGATATAACTTAACATATCTGTGAAGACAATTGTGTTGGAGAGGTCTGAGATTTGCTCAGACCTCTCCAACATAATCGTCTGCGATTAAACCTGAAATCTGAACAGTGTATAAAAAGTAGCATCAAACATCTCATTCAACTAATTTTTTTAATACTGCCATATATTTAACTGCATACTCAGTTACGTATGTCTTTCAATTGAGAGAGAAAACTGGGAAAACGAGTCTGTTAATGAATTCGGCTTGTCGAGTGGACAGACTTGTCAAAAGCCTGGGATTCCTGGGAAAATTAATGTAAATAAAAGGGGTTCTTGGTGGTGAAAAGGTTGGGAACAACTGCTATAAGAGGTCATTAGGCCAGAAACGCCTTGTTTGTGGAACAGACACAAGGTCACTCGACTAATTGGGACAAGGAAGATAAAACCCATCTGCCTGAGTGGATAAGATGCATATGAAAGTCAATGAAGTGTGTATTGTCAGTGAGAGTGAAGGATGTAAGCTACGTAGTGTTAGGTTGTCCTTATCAGACCGTTGTGTTAGCTAACGCGACGGTCTGGAGTTTTGAGAGACTGATCGCGGGTTCAAGCCTCACCCGTGGTATGGTTTGTTTGCAATCGTGTCATTACGATTTCACGAGTCATTTATGTTTGGTAATAAATTTATGGGCAAATTGGTCGAGTTGAAATGGATTGTGTACTCGGACTTACCAATGCTAATAATAAGTAGTATAAAGATGCAGAAAATAAGAAATCGAGAAACGAGTGAGACATTAACCAATGACAAACGAGTGAGACATTAACCAATGACAAACGAGTGAGACATTAACCAATGACAAACGAGTGAGACATTAACCAATGACAAACGAGTGAGACATTAACCAATGACAAACGAGTGAGACATTAACCAATGACAACTCCTAAAACACATTTTCTACAGGTTCAATCCCTGACCCTTCCTTGATTTGTTTCCAAACGAGTTATTGCGATAAGAAAATAACCTAGTGTCACTCACTTCCGTGTCCAGTATGGCAAGCAAAGACGACCCAGAGAAGTGCCAGGCACCAGGCAGCCCGACTAAACCCTGCATACACGATACTCGGTGCCGGGGGTAGTAGCACTCTGTCAACCCAGGTATCGTACTTAGCCATGCCATAGAGCACTAACGAAGCTATCGTTGTTGCCACCGCCCATCCTAACAGTGTCTGCCACTAGGAAGAGAGTTAAATGGACTTACATTCTACTGAAAAATATAATGGTATTACCAAAAATATTATTAGTAATAATAAGGTTGGTTCATGTGGGGTTAAAGCCTCGCGTCGGTTTGGAGTTTTGTGACTCTGACCACGGGTTCTAACCCCACCCATATTCACCTAATTGTGGTTTCAGGGGTCGAGACTCAGCTCGTGGCCCCGCCTCTTCACTAATGGTATGGTTTGTTTGCAATCGTGTCACTACAATTTCATGAGCCAATTAAAGTCTATCGGCTACACGAGGGTCATCACCACCTGATCACTACAATACTAACTCCATTTTCTTTCTTCGTTTCCAGCCACTAACAAATCACCTGGAGTGGGGTTGTCGTAACTACTATTGTTTGTCTTACGAAATCTGTACCTCCTGGTCCCTTGTAGATGGTATGCAAGGCAGTTCTCTGAACCATTCATCTACGAGGCAGTTGGTACTGTAGCTTAATCGAATTAAATATTTCCAACAATTTATTAAAATTCATTTCAAAGTTATACATTCATCTATACAATATTAATAAACACATGATTAATAATTTTATATTAAATTTGTCGTAAATTATATTAAATTTAGGTAACCAGGTAAGGTAAGCCCATTCAAAAAAATATTAATACGACGTATTTCCGGTCACAGAGTATATCCCGTGTATAACTATACATGCAATTTGCATTTTAATCCCTGGACCCATTGTGTACCTCTATAATCTGTTAATACCTTTGTAACTTGTCATGATTGTGACTAGATCTACCTGGAGTTCATTACCTTTGTAAATTGTGAGTTCATTACCTTTGTAAATTGTGAATTCATTACCTCTGTAACTTGCTCAGCCATCAAAACTTTGAGGCCCAGTCCCTGGACCCATTATGTACCTCTGTAATCTTTTGACTACCGCCCACAGGATGGGTATGGGGTGACTACCGCCCACAGGATGGGTATGGGGTGCATAATAAACATATTAAACTAACTAAACTAATTACTATTTAATTATCAAGGTTTTCCAAAATGGTGGTGAACAGGTGACAGGAGAGTTTTCTAACATAATACGACCATTTAAGATAGTCAATAGTCAATTTTAGTTCTTTGCAGAGTACATTGAGATTATGTATTTATAATGAGTTACAGTGAAAATAGTCACTATTATGGGCAGACTTAATTATATGACTTACTGACTACTTAATACTAAAGGAATTTATCATACTTTGATTAAGTTGTACAATAGTTTGAATAGTAAATTTTGAAATTATATTTTGGGAATATAACATTGTGATTTACTGAAAGTAGTTTATAGTATGAGAATATTACAATTGAGTGTAGGGAAGTACTGTTTTGGGTAGTTATTTATACTGCTAATTAGTATATGTAGTACTACTAACTTGGGCGTCTAGACATAAACACAATAAAAAACAGGATAAGTATGGAAAAAAATAAACACTTGCACTCCTAAAGTCGGTTCCTGACCAGCCGGGCTGTGGCTCGTACGTTGGTTTGCGTGCAGCTAGCAGCAACAGCCTGGTTGATCAGGCTCTGATCCACCAGGAGGCCTGGTCACAGACCGGGCCGCGGGGGCGTTGACCCCCGGAACTCTCTCCAGGTAAACTCCAGGTATGTCTAATTGCATGTCAGTGTTGTATACATGTACAATACATTTAAAAAAAAAGTTTAGTTTGAGAGAAGTGATTTGTGCTTACCAGTCTGAGTTTAATGTTTCTTCCTTTGACAGAGAAGAGTAGAAAGCCTGCCCAGACTCCTACTAGGATTGAGTTGGCTCGGCACCATGGAGTCGCGTACGTATCGACATCTTTAGTCATGGCTACCTCTGCTTTGCTGTAATGAAATGTTTAAGGCTACTGGGAATATCTGAAAGGATTTTGGATATTGCCAATACAATTATCAGTGTAGTATCATTACGTCACGACATATGAAGCCATACCCCGGCCGGGATTGAACCCGCGGTCAGAGTGTCTCAAAACTCCAGACCGTCGCGTTAATCACTAGACCGCGGGTTCTATCCCGGCCGTGGTATGGTTTGTTTGCAATCGTGTCATTACGATTTCGTGAGTCACGACATATGACTTATTTTGATAGTAGATAAATGTTCGTTGTAGTCGATTTAAAGCTTAATTACTACACGGGGATCATTATGGCTGAATGTGACAAGACCTGTTAAGACTAATTACTAATAGAAGATAAACACAAGTGTATATACCGAGGTATACACTTAACTGTATATACACTGCTACTCTCACTGCAATGTATATACTTACCAGAATATATGCAGTGTCAAGAATATATCAAAAGCTGCAAATTTAACACTAAGAGTTGATAAATTAGACACATGTGCAACTCTTGGGTATCTTTATTGAGGAAACGTTTCGCCACACAGTGGCTTCATCAGTCCATACGTAGGAGAAACTTGAAGAACAGGAGGAGAATGAGGTAATCAGTCCCTCAACCTTGAGTCGATGTGGTCAGTCCATCAATCTTGAATAGAATTGATGGACTGAACACATCGACTCAAGGTTGAGGGACTGAATACCTCATTCTCCTCCTGTTCTTCAAGATTCTCCTTTGTATGGACTGATGAAGCCACTGTGTGGCGAAACGTTTCCTCAATAAAGATACCTAAGAGTTGCACATGTGTCTAATTTATCAACATGTCGGTTCTCTGAACCATTCATCTACAAACACTAAGAGTAACTAAACAATTCTACACAAATCCTAATACATACAACAAGACATTCTATAAAAAAAATCATACAAATCTACTTATTTACAAATTGTCTTAAAATTTACAACACAATTCTGGAATTAGATGTCAAATTTATTATATTAATAACTCAACTAACTCCTGTAATAAAGCCAGAATTTCCCGACATGAACAATTCACAATTAATCCACAATTCGAAGGGCATCCTTCATAAGATTTTTTTTCAGTCCTAGACCAATAATGTACCGCGAGTGAGAAAAATTTTCTCCCCTGTGCTCTTTGGAAATAAATTTTCATAAGCACACAGTTTATATAGGCACCTTTTTATGTAAGCCAACAGTTTATATAGACCATACCCCCGGCCGGGATTGAACCCGCGGTCATAGAGTCTCAAAACTCCAGCCCGTCGCGTTAGCCACTAGACCAGTTTATATAGACACTGTGAATGTAAATACAGTTTATGTCGACACAGTTTATGTAGGCACAATGTTATTGAAGATAAACTTTATGAAAGTAGTTTATGTACGCTCAGTACTTCAGTAGGTATAAGTTTATACAGGTACGAGGTATATGGTCCACCAGGAGGCCTGGTCACAGACCGGGCCGCGGGGGCGTTGACCCCCAGAACTCTCTCCAGGTAAATATATAGGTACACAGTGAAGTTATAAGTATTAAGTTTCTCTTTTGAAGTTTCTTGGTTTGGTGAAAATTTTCCTAAATGCTACTAAAAAAAGTTAGTCCAGAATTGAATAACGAATGAAAAGGCTTAGGTTAGGTTAGGTTAGGTTAGGTTAGGTTAGGTTAGGTTAGGTTAGGTTAGGTTAGGTCAGATTAGTCAGGAAACAGGACAAATGTTTCCTGACGTGGGTCTTAGTGATATGACCTGCAGCTGGAGCCTTGGTCATCTGACCGAGGCCTTCCACTGGCTTACCAGTCCACCCCTTTAAAAATTAGTGTCATATACTCTATTCAATATTCGATCCACTTTTTCCGACATATTTACCGCAGATTGTGCTATTCTGATGATTTTTTTTATAACAGAGCTGACTGGCTACCTTTGAAAATAATAATGCGGTACTTACGCAAAAAACAAGGTTGGCGGCACATTATAGACAGCAGATAGAATTGTAGGTATGGCCAGGGAGATGACAGTGACCGCTGCCAGGACGGCGACGCCTGAGGACACGCACACACATGAATTTCTTAGAAAGTGTGAGGTTGGTGTTGAGTAAATATCCTAAATTAAGAATAAATTGTAAATATATATCCAGACGTACTCTAATAATGAAAAAAAAGGCACAATACTGTGACTGGAACGATACACAAATAACCCGCACATAGAAAAGAGGAGCTCAAGACGTTTCGGTCTGACTTGGACCATTTACAAAGTCACACTTTGTAAATGGTCCAAGTCGGACCGAAACGTCATCGTGAACTTCTCTCTTCTATGTGCGGGTTATTTGTGTACTCCTTTGCCCATTTTGTGGTCTGGTTCCAAGGTTCTTTGTGTCTCCATATGTTCTTTTACTTCTAAAGGACGGATAAGTATTGCGATACAAAGTTATTACTCACAGGATGGATATGGGTTGCACGGTAAACTAGTCTACCTTCCACAGGGTTGAAATGAGATGTACAATAAACTAGCCACCACCGTCCACAGAATGGATATTAGAGGTACCATAAACTAGCCACTACCGTCTACAGGATAGATATGGGTTGCACGATAAACTAGCCCCTTCATCAACGAAATAAAAATCTAACCTAGTACAATCATTTCTATCTAATTAATCTCGGAAGTGAGAGAGGAAGGTCATCCAGGGTTTCCTGACCCTGAGCGACCTTAAAGACTTGATCGCTTCCTCGTAATAAGAATAAAATTCACACCAAATAAAATGCATTGGAGAAAATACCATTAACCAAAATGGTTAAGTTCACTGTCTCCTCTCAAGATTTAGAATATATGGGAAAATGCCAAATCTACTGTACAGGTGTTATATGATTCCTACGGGTTTAATGCTTCCCTAAAATAATTAATAATAATAGTAATAATGTTGGTAGAATTACTATCTTAGGCAAAAGGACACCAGTGCAACTAATGCGGCATTTCATTGTGGAACGTTTCGTTCTCCAGGCTTGATAAAGCTCCTAGAGTGAAACGTATGAATGATAACAAATTCCCACTCCCGCCAGCATACGTAACTTGTCATGATTGTGACTAGACCTACCTGGAGTTCATTACCTTTGTAAATTGTGAGTTCATTACCTTTGTAAATTGTGAATTCATTACCTCTGTAACTTGCTCAGCTATCAAAACTTCGAGGCCCAGTCCCTGGACCCATTATGTACCTCTGTAATCTTTTGACTACCGCCCACAGGATGGGTATGGGGTGCATAATAAACATATTAAACTAACGCCAGCATACTCCACCAATTTTCAGAAGTCTGAATCTGCTCACCATTAAGAACATCCATACTGATTCATGTGCCTACTACATACACAGAACAATACACGCAAATATAAATAAACCCTCTACTCAAACTTCTCCTCACCAACTTAAACAGGACACATGACCACAACACAAGACACAGATCTCTTTTTGATATACCTCGTGTCCATATCACACTGTGTAAAAACTCTATGCACATAAAGGGCCCCAAAATATGGAATTCATTACCAGAATATGTTAAAGTAACCCGGTCTGAAAATCAGTTTAAGACTCTTCTCAAAAGTCACTTAATCACCCTAGACTAAATGCTAAATACTCAGTACACACTTACTCACCTATGTACTCCCACATCATAACTTCAACAATCACTTTGAACCTTTTATTCATTGTTGACAGGAATATAATTGAATCATTGTTTTCACAAAAAAAACATTTTCAAATATATATATCTTTTGTCTTATACAAATTTTGATTAATTTATAATTAATAATTTACTGTACAACTATGAAATAATTACTATCCTACTGTACAACTATGATATAACCCTTAGTGTTACGTAGTCTGTAAGCCAATAATGTTAAGTTGGCCCATAATGTCTAGGCATAATAGAGGCTCTCTTTACATTGCAACCCACTATTGTAAATATAAAATCTCATTGTACTGTTTGCAAAGACAAAATAAATAAAGAAATAAAATGTAGCATTAATTGCCCTTGTGTCCTTTTACCAAATAATAATAATAACATAGTGCTCTGGTACCTCACAGGACAGACTTACCAAACGTCACATCACTTACCAATCTTCCTGCGATAAATCAGTGGGATGAGCACTATGGGAAGTACAACGTAGACTTGTGTGTCAACTGCAGTGTACCAGCACTGTCCTAGACACTGAAAATATACTACTGCTTTATTTCTTGAACTACTAGTAGTAGAAGTATATTGTAGTAGTGGTAGTATAGTAGTAGTGGTGGTATAGTAGTAGTGGTGGTACAGTAGTAGTGGTGGTATAGTACTAGTGGTGGTATAGTAGTAGTGGTAGTATAGTAGTGGTGGTATAGTAGTAGTGGTGGTACAGTAGTAGTGGTGGTATAGTACTAGTGGTGGTATAGTAGTAGTGGTAGTATAGTAGTAGTGGTATAGTAGTAGTGGTGGTATAGTAGTAGTGGTGGTATAGTAGTAGTGGTGGTATAGTAGTAGTGGTGGTATAGTAGTGGTGGTGGTATAGTAGTAGTGGTGATACAGTAGTGGTGGTGATACAGTAGTGGTGGTGGTATAGTAGTAGTGGTGGTATAGTAGTAGTGTGGTATAGTAGTAGTGGTGGTATAGTAGTAGTGGTGGTATAGTAGTAGTGGTGGTATAGTAGTGGTGGTGGTATAGTAGTAGTGGTGGTATAGTAGTGGTGGTGGTATAGTAGTAGTGGTGGTATAGTAGTAGTGGTGGTATAGTAGTGGTAGTATAGTAGTGGTGGTGGTATAGTAGTAGTGGTGGTATAGTAGTAGTGGTGGTATAGTAGTAGTGGTGGTATAGTAGTAGTGGTGGTATAGTAGTAGTGGTGGTATAGTAGTAGTGGTGGTATAGTAGTAGTGGTGGTATAGTAGTAGTGGTGGTATAGTAGTGGTGGTGGTATAGTAGTAGTGGTGGTATATAGTAGTGGTGGTATAGTAGTAGTGGTGGTATAGTAGTGGTGGTATAGTAGTGGTGGTGGTATAGTAGTAGTGGTGGTATAGTAGTGGTGGTGGTATAGTAGTAGTGGTGGTATAGTAGTAGTGGTGGTATAGTAGTGGTGGTGGTATAGTAGTAGTGGTGGTATAGTAGTGGTGGTGGTATAGTAGTAGTGGTGGTATAGTAGTAGTGGTGGTATAGTAGTAGTGGTGGTATAGTAGTGGTGGTGGTATAGTAGTAGTGGTGGTATAGTAGTGGTGGTGGTATAGTAGTGGTAGTATAGTAGTAGTGGTGGTATAGTAGTAGTGGTAGTATAGTAGTGGTACTATAGTAGTGGTAATGGTACTATAGTAGTAGTAGTGGTACTATAGTAGTGGTACTATAGTAGTAGTGGTAATAGTACTATAGTAGTAGTGGTAATGGTACTATAGTAGTAGTAGTGGTACTATAGTAGTAGTGGTGGTACTATAGTAGTAGTGGTAATGGTACTATAGTAGTAGTGGTAATGGTACTATAGTAGTAGTAGTGGTACTATAGTAGTAGTGGTAATGTTACTATAGTAGTAGTGGTAATGTTACTATAGTAGTAGTGGTAATGGTACTATAGTAGTAGTAGTGGTACTATAGTAGTAGTGGTACTATAGTAGTAGTAGTAGTGGTACTATAGTAGTAGTAGTGGTACTATAGTAGTAGTGGTACTATAGTAGTGGTACTATAGTAGTAGTAGTGGTACTATAGTAGTAGTGGTAATGTTACTATAGTAGTAGTGGTAATGGTACTATAGTAGTGGTAATGGTACTATAGTAGTAGTGGTACTGTAGTAGTAGTGGTACTATAGTAGTAGTAGTGGTACTATAGTAGTGGTACTATAGTAGTAGAAGTAGTGGTGGTGGTACTATAGTAGTAGTGGTACTATAGTAGTTTACCTGGAGTTTACCTGGAGAGAGTTTCGGGGGTCAACGCCCCCGCGGCCCGGTCTGTGACCAGGCCTCCTGGTGGATCAGCGCCTGATCAACCAGGCTGTTGCTGCTGGCTGCACGCAAATCAACGTACGAGCCACAGCCCGGCTGATCAGGAACTGACTTTAGGTGCTTGTCCAGTGCCAGCTTGAAGACTGCCAGGGGTCTGTTGGTAATCCCCCTTATGTGTGCTGGGAGGCAGTTGAACAGTCTCGGGCCCCTGACACTTATTGTATGGTCTCTTAACGTGCTAGTGACACCCCTGCTTTTCATTGGGGGGATGGTGCATCGTCTGCCAAGTCTTTTCCTTTCGTAGTGAGTGATTTTCGTGTGCAAGTTCGGTACTAGTCCCTCTAGGATTTTCCAGGTGTATATAATCATGTATCTCTCCCTCCTGCGTTCCAGGGAATACAGGTTTAGGAAACTCAAGCGCTCCCAATAATTGAGGTGTTTTATCTCCGTTATGCGCGCCGTGAAAGTAGTAGTAGTAGTAGTGGTACTATAGTAGTAGTAGTAGTAGTGGTACTATAGTAGTAGTACTATAGTAGTAGTAGTAGTGGTACTATAGTAGTAGTAGTAGTAGTGGTACTATAGTAGTAGTAGTAGTGGTACTATAGTAGTAGTAGTGGTACTGTAGTAGTAGTAGTGGTACTATAGTAGTAGTAGTGGTACTATAGTAGTAGTAGTGGTACTATAGTAGTAGTAGTGGTACTATAGTAGTAGCAGTGGTACTATAGTAGTAGTAGTGGTACTATAGTAGTAGTAGTGGTACTATAGTAGTAGTAGTGGTACTATAGTAGTAGTAGTGGTACTATAGTAGTAGTAGTAGTGGTACTATAGTAGTAGTAGTGGTACTATAGTAGTAGTAGTGGTACTATAGTAGTAGTAGTGGTACTATAGTAGTAGTAGTAGTGGTACTATAGTAGTAGTAGTGGTACTATAGTAGTAGTAGTAGTGGTACTATAGTAGTAGTAGTGGTACTATAGTATAGTAGTGGTACTATAGTAGTAGTGGTACTATAGTAGTAGTGGTACTATAGTAGTAGTAGTAGTGGTACTATAGTAGTAGTGGTACTATAGTAGTAGTAGTAGTAGTGGTACTATAGTAGTAGTAGTGGTACTATAGTAGTAGTAGTAGTAGTGGTACTATAGTAGTAGTAGTGGTACTGTAGTAGTAGTAGTGGTACTATAGTAGTAGTAGTGGTACTATAGTAGTAGTAGTGGTACTATAGTAGTAGTAGTGGTACTATAGTAGTAGTAGTAGTGGTACTGTAGTAGTAGTAGTGGTACTATAGTAGTAGTAGTGGTACTATAGTAGTAGTAGTGGTACTATAGTAGTAGTAGTGGTACTATAGTAGTAGTAGTGGTACTATAGTAGTAGTAGTGGTACTATAGTAGTAGTAGTAGTAATATTGACCAAAAGCTCCAGCTGCGGGTCATCACATAAGTAAGAACCGCGTCAGGAAACACGTGTCCTGTTTCCTGACAAACTTGACCTAACTTAACCTATTATCATTATTATTATTATCATCATCATCATCAGGAGGTACTCGTCACGCAGTCAAGTAGAAGAATTGTCAACGAAATAGGATAACTAAAGAAAGAAATAGAAAGGTGAATATTACTATTCACAAAAATTGGGTATTTAGGCCTATTTTTATATATTATTAACATTAAGATTTATGTTAGATGTTCTGAGAGCTAAACTGAGGCTTAGGTGCAAGAAATATTTATAATTATAATTATTAAATTTACCTAATATTCCTTCAGGGGTGAGAGTCTATATAAAACGAATTATGCCCCATTATAAAATTTTACAATAAAACCAGTCTTAGTTGTGGCTAGTATTATGACTCAAATGGACTACTGTACAAGGACGAAATTAGTACGGAGAAGTTTGTATTATATTTACAGGAAGCTGGAAGTTGAAGTTACTAAGATCGTGTATGTGTAAATTACGTAGGAAAACCTGAAATAGATAGATGAAGTGATTTATTTCCACTGAGTCCTTAATAGAGATTTAACGGCTAAGTAACTCTGGTGTGTGAAAATCATTCACGCTGTGTCTACTCACCTACTGCCTTCCTAGCTGGCTCGCCTACTGCCTTCCTAGCTGGCTCGCCTACTGCCTTCCTAGCTGGCTCGCCTACTGCCTTCCCAGCTGACTCACCTACTGCCTTCCTAGCTGGCTCGCCTACTGCCTTCCTAGCTGGCTCGCCTACTGCCTTCCTAGCTGGCTCGCCTACTGCCTTCCTAGCTGGCTCGCCTACTGCCTTCAGCTGGCTCCCACTGCCTTCCTAGCTGGGCTCGCCTACTGCCTTCCAGCTGGCTCGCCTACTGCCTTCCTAGCTGCTCGCCTACTGCCTTCCCAGCTCTACTGCCTTCCCAGCTGACTCACCTACTGCCTTCCTAGCTGGCTCGCCTACTGCCTTCCTAGCTGGCTCACCTACTGCCTTCCCAGCTGACTCACCTACTGCCTTCCTAGCTGGCTCGCCTACTGCCTTCCTAGCTGACTCACCTACTGCCTTCCCAGCTGACTCACCTACTGCCTTCCTAGCTGACTCACCTACTGCCTTCCTAGCTGACTCACCTACCGCCTTCCCAGCTGACTCACCTACTGCCTTCCTAGCTGGCTCGCCTACTGCCTTCCCAGCTGGCTCGCCTACTGCCTTCCTAGCTGACTCACCTACTGCCTTCCCAGCTGACTCACCTACCGCCTTCTCAGCTGACTCACCTACCGCCTTCCCAGCTGACTCACCTACTGCCTTCCCAGCTGATTCACCTACTGCCTTCCCAGCTGACTCACCTACTGCCTTCCCAGCTGATTCACCTACTGCCTTCCCAGCTGACTCACCTACTGCCTTCCCAGCCGACTCATCTACCGCCTTCCCAGCTGACTCGCCTACTGCCTACCCAGCTGACTCACCTACTGCCTTCCCAGCTGACTCACCTACTGCCTTCCTAGCTGACTCACCTACTGCCTTCCCAGCTGACTCGCCTACTGCCTTCCCAGCTGACTCGCCTACTGCCTTCCCAGCTGACTCGTCTACTACCTTCCCAGCTGACTCACCTACTGCCTTCCCAGCTGACTCGCCTACTGCCTTCCTAGCTGACTCACCTACTGCCTTCCCAGCTGACTCGCCTACTGCCTTCCCAGCTGACTCACCTACTGCCTTCCCAGCTGACTCACCTACTGCCTTCCCAGCTGACTCGCCTACTGCCTTCCTAGCTGACTCGCCTACTGCCTTCCTAGCTGACTCGCCTACTGC